ACCACCCTCAACAACACGACTACGTGCCCCTGTACCAATTTCCCCCCCGTGATGACCCGCCGCCGTCGACGTCCCACCAGCATCAACTGCCGCTGTCGTCGGCGCCACCCCCGCATCTCCAACCCCCCATGGTGCTGGCACCACCGCTATCCTCGTTGGCCCATCACGCCCACCACCACTCAGTGACGCTGGTGGTGCTGCTGCATCCGCTGGAATTCTCCCTGCCCCACCGTCCCGGGCTCGAGTACCAGAGCCAATACTACGACCAGACTCATTATAGCCCATCTCAGCCTCCGCTGCTGATCGCCAGCTACAGCTATAACCAAAACGTGTCTCCCGTGCAAGGCCAGTCTCAGTATTCATCCAACTACGAGCAATTCACGCCGGTTAAGTCGTACCAACGGTCTCAGCCGCCTAATTTGGGCCACAAGGCCAACCAGCTTCTGATCTCAAGTCACATGGGTCTTTTTAGTCTTAGTGACAAGAAATTGGGGTCACCCAGCCAGGCTGGCGTTCCCGCCATGCCTCAGTCTTACCCATTCCCGCCACCTTTGCTTCCCCCGCAAACAATTCCATCGCTGCAACCTCAAGCTTCGGCAAACTCGCTTTCGGGGATAATTGACGAGTTGATGTTGAAATTAACTCTGGTTGATGCCGGCAACATCAATAACTATCTCCTTGCCGTGATGCATAAGTTGCTGCAAAACCCTCAGATACCTATCGATGACTTTTACAACATCTTGTACAATACTGAGCCTAACCAACCTGTGCCGCGGGTGTTACCACCGGATGAACGCGTCGATAAGACGTTCGTGAATCCGGGACTGACTGATGGCGTCATTGACGTGATTAACCAAATTCTCAACGTCTTTAAAAGTCCGAATATGTTGGTCGATATGTTTCCCGAATTGATCAATAAGGAGAACAAGTTGATGCTGATTAATTATCATGAATTGTTGCGTACGTTTCTTGCGATCAAAATCCTTTTTGACATGTTGATTGAAATGCCACAAGGTGATAAGGAGCCGCTGCACTACACCATCCCACGGTTGCTGATCTACAAGACTTATTATATCATTTGTCACAAGCTCATCTTGGGGTATCCTCTGTTGCTGAACACGGTGGGAGAGCAACAGAAACTCATTTTGGGCCAGCTGAAACTCGGCAAACTCATCAAGTTAGTGTATCCCGAGTTGGTCATCAAACGTTTAGGACTGCGTGGTGAGTCCAAGTATAACTATTTGGGCGTAATCTGGAACGACAAAATTGTTGACCACGAAATGAAGGAGTTATGCGACCAGAACGAGCTCCCGGAGCTTACTCATATTTTCAATAGTCAGGCAGCGCTGGCGCGGGTCGCTAGTCCTGAAAAGAGTCGTCCACGTATCAAGCCCAAGCAAGAGCCGTTTGATGATTTTAGCTACCATTTGCCTCAACCACCCCCGGTACCAGCAGAGCAACCCTCGTTGAACGCCGAACCATTGGTTCGAGGGCCAACATTGTCATTTATCAAGCCTTACTCCAAATACCCCCTTGATGATGTATTCACCATTCTTGATGATGGGCAGCCCAATTGGTTCCACAAGTTGGCTCATCGACTTTACGCTCTGGTCCCCATTATTCTGCAACAAGTTATCCATCAGGTTTTCCTTTCTAGTGAAAATTTAGCATCGAAGCTGCAGTTGCTTACTAATTTCATTGAGTTGGTCGTTAACCCAATTAATGCTAAAGCTGCTTCAGGATCTTCTATTGAAACCAACACTGACCTCAAGGTGTATCTCATGATTATTATTGAGTTATTGCCATATTTGTTGTTGATCAAGCTGGATGACGTAAACATTAATTTCCTCAAAAACTTACGTCTCAACCTTTTACATTTGATCAATCACTTGCATGGCCAGTTACGTAACGATGAAGGTAATGTTTTCAAGCAGGAAAATTCAACGATTTTCCTCATAATGCTCAAGAAGCTTATTAATTTGAATGATCTCCTAATCACGTTTATCAAGCTTATAATTAAGCCGAACGTCAAACTGATCATGCTGGTGGACATTGAGAATTTCTTAACAATTCATCAGCAACCGGATACCCAGGTTCCCGTCGATGATGACCTGTTCTTTCTCAACTTAAGTCAACGTACTGCATTTCTGGAGGGCAACTTTTCGTTCAGACTGGACATTTTGCTGAACGATTTGGTGTATACGCTTATTGGGTACAACTTTGATCCAATTCTGGGTGAACCCAAGCTGGTACCGCCTCCGCTGCAACTGTTGCTGATGAATTTCATCAATCAGGAGATCAGCATTATTGATAAGTTTTTTAAGCATGACCTTTTGGCATTTTTGAATGAATCGCTGTCGGAAGAGTCCGGTGAGAAGACCGACAAGGAACTGATTTTGACTCGCAAGGAGCTCAAAAAATTATTGCTGCTCATCAATTTGATTGACAAGCAATTGTTACTGAACCACTTTAAAGCCAAGTACCCCATTCTCATCTACAATAATTTCATCAACTTCATTCTTAATGATATTTTGAAATTCATTTTCTTGAAGCAACAACAATTGCTGTTACTGCGAGTCCAACGCAGTGATGATGGAGATGATGATGGCGGTGGCTCAAATTCGTTCGGCAATTGGTGGGTGTTCAACTCCTTCATTCAGGAGTATATCAGTTTGATGGGTGAAATCGTCGGTTTGCATGATTCTTTATGAACATGCGTTAGTTTTTCTTAGTGATAGAGATGCATACGTTAGTAATCGAGAACTATACCTCAACAACTTAAATGAGTAAGCCATATACATCTTAGCAAACCGGTGAACGAAGAATCTTGCCGATCGTGAAGCACATGGAATTCGAAAGGCGTGGTATAGCAAATTCATTGATTCGAAGCTAATTCTGATGATGATGATGATAATGTCCTATTTTGGCTTACATTATTTCAGGTTAGGGATCAATCCGTAGCTCAAAACGATCCCAAAGTCGACCCAAAGTGTGAAGGTTAAAATATTTACTTGGAACTCAATTGCCCGCCAAATTTCAAATTCTTGGAGTGGTCATATTCGTTCTCGCCCATGATTACAGAGCTCTTGATGTTTTGGAGCTCGTTGTCCACTATTCTAACAATGAATTTTCCTGCGATTGGTTCATTCGAAAGAAGAGCCCTTCGTCTTATTGAATAAACTCCGAATTGTGGCTGATTCCAGTCTACTATTGAAAACAATCCTAAATCTCTGAAACGAGATGGTGAGATAGTGTAATTTAATAATCACTGCAGAATCTCTGATATGTATGTAATATTGTGAAAAGTTTGAAGACTTCGAAAATTAAAATTTTGCGATCGTCAACACAAAACAGAACAAACTTCTCCTTTTCTTTATGTTTCTCTAAAACTTTCTTTGTCCGATAGTACCAATTATTCGGGGCCAAAGCACACGTGGTATACGTCCCGGCGGTTCGTGGGGATTTGCAGCCCGGGGTATTGATTCCATCGAAAAACGCGATGGCTATACTCCACAATTAATGATCCCAAAAACTCCGAACGCTATCAAAATTATAGCGGGGAACTCTCACCCTGAGTTGGCTGAGCAAATTGCTCTGAAGCTTGGTATAGACATTGCACAAGTCGGAGCTTTCCAATACCTGAATCAGGAAACTGGTTTCGCAGTGGGCGAGTCTTTACGTGATGAGGATGTCTACATCGTGCAAACTGGTTGCGGCGGAGACCTGATGAATGACTATCTTATGGAACTTCTCATTGCTATTTCGGCCTGTGTTACCGCATCGGCTCGCCGGATTACTGCTGTCATCCCGAACTACCCCTACGCTCGGCAAGATAGAAAGGACAAGTCCAGAGCTCCAATCACGGCGAAGTTAGTTGCCAATCTTTTACAAGTCAGTGGCTGTGACCATGTGATCACGATGGACTTGCATGCTTCCCAGATTCAAGGGTTTTTCAATGTACCCGTTGACAACTTGTACGCCGAACCAACGGTGTTACGTCATATCCGTGAAAACTTTGACCTCGATAATCTCATCATCGTCTCACCTGATGCCGGTGGTGCGAAGAGAGTGGCTCTGATTGCCGATAAATTAGACGTCAATTTCGCCCTCATCCACAAGGAACGGGCCAAAGCTAATGAGGTTCTGCGCATGGTGTTGGTTGGTGATGTCGAAGGCAAGGATTGTGTGCTTGTTGACGATATGGCAGACACTTGTGGCACTCTTTGCAAGGCTGCCGACATTCTTTTGGAACACGGCGCTAAGCTGGTGGTTGCCATTGTGACTCATGGTATCTTTTCCAGCAATGCCTTGGAACGTATTAACAACTCCAATCTCACTCAGGTGATTTGTACCAACTCCATGCCAGTTGAAAGCTTCAAGGAGAAGTGTCCCAAGTTGGAAGTGTTGGACATAAGTGCAACTCTCGCGGAGGCCATCAGACGTTTGCACAACGGGGAAAGTGTGTCTTACTTATTCAATAACCCCGTCTAACCTTGAGCAGTTAGCCAAGATTATAGAGCTCAATTAGTACAACCAAATCATAAAGTTGAATTTACTAGATGTAACACATCTTCATTTCAAAGTAGCCAAATTTACCTAGATCCTTAGATTTGGCTCGACCAGTATATAGAATGGAATTGGAGACGACATTTTACCTTGTCAGAGTCATAAATTTAATTCTGAAAATGATACAAAAGAACTGACACTTGGAAATTTTTAAATTGCTCATTTTATTCTCTTTTTTTTTTTATCCTTAGTTTTGCATTGATATCTAACTTAATAACTTACATACTCCTTAGAGGATCTCAAGTGTTTGTAAAGTCTTCGTTCTCGATACCCTGCGATCTGAGAAAGCCGACAACGGCGAAAAACTCAGTATATGGAGAGAATGTGGGGAGGCAGTTGTTCAGTAAACAGGTGACCGACGGCCCAAACCACGGGGAATTGAACCACGGTCTCTCCTCTCAGAGTGTACTAGCCAACTATACTATAGTTATAGGCGTCGTCACTTGCTTAGATGATATACTCCCTCTGGTCGAAGAGTTGAAGTAGAGAGCCATCAGTCGCCCGCGGGGCGAGCGATATCTCAGCATTCCATTCAGTAATGTGGGGTTGTGTTCAGAATTTATGTTGTCCCTTATTCTCTTTATTTCGACTAGAAGTTTGCGTTAGTATCGACCTGTAATTTTTAACACTAAAAATAGGTGTAGACTCACAAAGTCGACTTGGAGATACTTGAGTTACACTTGTATTTGCCAAATATACTCAGGAATCACTACATCTCCACATTTACCAGGCAGTTTCATCCTTGATATATCCATAGTCTTGCATTCAAATCTAAAATAAAACAACCTCAAGCATGAAAATTTTCATTCAGCGATTGGTTTGATATACAACGTTGTATATTTTGAGAAAAAGAATATACACCCCCAAACACAATGTAACTCGAGTCTGTGTTTTCAAGTAGAAAAATATTAGTCTTTGGTAGTATAACGGTTAGTATTTCCGCTTGTCACGCGGGAGATCGGGGTTCGATTCCCCGCCAAAGAGCATCCTATACTTTTTGCAACTTTTAGCCAGCTATAATTCAAGTGTTCGTTTTTGCCATCAATTTAGTATGGCTATTTTGCGGAATCCTGACGTTTGGTGGCTAACTGCGACCCAGGGCTCGGCATGGCACAAACTGTATGTATCGCTTGTCGTGGTGAGTGGCATGCAGCACAAAATTTGGACGAGAGAAAATCACGCTTTCGTGGGGTTCAAGGATTTCGATTAGCGGGAGTTGAACCCAGCTCACTAGTGTATTTGATAAGATTCATGTAGAATTTCATGCTACAATCATTCAATATAGGTCAATACGGCCTTTGAATTACCATCTATGTACAGTTTAATCAATAAGCAAACGCCGCAGCTTGCACAAGGAACCAAGGATTTCCTCCGCTCAAGGTGTATTGATTGTTAGCGATCTTAGTAAACTCCGTCTCACCTTGAGTAGCTTGCAAAACACCAGCTTGTTGGTAGAATTCCAATAACTTTGAAGTCTCGTCTTTGGTGAAGGGGGCAACCTCAATCGGCTTGACACCACCATTGGCCAACATAGCGTTGGCAATATCAATATCAAATAACCAAGCTTTTTCGTAAGGTGAGTGAACTTCAAGCCCAAGGCCTACCTTCATGGACTTGCGATGAGCACTGAAGTCTGAAGACTGAGCCAAGATGACGCCACCTTTAGTAAAGTTGAATTCACCGGAAACCACCTTGAGCAACCAATCCCCAATCTCAAGCTGAGAAACGTGCACCAGAGAGAAATCAGCATGGCGATATTCCGTGATTGGAAAATCGAACAAACCATTGGCGCGATCGATAGTCACCAAGACAGGTACGTTCTGTGATTGATGCTGAAGTTCCTCGACAAAAAATTGAAAGGCGTTGGTGGGACCATATTTTCCGAAATCGTGACAATCGTTGAGAAGATCGTACACAGTGTTCTCGCCCTTCACCAAAGTAACTTCTTTTCTGTCCTTTTCGTAAGTAAAGTCCCGCGACAACTTAAGTTGTTTGAATACATCAGCATTGGCGTTTTTGAGTTTCCAAATCCAGCGCTTGGTGAACATGGGTTGTTGGTACTTCCCCGTCTTTTGATTGAGGATGTAGTCTGACAGACCATCAACGATGGCATTAGCATTAGGAATGTGCAAGAAGACTGGCGCTTGAGTGGCGTCCAGAGAGTTTGCGAGGGCCATGGCTTGCATGAGAAGCGTCGACTTACCAATACCTTTAGCGCCAACGAGACACACACGGTTGTCCTTAGAAGGACCCTGAAGCTTAGAGAGCACCTGCTTCAGTATCTGTTCAGTATTGGTAGTGGTCATAGATATAGGTTCGCTGAACATCTCATGATGTTGATAGGGTTGAATCACTTTCAATTCATTGAATTTGGATTTGGTGGCATCCGAGTACTTGTAGAGGTCGCCCAAAGACTCCACGCTGGTAAGTTCGGGAACTTGTAATGGTTGAGCTCCCTTTTCGTAACCTAATTGGGTCACAGCCTCACGGAATTCATGGTGGGTCATCCCGCCTTTCTTCGCCTTCCCAACAGTCTGATCCTTTTTGGGCTTGAAGGATACTGACTTTTTTGCAGTATTGTGCCCCGTCGCCTTGGCAAGCACTCGCAGTGTCAGCAGGAATGCCCGCACATGGAGAGTGGTCCGGCTTAACATGGTGTCGGTCTCTAACCTTTCGATACAAAATTTTCACCGCGCGAATAGAGCTAGTGGGAGTTGTCATGAGCGGCAACGCTTAATGACCGGAGTGGAAGAGAGACGATGAGGAGATGAAACGATTTATATTCTTAAACAACCCAATATCGAGTTGTCGGTTGCGAAAGCTCCAAGCTTAGTTGACCTCATTGAAACTAAAACGCGACTTCAATCGCTTCCACATATGTATTGTCGAGGGTATATGCAATGATTTAGCACTCATATTTGATAGAGAGACCTTCTCCATCTGCAATTCTTTCCTACTAAGTTTCTTAGGTTCAACGAAGTAAAGTGGACGCGCCTGTTAGGAGCAGCTACTCATCCTCAGATCGCTGAAACATATCTCTTGAGTCAGGTCCTTATGTTCAAAATAACCTGGACTGCCCAAGTTGATCGCTAAAGTTTCAGCCCTAATATGGTTTCCTGAAACATTTTAAATGGCTTTGCAGTCAAGTGAGAAAGGGTTATGTGCACACCCGATCATAAATTTTCACCTCATCGCCATCGCACTAAATGATTGTTCGATCATTCACAAGATGGCTACATCAATCATCAACGAAAGTCAAGCCCAAGGATAAGGGCATTCCGAAGAAACCAAAGCATAATGCCTTCACGTTTGGGAAATTCAGCCAATTGAGCCCACCGCCCTCTCAAAAGAGTGACGATAGCTCCAGCAAACTCGTGAAAAAGCCAGTTTCTGCTACCATGGACCTGTTACTTATCTTTCCTACGGTAAGACAGGCAATGGAAAAGGAAATCAAAGAGAAATACTCCCTCAAATCGACATATGTCAAGCTGATTGATGACGTTGAAATTATACCTTCTCCCATTCAAGCTCAAGCTATTCCAATTATCAACCTGTCCCGGATCAATCGAGCCAAGCTGGATTCAGTCAAAATTCAGCGTGAATTAGAAGGACCAATGAGAGTATTCACGATGGCAGCTGAAACCGGACTGGGTAAGACCTGGGCATACTTAGCATCCGTGCTTCTGAGACTTAAAAAGCATGACTATGATACTTGGAGAACGTATGGTGTTGGTCGGTATCAGCAGGAAAGAGAAAAACCATTGGTACGAGCCATCATATTGGTCCCAACAAACGAGCTCGTCGATCAGGTTTATGATACGATCGCGACGGCGGCACTTGCGCCCATCGATCCGACGAAGGTGCCAAAGCAATATCAAGAGTTCGCCGCTCTTGAGTCGACGTTGGGTCTTCTGGTATTCTCATGGGGGCTGACCGTGGCGCCCACCGAGCTTTTTAAGGAGTTAAAGAAAGGTCGTGTCGATGTGGTTGTCACCACACCAGCCAAGATCACAGCCCTTTCCAAGCTCAAAAATATTCATCGTCCCTTCAAGTACTTTTCTCAAGTGAAGTATTGTGTCGTTGACGAAGCTGATACCTTGTTTGACAAGCTGTGGTTCGACACGACCACCAATATCGTTACAAGATTGGGACTGCTTGAAGGACTCATTCTATGTTCAGCCACCATTCCGCGAGAATTCAGTCAAAAGCTCAAGGAATTGTTCCCAAATAAGGGATCGGTTATCGAAATAGCATCGCCAGACCTTCATAAGCTCCCCAAACAAGTTCATTTCAAAGTCATTGATGCTCTGGAGAGACCCTATAACAATCAAAAAATTAGGGCGTTGGCACAATGTTTGTATGCTATTCAGCGTGACGGTACTGATCGTGGATATGTCAAGCGGGTGGTAGTATTCGTCAATGAGCGGGATGAAGTTGGCAAAGTTGTGAAGCAGCTAATTGAAAATTATCAGTGGAAACCACAAGATGTGTTATCAATCAGTGGAAATTTGAGTCCAGACCAGCGGCTGGATATGATTCGTCCGTTTGTGTCCGAACCAGAACAAACTTCCGACACCACAGGTGACAGCTCAATGAAGGTTTTGGTCACCACCGACTTGTTGGCCCGAGGAATCAACTTTCGCAGCGTTAAGAATGTCATTTTGATGGACCTCCCCAACAATTCTGTTGATTTGGTCCATAGAGTTGGTCGTACGGGACGAATGAGACAAGCAGGAAGGGTTTTTTTCATCGTTGATCGCAAAACTCGCAGAAGTTTTGCGAAAGGTATTCCGAAAGCCGTTAGATCTGGTCAGGTCATTGGCTAGCGAGGTAAGTTACCATGATGATACAAAAGATTTTCAAGACGTTAGACTTCTGATCTTACTTGAAGAGAAAATCTATACTCTGAGTACGTTACTAACGAAGACAGTCGAACACTGGAGGAATTCCACTTTTCATGCAATTGAAGAAGTTACTGTATATAGTATGCCAAAGAGGTTGACGCTGGTTGTTTTCTTCTTGGCAAACCGGTTGCGTGGATTATAGGCCTGGTAACTTGTGTAAATATATGATAGGCATGGTATGAAGCCATCGAAGCCCATCTACTTATCACCGTAGTCGAACCAGCGTGTGGCGCGTTGATCTGCAGATCAGCCCTCTTCGCCCCTCACATGACGTAGTCATCGAATTGGTCCGGGTGGCGCAAACACTAATTTATCGGCAAATGCGGCTTAAACTGCCGAACTGGAAAAAAAAAAAAAATACGTTCATTAAGCTGAGAAGGGGATCTGCAATGGCTCAGTTGTTCGAACTACGTGAATATCAATATATCTGTGATTAACAACTTCCATTCTGCATCTTATAGATTTCTCTGTATCACTTTTTATCGACGTCAAAAGAATGTTTAGAAGGTGCAAGGGCGGGTTATATGCAGAAATAGTCGTGCGCCGCCATATCTTAGCTTTAAAAGTAATATTCGTATCCTTAATTTCAAAGACATCGAAATTAACACTTACCATGTCCCAATCAACAACTTATATGGTTGAGGTACTGGCTTTACTTGAAAGGCTCCATTCATTGGAGACGATGCTGCAATACCAGAGGGAAGTTATCGAGGGATTACAAACAAGTCTCGAGAATGAGACTTGGCTCTCTCGCAAGAAGCGTAGAATACGCTGAGATTTGGAGTTGGGTAGCTAATATGTGGGTTTTTATAATGGGAAACTTGGTTTAGGTGTTTGGTTTGGGTGTTTGGTTTGGGTGTTTGATTTCAATAAACGGCTCATGGATTTGCATGATTTTATTTCACGGACAACTCTTTAGCTTGGGGACTCTACAACTGCAGTAATCAACAATGCAATTGATATCCACCCTGCTGTAGCCATACATTCTCGAAAACACGATTCTGGTAAGTATGTGAATCCCAAACATTTATATGGCTTGTCTTAGACAGCTGTAATCCACTGTCAGGGCCAGTAACCATCAATGCGAACATGACGGTGACTGTACCTCACTTGCTGTTTGCCCCGCTTGGGACCATTGCTGCCTCGTCGTGGAATCCGACGTCTACGGTACGAGTGTGGCTTACCCCATTTGACAGTGTCAACCTCATTCGCTCAGAATCACAAGAAATGTTTACTGTGGGTAGCAGCAGATTGGCCTGCGAAGCGGCTCTGTTAGGTGCCATGTCTGGTTGGAGACTTCTATTATTCAACAGATCCAACTCTAATCGAGTGATTGATCTCGACCCCGAACACCATCTTGAAGAGGCGGTGATCACAGACAAGTTCAGTCGTTTTCGTGAGCGGTATGAGGCACCTCATTACCCAATTGTTTTGTGCCATGGCTTTTCAGGATTTGATAAGCTTCAACTCGTCCCAGATCTTGGCATCAAGTCAACTGACAACGAACTTATTCAGCGTGGATTGTTTGAGGTCGACTACTGGTACGGTATCAAGGAAGCGCTTTCTAAGTTGGGTGCGACGGTGTTGACAGCAAAGGTTTCAGCTTTTGGTACCATTGAGGATCGTGCTAAGGAACTTCATACCTTCATTGAGGCCCAAACTGAGGAATTACGTCAAAAATCCAAGAGCGAAGTTTATCATCCCACATCGTCTACAACAGGGCATCATCATGATGGTAATCAACGATTTGAGGGTAGAGAGTCACCAGAAAATACTTCCAAGGCCGATTTAGTGAAGATTAATTTGATTAGTCATTCCATGGGAGGATTGGATCTGCGTTATCTCATACATAAACTACATACTGACAGCTCGATAAAGCGAAGCTACAAAGTTGCGTCGCTTACCACGATTTCCACTCCCCATCACGGTTCAGAGTGCGCTGATTTCATTGTTGATTGGATTGGCAACAATAAAGTGCTCAAAAAGTTATGTCCGCCTCTGGTCTTTGAGATGACAACCGAGGCTATGAAAAAATTCAATTCAAAAATCACAGACGATCCGGATGTGAAGTATTTTAGTTATGGGGCCCGATTTCAGCCAAAATGGTACAATGTGTTCAATTTGACCTGGAAAATCATGGCTCATCAAATCAAATCCAACAATAAGGACAAGGTGTTGTCTGACCAGTTGAAAAAATACATGCTAGAGAACGATGGTGTTGTCAGTGTTCAGTCATCTCACTGGGGAACCTATTTGGGTACCCTTGACGAGGTTGACCATTTGGACTTGATTAATTGGACAAATCGCACACGAAATGTGGTGGATAAAGTATTATTTGCTGAAGAGCCCAAGTTCAATGCAATTGCACTATATCTTGAAGTTGCAGACAGTTTGAGTAAAAGAGGGTTTTAATAGGTGTATGGATATAGAGTATTTAGACTTGCACGCCGTCTCAATATGTGGGCACATAATCAATAGTCATTTTGACATCGACAATAGTACCCTCTGTGATTCAGTAATTGAATCTCTTAATTTGTTTGGCAACATCAGAACAGTATTTTTCGATATTTTCAACTCCCTCGGCAATTTCGTCCAAATTAGAATTCCTCTCAGTATCATGTACATCCTCCCATGAGATACGTTTCACTACGGAGCATTTCCTCAACTCACTAGTCAACCAATTTCTGAACTCAGCCACAACGAGCTCCTTTTCCATGGAATTCAAGATCTTGAGTTCTGTAAGAAGCTCATTTCTGCGAACGTTGATCTCAGACATACTGCCACCCAATCTCTTTGCAGTATTACACGTCTGTTCATCTCCATATGTTTGCAACCAACTAGACGAGTGATCATAATTCAAAATGAATGAAGCATTCTTGAATGCCGCCACCGACAGCAGGTTTGCATTATCAAGATTGACGTCAAGCAACTCATACACGTCATTCATATGTATAGAACGCTGAATGTTGATAGGCTTGCTGTGGACAAATTTGTCGGCTGTATCCAGAGCTTTTCTAACAGCCCAATAATTGATGGACATTCTGCTAGAAAGAATCAAATTGAATATCATCGACACAGCACATAAAGTAATCAAAAGCTTGTTCATGGTCACGGAAGAGATCGTTGCTTTCGCAAAGCGGATGACACCTCTTACAAGTAGCACTATCACTCCAAGGATAATAAGGCACACGCGCTCGAGAAGGACTCTGTTTACGTCCAAAAATCTGTAAGTTATTGTTGGAATCGGTTCCTGCTTGTATGGCAAGTCTGTGATACTCAATTTCCCATAAAAGTAGATTGCTTTGGCAACCATGCCGTGATGGCCAACCTCTTTTACTACCTTATGCAAAGCTTTATGAATCTCACTGGCATGTGTGAGGCTGATAGTGTGGCATAACTTATCAATTCCCCAACTGAAAATGGACCGCGACGTGAAATTTCGCCGTGAGTAAACGTAAACTTGAGATCGTTTGCCAGCAACACCCACAATGACAAATTTATAATCCAAGGAAAACCGCGATCCCAAGAAGAATTCAAAATAGGACATGCTGTGTGTGAAAGTGTAGTACTCGTCGTCATACATGTTGTCAATGACTTGTTCCACTTGTACAGCTTGGCACTTGTGATTATAGCGTGTTTCCACGTTGAAACACCTCCACATATCGGTAGAGTTGGCATCTGTACTATTATTTTGTCGATACGGTGGAACCCCAACACGCCATGGTTGCACAGGAAAACAATCAACCTTCGAAAAGGTCAGAGTTTCTCGAAGCACAATCAGATGATCTCCCAATAGTGCGTGAAAAAGTGCTTTCGGGCTAAGATTGTAAATATCAACACTCGAGTAGGTATAATCGTCTCGAAAGTTGGTGCGGAAAACGTGAGACTTTAGCCCCGGTTTTTCTACCACTGACAGAGTAGGTGCACCTGCTTCTGCTAGCAAATTGCTCCCCTTTGAATGCAACAAGCTATAAACGCGTTCTTGATGAGTTACCAGCTTCGCAAGTTGGGCAATTAGATGAAGTTTGTATGAGTCTTGAAGATCATCGTTAGCGTTCTTATCAATTTCTTTCATTTCATCGAGTAGTTTCTCGATACCTTTTGACTTGTTGCTTGTGGCGTTCGATATCAACAGAATGATTTTTTTCTGTATGGCACGTCCATCATCCAAAAAGAGTTTGATTTTAACGCTGCCATCAATGGTGTAAATCTTTAAGTAGTCAAAATTCTTTTGGGCAACATGATCCACTGACACCAAGCGGTTTACTTTGTCCTTAAAAAGCGCAACGAATCCCAGCGCCAACATGTAAAAGTATACGTGATCCTTTGTAATGAAACACCGACCACTTAAATCTTGACGTGAATTTGGCAGCCAGATGCAACGAAAGGAAAGAAGACAATATTCGTTTGGCTCAACAGCTGTTTCGAAAAGCGCTCTCAACTGGATATCCTCAGGTACCAAGCTCGCGGGGTAGTACTCAGGGTAGCTCCCTCTTTGAACGGACTTTCCATTACCGCCTTCCTCCTCCGTCGAGGTGTTGCCTGGTAATTTACCATTTTCTATAGGTTCCTCACTTGACAGTGTGACGGTGATATCGTTTGTAGAATAAGGCAGCAATGCTGTCAGTCTGTGAGTTCCCAGATTTTCATGAAGATAATACACACCCCAATTTACAGAGCCCCAAATGTTTGCCGTGAGCGCAGATGGCAAAGGGGTCGCCGGAGTTGTAAGGTATGCAATGATCAGAGTTTTTGTGGTCCCAGTCATGAATGGTGGTCTTATGGTAGGGATTTGGTAGTAAATGTGCTTAACAAACAACTCTTCGTTTTGCGAAATGTGACTAGACAAATTGTTGGACGTGATAACATTACCTCTTCCGTCAACACATCGAAGACTGGTGAGTTGTCGGTCAACGGCACTGGGTTGCGTCAGCGCAAATTCCAGAACTAGAGGAGGAAACCTACCCAGAGCGACGTCCAAAAGATGCTGATCATTTAAAGGGTTCTGTGCAATACGGTGTCGCTCATTATCAAATACTTTGAGCCACAGCTTCAAATCACTCAACAGTTCTGCCTGGAGAATGATCAGCATACCACTTGTTTTCAATTCAAAGCAAAAGCGACGATCCTCATTGGGGTAATATTTCGCGTTGCATAAAAGTATACCGATCTTGTCAGTTTCTTGAACATAAGTTCCTTGAGGCAGAAGAACAAGCATTCCAAACACACCTCCTTTGAAAAAGCACCATCGCCTCACCCATACTGGTTTAGAAAGATTATCATACCATGTTTTCATGAATAGATATCCATGCTTTTCAAAAGCGGTTTCATTCGAATTCGCAAGCATTCGTCTATTGATGGTCAGAGTACGATAATCTTCGGGATTTTGCGACGGTGTGCACTGTGCAATTGCCAGGTCTTCAACTTGTTGTCGACTTATATACATGTCTCGTTTGAATTTTCCCAAACTTTCGGAATACATCAGACTCCAAGCTTGGATTCGATGAATCTTGTCCCACAGTTCACGATAACCAGGCATTACTGTATCACTAAACAACAGACGCTTAGTTTTCCACAAATTAGTCAGCATCTTAACTAAGTACAGGTCGAGTTGACTGCTCAATTGGTTAATCTCAATGACCAAATCCAATGATGCATGAATGTAAGCTTTCCGGACCTTGAAGAGTTCCTGAGCATCTTCAACAATCATTGACGCATCTTTAGTTTTTGAAGTACTTGCGTACAATGCCAAGTAACGTTCGTACTTGTGTTGATTCACCTCAAAGCGTTGCCGTACTTCCTTATAGTGGGCGATGCTTTTCTGCATAATGCTGTTAAGACTCTCAATTGAGGTAAGATTAACTTGCAACATAGATAAGGCAAGTCCCCATAACCGTCTGAGACCCTCAAGTGAAGTTCTAAGCGATTGCACTGTATACTCCTGATCGATCAACCCATCTTGCAAAAATGTCGGAACTAAATGCTCAAGGAACGAATTGAAGAAAGACTGAAGTTCTTTAAGGTACAGTGGAAGCTTTCGACACAGCAGAACAAGAGCCCTAAGCCATTTTTCAACGTTATCAACCTGTATATCCAAGTGGTTCACAGATGCTCTGAATGACGGCAGATCAAGCGCAGCCTCTTTAAGGTTCACAGATATAAGCTTGAACTGCTTAGTCATAATCTTTTGGGATTGAGTGGATGCCTGGGTGGATGCTTCCACCGTCGGCTCGGTTTCGGGATACTCACTCAGCATTACCGATTGCGCGACATCCGTGAGTGTTTGTATGCGGCGAATGCGTGGACTAGAAAAGTGGACTGTTGAAGATGCTTTGCTTGAGCCATACTTATACCATTGTGACGTATTTGTATGGCAATTCAACATTATACAACGGATAGGAGTCCTACGAATTTTTGCATGTTCTTGGGCAGTTCAATAACTGTACACCTTGAGATTACGTAGCCTTAGCCGTTAGTTTCAGGGATCGTAATGCATCTCGAATAGTTTAGTAAATTTGCTTGCTTTTCGGGTCGAGACCTCTTAGATTGCATTCATGACTAGTTGGTGTATATTTTTGATATCAAGCCGTTTGCAATTATAAAATGCAAGAGCAAACGTAAGAATCGATTCGTAACGTCCGGCCATCAGCCGCCGAATTTGCAACAGATTTCAGAATGGATCTTTGTATGATAAAAATAATTGCTGCGCCGTAGGTGACCAATTCCAGCATTAATTGCGACTGGAGATACGCGGAGAAAGATATACGATTTGAATATCGTTTGGCAAAAATTGTTTGGCAAAAATTAGTCTAATCAGCCAAAGTTCGGAGAGCTACCCAAAGTGCCAGCAATGCATACGCTGTCCACAAACGGCCCTGGCTAACAATGACTAAAACGTTGAGACTCCACCACCACCATGTGGATAAAATAGAAGCTAGCCTCGTACATCTAAACCCCGCGTTTGCTAACATCATCGCTAGAACGTATGCATCATAATTTCCATCGGCAATATATGAAATTAAAGCCACTGGAATAAACGCCCACTTTGACGCTCCCAAGGACAAGTATACTTGATATGTCGCCAATTGTAAGGCGTCCTCTCCTCGATTGTTGTAGTACAAACAAACACTGACGAAAGCCCATAAAATTCCTAGAAGCCACGCAATCCGTTGCCTGTTGGCAGCAGACACCCGGCGCTTAACATTAGGATACTCGAGAAAAATCAAAGCAATCAAGGTGAATGTCCCCGCCAACACAAGAGGGTGTTGCCTCAGAGAATGACTGATTGGCTTTAGTATGGCCAATAGGGCCAAAACCGCCAGACATCCTTCGATTTGGTCCGGTCGAGGACTCATCGAAATGAGTGTGGTTTCGCGATTCCTGCACCTACTGTATGAGGCTCGAAAAAACGACGCCACAAATACGATCGTCGGACCCGCACGTTACTCCGCCGGGCCACATACGAATTAGGCGATAACCCGGGCCGATATCGGAAATGAGTAATTCGCTAGGCTCAAGTTCATGATTGGAAGAATAATCAGCGTTGCGTGCAGACTCACATTCGAATCATGGGTGTTTAGTCCCAGGAATTCACTTTGGATGATCAAAACCTGTTGGAGCAATTTGTCATGCTCATGACGTAACCACATGATTGCACAATCGCTACGTATTTAACGGTGACGGCAAGGTACTGCACGCTCGTTACAACGCCTCTACCCTGCACCTGTCGCTTGGTGCTAGAAGGAAAAGAAAAGCTAGAAGGGCAATTTACTTGATTCGAAAGCGTAACAATTTGCTTCTATATGTACACCGCTTGTTTTTTCGACTCTCATTGCTGCGGTTGGTTTGCTTCATACCTTGACGTAACCCCAAAAGTACTTTTAATACTGTGGAGCATTTTTTGTGCGACTTAAATACCGGCGGGCCACCCAAGATTTCACCCCCATGGTGTTTACCGAGCCTGAACTCCTTGCTAGTGGCAAAGGTAGCGTGGTCAAATGTCTCGACCACCACCAACAGGCGATGCAAGCGCTTAGCCGCCAATACACTCTGGACGAGTTCAGTATTGAAAATCTCATCGCATCGCTTGATATCTTTCATCTGACCTATGTTAATGGTGGCAAAATTATATTGTGTGGTATTGGCAAGCTGTTCAAGATCGCTAACAAGTTGGTGGCCACACTCAACTCTTTGCTGATTCCTTCTCAACCTTTACACCCATCAGAAGCATTACATGGTGATTTGGGTTTGATAAATGAGGATACTGATTGTCTTGTCTTGGTGACAGCGTCAGGTAATACTCCTGAACTCCTTCAGTTGTTGCCTCATCTTCTGCCTGAGTTGCCTATGGTCTTATTGACTTGTTCCAAAAATTCAAAGCTTTCCAACCACCCTATGGTGAATTCATTGATGTATGTTGAATTACCACCTCATTTAAACGAAGACCTGATTCATGGGTTGCCAGCTCCTACAGTACTGACGAGTCTCTCGCTCATACTAGCTGATGCCACGGTATTAGCTCTTTCCGAAATGATTGAGGACGATTTGCTCAAACGGAAAACTCAGTTCTCAAAGAAGCATCCTGGTGGATCTATTGGTCTTAACTTGAGTCATTTGAATGATAACCATATGAAAATCAGCTCGCAAACACTGACTGCTCTGTTAGTGTCATTATCTCAACTAGCCTCAAAAGATTACGGATCACTGGTTTCTAGTGACTATGAGAGTGGGCCTGAAGATAAAGGGGTTCCATCACTTGGGACTCCAACGATCTCTACGACGGAGCTGATTAGTCGTGAGACTCTTGTCAACGCACAACTTCTGTCTCTCGTGGGTTCACTGGCCCACGTGTTGCTGGTGCCTCGACGCGAAGTGATGGCACTACTGTACGGGGAATGTTCGAAATTTGTCGAGTGGGTGGCGATGTACGACTATCTTGTGGTCACTACTGATAATGTCGTAGCCAATGATAAGCATGCAGTGGCCATGGAGCATGTTCGAATGCTCTACCGCAACCACTTCACAGGGAAGAATGATGAGGATGCCTGGAATCAATTCAAAATGGAATTGATGCTAGCATTCGTTCCGGTTTCGTTTTAATGGGTTTTATGGGTTTATGATTTGTAATGATATAAATGGTTTGAAAATCGCTATTAGGTTTTATCTCACTTCAAGAAGGTTAAGGAGGCTACATGCCACATCGGGTATTATCGAGTAACCAGATTTGAGTTCAAATTTTCGCATTGTGTTTCAAATTCTTGCGTCGTGTCACATGCTTTTAGTTCAAATGCCGCGTCCAGCGCGCAATCCCCGTTAGCATTATTAATTGTGATTGTTTTGTGAGACTAAGGGTATTTCTTTTTAATAAAATCGCCGTTCGCGTTCTTCAGCCAAAGTGATAGAGTAATCATACGCAGGAGGACAAAGTCACTGTACATCTGAAAAGTGTTGGCGAGGAGAGTCGAGTTCTTCATTATTGCTCATAGGCTTTTCAAGGCTCTAATGCAGTGTATGGTTTTGTTCATGCACTCTGGTCTTCCAAAAGAAGGCACATTTTGTTTGCAAAAACCCTCAAAGTGATGAATCCACATAATTTCACCTGCTTCGCAACGTACATAAGGGTTTTCAAATGGTCAACAGTATCAAAGAACTCGTAGCATGACTGCACTTTGATAACAATACTACAAAGAAGACCAAGCTACTCAAATAGGAGAAGAATTTTCTTTTGTATTCACAAGATAAAATGACATCGCGCTATTTACAACCATCGGATGTCAACATATTACATTCAGTTACCATTCTCAGCATCAATGAGAGCCGTTTCCGCAACAATTATCATCTTTTCAACCAGAGCCAAATGCTTACCGTAGCTATTTTTCAGACTGATGTGCTTGAGATACTGCCTCAACTTTGTGACGAGAATTCGTTTTTGACGACTCTTAGCATCAAATACTTCCACCAATTTCTGTATAACATAATTCGCGTACTGATCTTTCATCATGAGTGCCAACGGTGAATCATCAGCGACAGATTCATTTTCGAAATCTTCGTTGCCTAACATCACTTCATTCAAAATCCGGTTGCGTTGATCAAACAGACCATATTTAATGCATTTTTCAATAACATTCAGGGCGAATTTGTGTTTTGAAAATGCTACAACCAGACCAAGAACGACGACGAGAATCAGCTCGCGATCTTTAGGATCGCCTCTTTCAATTATGTGTTGCATAACATAGTTCCCGTATTGATCTTGAATGAGGTAATAAATAAACCTCGAAAGCTCGTCAAGGATCATTTGTTGATCAGCAGGGTCCAGATACTCCAAAAGTCGCTGGATAACACGGCATCCGTACGGGTGAGTTGACAAATGATAGATTTGATTGCTCAATGCATCCAAAATAAATTTCGTGTGCTCAAAAGGAATACGTTCAATCAGCTTTTGGATAACATGATTCCCATTTTGATCTTTAGCACAGATAAGAACATAATCACGCAACTCATTCATTATTTTGATTTGTCCATCAAGTTCGATAGCCTCTAAAGCACGCTGAACTACTCGACACCCATACATCTGAAGCAGCAATTCATAAACATGTCCCAACATCAGTTCCAACAAAACCTGCTGATGAGTTTTAGAACCATGCTCGAAATACTTTTGAATAACGTAGTTACCAAACACATCCGTCATGAGCTCATAAGAAATCTCCCTTATCTCATTAAAGATGACTTCTTTTTCTTCCTCACTAGCTTCAGGTAGCTTCTGTTGGATAAATCTCAGTCCATGCTGGTCTTTCGTAAATTCGACAGCATGACCGTATATATCCTTAAGATGGTAGTCTTTCTTGGGATTAGCTCGGACTTCCTCGAGGAGGGGCAGTCGATAGATATGAGTAGGACCCATCTTGTTGGAAGATTGATTCCGCTTACCCAGACGCTTTTTACCATTCTGTCCTCCAGCTTTGTTGGATGTGTTAGGGGACCCAACATTTGCTGTCTTCACATGGTTAGAAACATTTTCCGGAGCAACAGGCGGAGGCAGTTTGTGCAGTTGTGGGGGCGGAGGGTACATACCGTATGGCCCAAATGGATGAAACATATAGCTCACGGGTGTGAATTGCTGTTGTCTCATATGGTTGAGGCCAACACCGCCTGGTTGATGCTTCTCGTGGTCCTTTGAAGGCGTAGGGTGTTGGAGGGGAGTAGGTGCGGTCACAGTTTGATCACTTTTGTTGGACTCCTTGTCTTCAACAACGGCCTCCTCGTTGTTTTCAGCAGGGTAGGCGTTAAAGTTGTACATATCCATGAAACCCCCTCCCGCCATCATGAATGGTGGCGGCGGCGACATAGCCCCATTCGGAGCCATGTATGGGTTAAAGGGAGCACCATAGTGGAAGTTGTTGGGTACAAAAGCAGGTGCCGTCGCTGGGTTCCAAAAATTTTGCGACTTTTGTTCACCCTGAGGAGGCCCTTCAACAAGCGATGCTTTGGCTTGGATAGGCAGGTTATTGTTGTAATTATCAATTTTTTCCAGGATCAGTTGATGACGCAGGGTTCGGGAAATAGGCATGTTCATGTTTTCATTCAAGCTACCATGGGGCAGCGACATCAGCACTAAATCAGCCTTAATGTTGATGGGGGTCTCATTGAATGAGGGCCTGCGCAGACCCTGATCAATCGAAAGGGGTCCCAAGCCACCATTGAGTTCAATATCTCTGGTGGTATCAGCAACCAGAGAAAACTTTTGAAGAAAAGAGTCCTTTGGAGGATGACGCAGGGCAATGCCACCCAGAATCAGAGCGGTGCCGAACTGAAGTCTCAGTCCATACTGCGCAGTCAGAGGAGCAACAGGTGCGGTAATAGCCAGTAAAGACCCTTTCTTTAAGCCAAGAAGGGCATCGTCAATATCCGAAGAATCATTGAGAGAAAGCTGTCCAAAAGGATCATCCAGCATGAATTTAGCTACCGAAGGTTCAACATCAAGTGTCAGCTTGTACGATAATGATTCTTGTGGCAATGATAACAGCAGGTGGGAGCGATTGGGTGACCCATGATTACTGGACCATATTGTTTCCGAAGGCATTTGGCTAGTTCAGCAAAACCAAAGTAAATGAAATCGATCACAACTTAACAAGTACTTGGTTCCCGGTGGTCCAATATCAAACACGTGTGGGGCGGCGGTGTTGGGAAAGCCAAGGAGGTATGGTGGCACACCGATTTCTTTTTTCGGGTGCAAATGGAGAGGGCGTGCACTGCACCACACAATGACAAAACCGGGTCGACAATAAGTCGGAGACATAGCTGGAATCACTACTCTCAAGTAATCCTAGCGTAAGCGGAATCAATCGATTGGGACGGTATGAAACCGACACAATCTTTCGTGTAAATCTGACGAGTGGAGACTACGAGGGGAATGAATTTTCAAACTCCGGATCCGAAGCGCGAAGGGTTGTTACGGGAGGGTTAATGCTTGACAGGTGCAGGTAAAAAACGTCCGACCTCATCTCATCATACAAATCAAAAACACTTCTCAAGAGTATTTTGGGATTACGGTAAACCATATACTAATCGATCACCTTGTTGTCCGAGTATCACCACGTGTTCCGTCGCAGTCGAAGACCTGCTCACGCTCACCGGAATGGTGCCAATTGGAAATAAGACTCTAGCTATGTGCTGTTTCAGACTAATGTTATGATTTGATAGACGCCCATACAATAGAAGGATCATGATTTCCCAATGAATCTTTATTTTCCACGGTAGTGTTCAATGAGATGTAGCAAGGATATGAGGGCCTACAGTGCATGGTTGGATCTTAATGGAATGTTCAACGATGTCTTCTTGGTGTTAGATAAGCAAATACACTTCTAGCGACTTGAGTAAACTAATCAACCAGCTATCAATTTAGCTATTATGAGTGTATATCTCACATTCGAATTATCTGATCTCGCGATCCACGCGCTTGTTTTCATATCTCGAGCGTTCATCCAGCGCTAATGCTCCTATTGTGTGAGGACTTGTCACCGCATCGCATTGCAATCCTAATACTTATTAAATCGGTGGTGTCTCAAAGTCCGAAAGTAAAGCTTCCTTTACTTCCACTCATCCAGCTTCTCGAGAATGATAAGAGTCTGCTAGCCCCTGAGAGCACGGTGCAAATGATGCCTACCGTTAATGATTTGCTCAATATTATCGATTCTAATGAATTGAAGAACGTTCTCAGCTCACAGCTTTGGCTGATTATGACGCCTGAAGACCTAGATGCTCAAATCAGGTCGGCGTTCGATTTGATCGTGTCTGATCAGGTGTATACCTCGAACGGTAAGATTCAGATTAACAAGGTCAGTATAATGGGAAAATATATCAGCATGATATTTCAGGCATTCAAAGTGCTCAAATTTGACGAGATGGCTGTTTTGTTTGATGCTTTTGTCCAATACCGTGCGCCTTTACCCCCCCCATCGTTAGTGAATGCAAAGCTGAATCAAAATAATCCTTTGTTTAATACTCTCACAACTCACTTGATTGACCTTGGTATTGGGTCCTCGAAGCCGGAGGAGGTGATCTCTGTCCCAAAACATGACTTTGAAACCTTGATCAGCAACCAAATATACTTGCTTGAAAAGTATGGCACTCCAACACCAGCAAAACTAAAGGTCGTCATGGAGCTGATGTCTAATCCTGAAGTTGGGCTGATTGGGAATTCAAATTTTTTGAATCTTCCTCAATATCATTATCTCCGATTTCTCGAAGCTCTTCTCGTTCGCGATTACCACCTTGCACAGAACTCACTTCACCAATATTTCGACTACATGGTTGCGAATAATTCGAAACATTATTATCATTATGCGCTCATCCTGAAGGCCCTGTTTCACGAAGACTTTGGAGAGGATGAACAAGCATTGGATACTATTGAGGAAGCAATTCTGATAGCTCGCGAGAACAAAGATAATCATGCACTTACCTATATTCTCCTGTGGCTCTACAATTTTATGAAAAACAAACCTCAACTTTGGCTGCGGCAACGATTTTACAATGCCACCAACGATCAACAGCTCCTAGAGGTGCTTTTGAAAAAGCTGAAAAATGAAGTTCCATTACATACGGTTGCTTACACCTACGAGGCAGCACAAAATATGTCGAAAGGAAATCTCCATGACTACATGGAACTGATCCTAAAAGGAAATTTTGTTGGTCTATATGCAACGTCATCGCAGCCTTTTTTCATCCTGACAAATATGGCAACGTCTGTGTGGAGACAAGTGGGCTATTTGGCTGTTGCTGAGGTTTACAGTGACCTTTCGCAACGCGCCATTAGTTGTACCAAAGATGCCGTAAATTTTCATTGTCAACAGTACTACTTGAACTACATAAGTGGTGAAGATGAGTCAGCCTTGAGCGACATGGCTATATTGCTGGAGCGCTTCAAAGACCACCCATCATTCAATCACATTCAAGTGCGCCGTCTTCTCCTCGAAATGGATGCCTACATAAGGAGAGGGAGATATAGAGTTGCTCGCCAAATATATCATCAACTCGAAAGTAGTCCCATTCACGATTACGAGATGGAAGTCGAGATCTTGATTATGGAAATATCCCTTCTAATTGCAGAAGGCAATTTCTCCAAAGCCGTGGTGAAGATCACCAACAGATTGAACACAAGTGTTTCCTTAAGCAGCTACCACAAACTCAAGCTTCAGATTTTGAAATGTCTGGTATTTTCCAAAACCGAGAATCATATTAAGGGAGTTACCCTTTTACTTCGTCAGATAACTGCTGCTAAAAAATTTGGCTTCTTAGGCCTTATGGTGGAGGCGCTGCTTATTCTTGCCAAAAATTTAACAGCTGTGGGCTATCATAGGGATTCTTATGGTGTGCTATGTCAAGTGATGCCACTAGCTTTATCCCTAAATCTTCATCACCTTCAAATTCAGGGCTACTTAGAGTTGGCGAAAGTCTGTTGTAAAATGTATCAGCAACTGGCTTGCAAGCTTGGGCGAGTCTTGAAGTTTCTTAATTTGGCGATCGTGGGGTTCAAGAAGGAAGTGGCATTAGTGCCCTTAACCGAGTGCTTCAAGTTGGAGAAGGAAGTCGCTGAGATTTATGGAGATGAGGAATTGCTCCAGCATGCAAACTTAGGGCTTCAGAAGTTGGCTCTCCGAGTCAAGGAAGAAAAATTTTGTGGTTATGAGAATGACTGTGCGCCTTATCGAAAGCGCGATTGATAGCCTATTATGAGAGACATCGGAACTGGCTTCCGATATTAATGAGTTGACAATTAAAGCCACAGTTCCTTATCATCAAAGTTGCTTTTATACGTCGATATACCTTTTCATCATGATATAATTAATAAGCGATCGCTTTCTAATCAACCTATAGTTTTCATTAAATTTCAGGCTTCCCCCGCTTTATCGCACGTTCGGAACATTCGACGCGATAAAGGCCGCTCGTTCTCCACCACATTTACATAACCCCTCATCATGCCAGGACTCAAGGAGCACCCTCAACTTCTTCCCAATATTATAAAGGACCAGACCACTGGTTCTGCGGGTATTGTTGCAGGGGAACTTGCCGCAGAAGAGCATCTCATCAGTGATCAACAAGAAACCTCTCATAGCTACGGCACTATTGAACTGACGCAAGAGGAATGCGCCGATTACAATGGTTACGCTCTTCCACCCACACAATTGCGGGTAGTGGTTCTGCTGCTCTTTTTGTGCTCATTTTTGGCCGCTTTGGATACTACTGTGGTTACAGCTCTTCTTACCAAAATTGCCAATGACTTGAACGCAATCAGTCTGATTTCGTGGATTGCCACGGCATACCTCTTGTCATGCTCAGCGATGCAACCCATTTTTGGCAAACTCTCTGACATCTTTGGTCGTCGAGCAATGCTTTTCATTTGCTGTATCACATTTGGACTTGGCTGTGCAATGTGTGTAACAAAGTCCTTGACGATGTTGGTCTTAGGTCGCTTTGTCACTGGCTTAGGTGGCCTGGGTATGACCTGTCTTGGCACGATTACCATGTCGGACCTTATCCCTCTCAGAGACCGAGGATTCTATCAAGGGATGGCGAATATCTTTTTTGGTCTTGGCTCTGCCTCCGGTGGATTCGTGGGTGGGCTTATTTCGGATGCATTGGGATGGGAGTATGTCTTCATTCTTCAGGTCCCATTGGCATTTTTGGCGGCCTTTGTAATCAGGAAATATCTCATTTTGCCTTCTGGCTCTCCTGGTTTGGGTGCAGTTGGCTCGAGCATGCGTGCTAAGTTGGCGCGGGTTGACTTTTTGGGCTCTTTTCTTTTGGTACTGGCGCTTATGTGTGTTCTTACTGCTGCTTCCATCGGTGGAAAAGATGTTGCTTATTCGAGCCCCTGGTTTATTGGCCTTTGCATTGCATCATTTGTTCTCTTGGCTGCTTTCGTGTATGTTGAAGCTTACATTTCTGAGGAACCCATTATTCCGATTCACTTGTTGGGAGAGCGTACTATTATTTCCCTGAGTTTGGCCAATTGGTTCTACTCCATGGGCGTTTTCACTTATCTTTTTTACATTCCTGTTTTTTTCTCTACGGTGATGCAACTCTCGGGCACTCAAACAGGTCTTCGTCTTATTCCTAACTTCTTTGCTGTGTCTGTTGGATCAGTAGGTGCTGGGATTTACATGAAGAAAACTGGTCGGTACTGGAAATTGGCCATGGTGTTTGGTTTGATTTCAGTTATCGGCATCATCAGACTTTATTGGATCAACCCTCAAGCTTCCCTTCTTACGCAATTTACCATCATGTTACCCCCTGGTTTTGGATACTCTGTGATGTTGACAATCACTTTACTTGCATTGATTCTGGCGGCTCCGGCGAAATACCAGGCCTGTACCACTTCGATCCAGTATACCTTCCGCTCTACAGGTTCAACCCTTGGTGTATCAATTGCTCTGGCTCTTTTCCAGTATGGCTTGCGCAAAAACTTGCTGTGGAGAGTACCTGCAGTCGTTCTGGATCCGGAACTAGCCAAGAAATTTATCGAGAAGGCATTGGCGAATTCGGATTATATTTACAAAGCCCCAAAGTACGTTTCACAAGCGATATCCGACTCATACTGGATGGCGTGTCGCCTGGCGTTTGCATTTGCTGTGGCAACAATTACTATGGGGGCAATTTCAGCAATCTTCATGCGTGAAAACAAACTTCATCTGACGGTCAATCGCGATTGAATGCTTATGTGTTGGCCCTAAGAACAAATCGATTGATAGTAATGCGAGACCGGATATGACAGCGTCGGATCATATAACAGCACTTTTGTGCTTGCGCTGTTACACAAACCCTGTGTCCACAGATAATTGAAAAACTTTGTGGTTGTATAATGCCTTTCAGGGTTTTCTAGAATTGTATAATTAAGATCACATCAACAATTGAGAGTGAAAGGTACGAATTCGCTCTCTTCTGCAGCGACGCGAGGGATTTGTTTCACTAGAACGATCGCACTTGTTGGACGACAACTAGAATCAGGTACTTAAGTTAACGTACAGCATATAACCCATTATCTCCTCATATCTCCGGCGGACAAACAGACGCTTACAAAGCGCGTAGTTGGGAGAATATCACTTTGTGCATCGTTCGAACAGGTAGATGCATCAAAAAAGATTTCACGTTCATTTGGTATAATGATGTGATCTGTTTACCAATAAGCTTCCTTCACGGCTTAAAACTAGTTGTTGTTCCATAATGGAAGATTACAAAGCACGTTCCCCACTGGTATGTGCGAATAGTTAAATTTTGGTGCACCTCAACCTTTTGTAAGTTTAATATCTTGCATAAGAATTCTGCAGGTGTTGTCACATTACTGGTTGATTGACATGTTATATCCGTTCCGGGAAACGGATAACCACAAGAAGTACAAAGCACGCTCTTCTGATATAGCAATGGGTAAAAAATATGTGGTGTATAGACTTCAACATGGCATTCTTTCGATGAGGTGTTTCCGGTCAAATGAGATACTTTAACCTCTGCCTTAAGAGTTTATGAGATCAATCACTTTTTTGGGCTCCTAGCACTAATAATGGCTTTAAATATATCAAACTTTAATACAAGCGAAAATGTAATAATTACAAGGATGTCCTTTGAACCCTTTCTTTTGTTGGAAGTTTTCGTATGAATGTTTGTCTCAATTCTCAAACAACTCCGCTCTCACTGACCGAAAGACGTGTAATAATTTCGCTTTGAAATAAGGGCATGTCTGGTTACTTTTAGGTTTGCAGGGTCTAATGAATTCCAGATTACTATTACATCAGTTCACAGGGCTGGTACTCAATGAATTTATCAGAAGTATGCGCGCACCGTTATAGAAGCTCACACAACTCAGGCGTTGGCTGAATTATGCCGAGCGAAGACTTTTGCGTTTTACTTCCTTGGAGACAATGAACGAAGATATATTGAGCAAGAAAGCCATGATTTTTTTAAAGCACAATGAACTCAAATCCAGAGCAACAAAGTGCCCATTATTCAGATGAGGCCAGTCAGCAGGAAAGTGGCGATTATGACGAGGTGAAAGTCAACATCAAAAAGATCGAACTTATTGCGAAGCAATGTGATCGGGTAATTTTTAAGGTAATTGTCACGCTGATTTTGTTCACTATCGTCGGCAACATTGTTACCTCTCAGTCTACGAATGTAGCTTGCTTTTGTGGTGGTACCGCTATCTATCAGATTGGATTGAGTGGTATGCAATTGTGTGCTGAATTCATAGCCATGGACCATTCCAATTTCAACTGGCGCTTATTTTGTGCATCGGTGCCTAATATTGGCGTGGTAATTACTACGTGGGTATCAGGCAATATAACGCCAGAACTTGGTCAGTGGTGGGGTTGGGGTATTGGTATGTGGGCATTTATCCTTCCGTTATCATGTCTTACCTTGCTCTCAGTTTTGTTGTATTTCGATTGGAGGGCTAGGTGCAGCTCGCAGTGGATGGAGCTTAATCAAAAATACAACGCATACAGCAAGATTGAATATCGCGATGTGAGTGTTGTCATCGATATGGATTCGATTTGTAAGGTTGTTTCACAGACTCAACATCATTAGTATTTTATTAACTATTGTGATATACGGTTTGATCCTTGTGCCTATTACTCTCGCTGGTGGCGATTCATCTGAATGGGGAACGGCCAAAATGCTTGTCCCCCTTTATCATTGGGTTTGGACTTATTCCGTTCTTTTTAGTCTGGGAAATCAAATTGGTAAAGGCTCCACTCATCCCTTTAGAGCTTTCAAAGGACCGTGCTGTATGGGCGGCATTGGTAATTGGTGTGTTTGTGAACATGGTATATTATGTTCCAAATGATTACATGTACACTGTTCTCCTAGTGGCTGTCAATGAATCAGTGACATCAGCTACCAGAATGATTCTGCTTTACAGTTTCGTTAGTCTGATCACTGCATTTTTTGTAGGCCTCTTAGTTGTCCGTTATGGTCATATGAAACCTTTTATTGTTTTTGAATGCTCTATATGGTTTGTTGCAAATGATTTGCTTGTAAGGTATCGCCTGGGGGAGGAAGCACACAGCGGCTTGTGGGTGCATTAGTTCTTGCTGGGTTTTCTGCAGGGTTTATTAATTACACCACTCTCATTGCGGTGAAATCCTACGCACCTTACGAATACATGAGTCTGATCACAGCAGGATACCTTTCATTGTGGAATTTTGGTTTGAGTGTGGGTTATGCCATCTCTGGTGCAATTTGAACACAAACTTTGTACCAAAGATTATTGAAAGAGATCGGCGAGTCGTAAATCGCAAAAGGAGCGCACTCTTCGCCGATCGGATTCATTATAGAGCATCCTTGGGGAACTCCCATTCGTACGCGGAATCATATCCAGTGGTTACCCAGTGTAGCAGGATTATGTTGCGTTGTGCTGGCGCTTTTAGCGGCCTTTCTCTTGAGGGATCGGTACCTAGACTCTAAACAGTCTTTGGATCTTGACGACAGTAGCGGTCACAGCTACTTACCTGAAATGGCGAAAGCCTTTGCGTTCGATCGAAGCGTTAGTCCAAGTTCAAACGATAGGAGCCACACTGGATGTGATCTTGAGTCAAATATGTCGAAGAAGTAATGAAAGAACCGTGGCGTGCAACATCGTCGTTGCTAAAGCATTGTTCATGATACGTATTGCAAAGAATCTAGTTGTTTTTGCTCACATAGTGCTCTTGTAGTTTTTATAAACTATATCGGCTGAGTCGAAGTTGGATAAAGCGTTGTCATGCGAGAAGAAACTCATCTGGCACTCGCTACTCTATTTGAGAAGCTTTCTGGGAAAGCGGCGGTACATTGAAACTTGTGTGTACATCTTCGTGGAGTAACAAATGCCATAAACTATCCTGGCAAATACTCAAAGAAGAAAGTCTTCAATTCCGAAAGCGCAGCTGGGGTTGATCCCCATCTCAAATAGGTATCAGCACCTGAAATGCTGTTTCCACCGGATTGTGAAAATACACCTGCAACGATGATTCCATATTTACGGACGGCCGGTACCCGGGTTACACCCTCAGGGAAAGTTTTAAATGCTTTCGAAGGCAGCTCTTGAATGCGGGGTGCACCTATACTTCCTATCAAACACTTTTGCACCCACGATATAAATTCGCGCCTCACCCCCACAAAGCCGTACGTCGACATGGAGAAGTTTTCCAACTACCGGGACAAGGCGACCGGTATTTCGCCGTTTATGCCTGTTGAGCCTCCAAAGAGCTCTGTGGCGTTGTTGCCTTTACGTGTGATCTATTTTATCCTGAAGTTGCCGCTAATTTTAGCTGGGTTCTTCTTTGCGTTAGTCTCGCCTGCGATGGGGTCAAACTTCTTGTTATTGATTGTTGGCGGCCTCAATCTGTGTACCGTTTTGGTGGATGGGGTGAAAAAACGGGCCGTGGACACAATTTCCAAGAGTTTGCCTAAGCCTGGTGACATTGTGTTTGCCAATCACATCACCCCTATGGATGGATACATTTATCAGATTGTCGCTAATAGATCAGTTTACATTGTCAAGGCCGACCCTGAAGGATTCCTCCACCTTTATTCCCCATTCAAACTTTTTTGGAACTCCTTTGATGAATCTTTGGAATCGAAAGGTAAACGAGTCAAATCCCTTGATGAGTTGAAAGATAGACCAATTATAATTCTTATGGAGGGGACAACATCGAATAATAAAGGTCTTCTTCCATTCATTAATGTCTTCTCACGCGGTGGACATTACAAGCTCGATGGTAATATCAAACTGTTGGTGATCAAGATTAATCCAGGCTATCTTACATTGGCGTTACCGAATATAACGCCACTTCAATACTGTTTCAGATTGTTTGCGACTCTCAATACCAAAGACAACAATATTAAAGCCAAAATTCATAAATTCGAGCTGTATGATGTCAAGGCTGTTCGTGGAGCATTCGAGGAAAATGGCTTGCCCCTTTTGGCCAATAATTTGACCGTCGCCACCAAGCGCAAACTCATTGCAGATTACAAAGAATCTTCATCATAGCGGTAGCTGTAATATAATCTATAAATAAATAATTCTATAAAAGATTTGTAGAGGAACACTCAAGACACTTTGGACTGCGTAGCTTTGAGCAAATATTGTTTGTACGCAAGCCACAGACCATCATTGTTCGGCTTATTAACAAACACTGGTATTCTATTCTCAAATATTTCACCACTTGTCGAGGCAGTTACCTTCAAATAGTAGTATCGTCCAACATAGCATGACTGAAAACTCGGAACAAGACAAAACCTGTCATATGCGGGAGTTTTAGGGATTGCCGAAGCGGCTGTCACAGGTGTCAATTGGAGAGTCTTCAAATCAACAGGGATTACAAAGGACTTCGAAAACTCTTGCGGATTTTGCTTGTTCGCGTCCCACTTTATCAGGTTGAGTTGTTTGACCAGTGGTGGTCGCAAAAACAATTCTTTGCTTTGTATCTCCAAGTCACAAAGTGCCCACACGTCGCTGATAAGCTGGGTTTCGATTGCGAAATCCTTGCTTTGTTGTTTCACATTTCGGAGTTCTTGAGCGAGCTTTCGGCATCGACTCTGTATATCCAGCACATTGGGCAGAGCAAATTCCATGGGAATAGGATACTTCCGTGTAGTATAAGTCTGCGCCACAAGCAGAATTGATAGCTCCTTGAACTCTGGACAGCGCGTAGACCCACTGCTTTGGAGGAAACCAAAATCGAGAACTATATTAAACTCCCACAGCATGCTACTCTCCTCAGGCTGACGAAGAAGATTACATGTGGTTGGAATGTAATCGATCCTAATAAGTGGATTTTTGCAGTGCATCCTTAAAGTGCCGTAAGGTTTTCGTTTCGTTCCAAAACCTACCAGTTTAGTGAGAATTTTCACTTGCTCTTGGTAATCTGGTGTTTTAGAGTACTGTTGACGGGGTTGTTGTCGATAAAGCTGACGTTCCTTCGCCAGTTCGGTTGATGCAACAGGTTCCAATGCATTTTCCATACTTGACAGCCCGTCCATGGAAGTGGATTCATGTCTTTGAAACTCCTGTATGACTTCTTGCACCCTGCTTTCAATATTAGCTAATTGCTGGTTCAGAATGGCTTGCTTTATCTTGAAGTTCGAAAGTTCCAACGATTCTGACCGTTGAATCACTCTGACATAGCCGGTTTCTTCTTGCAAAATAATGTATTCATCACCTCGGCTATTCACCAATTTTCGCGACCCATTGGGATTGGGTGCTTTCTCAATTCCGTACTTCAGTTTACGGCCAATGAAACGGGCTAATACTCCATATGTGATGGAGGTGTTAGGTCCTGCTAAGTCTTTCGACAGCATGCTTAAGGAAGATGCAGCATTTTGAGCCAGATTTTGCCGCGATAAGGGGGGTCGCTGCATATGTATTTGTGCACCCACCACAGAGCCACCAAAGGTTGGTGGTAATTGAACATGGTCGCTGATGTCATTCTCGCACTTCGTGTCTAGTAAGGCCCAAGGAATCTTGAATGTGAAAAATCGCTTGTATCGCTTGCCTGGATGTATGAGTCGATCTTCAAGAAATGAAAGGCAAGAGCCGTCAAGGGGATCGACAATGCTGTTGAATGCAAATGGGTTGTTCTCGTCGGTATCTAAACGATTTATCTGAGCTGCATTGAAGCTGGCACTGAAGTCAAACATAGATAAAAAGTTGTCAACTTTAGTTTCGCCTGAGTTTCCCTTAATGCGTATAGTACCCTCGAATACGACATAGAACATATCAAAGGGAACTGGTTTTCTCAGCTTGTTTTCAATAGTGATATAACCATTCAAAAAGTCACCCTTGTTATACTCAAACAGACTGGGGTCGATGATGATGGGTTCTCGTCCCAGCTCACAGAGATCCCGGGTAAAACAAACTTCCATAGAGATGGCCTGGGCATGAGGATTTGATGTCTGCAGTAAATTTTCCAACCGGTGAACGTTGTCTAACATGGTTTGGCGCCATCGTGACAGGTTTTCATTGGCAACAACATTGGGGCGTTCCCGACGTCCCTGCTGAAGTCTGGCGGCGACAGATGCTGCTAAAGATCCGTCAACGTTGTAAGTAATGCCAAGCTGAGGAGTCATTATCGGCAGCATTGCTGGAGTCGCCGCCACGGGGGTTGCCATGACTGAAGTTCCCATCGCAGGCGTATCTTCCCTCAGGTAAACTGGAGGCAGTTGATAAACATCATCGGAGTCGGAGTCTGTATTGTCCTCTGCTTTGTACAAGGAGTTGTACATATGATATGACGGGAGAATACTACATAGTCTGTTGTTTTCTTCGTCTGTCATCGTCAAGGTCCGCACTATGGCGCAAAGTCTGGGGAAAAAGTTCTATAGGACTTGCACGAGGATCGCTTAATTTTAACACTAAGTCTCTTGTTGGCATCAGCAATTTTTAATTGAGGTAAAATCAAGATTATTGCTCAGTGAGGTGACTGGTGTCGATACTAGCACGTTGATTGAAGGAGAGGCTTTGATGTGCGAGCCGCCGCGTCATCTTCGAATGGTATAGGACTTTCAAGTATGACCATGGATATGTGGAACATTCTCTAGGACCACAATTGAAGTGGTCTGATCAAAGTATCACTATTGTGAGCCACAGTCAGCCTTTTCGTATAGTTAGTATTTCACTCTAGATTGACAAGTGAAGTAAGTTGTCGATGATTGGAATGTCACATTCGGTCTTAAACTTCATTTCCACTACACAATGGTGACAGTTGATCAGATTGTTCCAACTATATTCATACACTTTAGGGCTACTGTGGTAGCTTTGGAGAATCTAAAGCCGGGGCGCTCAACCGTCGTTAGGCTGCAGGACTAGCAACGACCGAGATCTCAGCGACTGCACCGCAATCTAAAACAAAGAATACTGCCTCAGCGCAGTCGCAGCAGGTTTGTTAGACTTTCTTCAGAAGTGGGTGTCTAGCTTCGATTTCCTGCGCGTGTCGAAGACGTTGTCGTCTCAAACTCGCGCCCTTTTTTTCTCGGGGGTAGCGCTCCTGGTGGTGACCTTGTTGATTGTTTACGATAAGTGGAGCTTGTGGCCCTCACTTATGTTGTTCGAACGCCACGATGCTGGCAATCGTTCCTCGCTATTCAAACGCCCAAAATTAGCTCCACCACCCAACGATGCCAATGAACTTCAGTTGAAACGCGGTTCATGCGGTGGGGATGCCACCCTGCAACTACTAACAGGCGACCTGCGAATCCCAAATCCCACGAATAAACTACCCTTGAAATCGATGGGTCTGAATCTTCCCATGGCCCCGCTGGTGCTGCCACTGAAAAGACTTCAAGATTACAGTGCTCTCAAAGAAACTCTCAACAGGAAGGTTAGCCCTCGAACAGTCCTTGCTCGCCCAAAGCGACTTGATACATATCCAGTTCCCGATCCCGATCTTTTGGACGAAGTCAAAGAGTTGGGGGTGCAACGTGATGCGGTCAAGGTTGATGTTGAAAGGTTACGTCATGCCCTAGCAACGAAGCGAGTGGCTAAACAAACTTTACTACGTCGAGTTGAGGAGTTTCGTGAAAAGTTAGAATTACTCAAGGGTGGTGACGCTGAAATCGCAGCACTCAAGGAGGAAATGCGTTGTTTGCGCAACGTAACTGAAGAGATGTATACTAAAGAATACGATGGAGTCAAATCGGAAAGCCAGGCGCTCGTGGACTCAAACAAGAACTTTCGGTATTCTGATCTTGTATCAGCAATTGAAAAGCTCGATGAACGAAAAAAGAAGTTGCATGGGAAGGTGTTGCTTCGTCGATCTGATGTTGATAAGGCGGTATATGAGGAGGAAAGATTGCTTGATAAAGAGTATCTGGAGTCAGTGGAAGTGCCTCATGCGAAAGAGCTAGCAACACGCCGTATAAGCTTAATGGAGCGCGAGCAACAAATCGCTGTTGAGGAGGCCCGAGTTTTGGATATTGAACAGAAGCTTCAACAACTTATCGTAAAGCGACAGGATCTTACTGAGAAGCTTTCCCAAATCAAACTTGACGATGGTGGTTACGATAAGCATGTGCATGATTTGAAGATGTCTCATGTTGGTGTCGACGCAGAAGTAACAGCTGTTGACAAAGAATTGAGCATAATTATGAAGAAGCTCGACCTGGTTCAGATTCGTCACACTACAGCCATGAACAATGCAAAAATCAGGCTGCACCAACTTCGATGGATTGAATTTCAAATTGGCGAATATCGAAAATGTGTAAGAGTCATTGCAGTTTGTCAAAGCAAAAGCATCAAGGAGCGATCATTGATTGTTGGTAAGAGACAGTATATGTTAACGCAGGTGGTAGACACCTATGATGTCGACGTGGTAAGATGCCTTGTGGAGAAGGCAGCCGCTGGAAGGGATACGTCGATTGGAATCTACGGCTTACTGGTGGGGGCTATGATTGAATCAATTCAGAAAGTCTACCAGGACGCACTTCCATTAGGCAAAACAGCTACAAAATCATTGGAGCACTCTGTATCAAACGAAGGTCTTGATTATGTTGTGCAAGCAGAGGGCGCTGGACGTCTTCGTGTCTTCGAAATCTCTTCATTCGACAATCTCAAGTCGCTTGCCTCCCAAATGTCTTTAGCTCTAGTCATCAAGATAGAGGATGATATCCCCACAACCATGCTAGATCAACTCGCGGAATTGGCGGTTACTCCAAATATCTTTTAATGATAATTGCTAACATATCTGAAGGTTTGGTTAGTTTCAAATATCGCAATGATGCGTATGTCATCACAAGCCTCTAATAATGGCCATCAGAAGGGCTTGAAAGGAAAAATTGGGTATCCTACAAATATTACTGGAACATCAAACAACCTCAATCCGTTTCATTTACTCGGCCATATTAAACATTTACATCGTTGTGATCAAATCATGTAGCATCCATTTCAAGTCATCTGTGTTTCCGATATGGGCGTCGGGTTTGGGAGGAGCTGGGGGCTTGTCTTTATCATTCTCTTTTTCAATATCCTTGTCCAATAGAAGTGCTGCATCCAGCTTGGGTGGCAATTGGTAGTCTAAAGTATTGGCACTGGCATCATCGTTTTCAAGCATAACTCCACTGATACGATATTTTGGTCCGCATGGTTCGATCAAGTGAGGAAACATTTCTAGGGTCTCATATATGTCCTCAATGCCTAAAGTGGTATCTTTGGTCAGTTGACGTATAGGCTCCTCAACCCTCCGCCTCTTCGCGGGGCTGCTGAGAACGTCTTCGTCAAGGATCAGTGTGGATGGTAAATAATCATTATTGCTGTACTTGTTTTCTCTGTACTTCGCAGTATCAATAGCCTTCTCCATTATACTCTTGAGATACAGCTCAAGACCCAATAGAAGTACCTCTAAAACGGAAGCCAGCACACCACCTGTAAGTCCATATTCGCGCATTGTCATAAGCACCCTCTTTGAAAGTGTTTCGTAATCAGGAAGTTCATAGGTATCGGTACAGATTGGCGTGTTGATACCATTGACAACATCCTGTTGCCACTGCACCAAAGAATTGACATGTAGCTGTTGTTGTTCTTTATCTTGAATCATTGGGATTTTTGGGAGAAGACTATGCCGAGTCAAAGTAATTCCTTGGTTGAGTTTACCTTGCTTACCGCTGTCCTTGGTGATGCTCTTAATCCGCAACCGCTCCTTGATTGGCAATCCCATGATATTTTGTTTGAATTTCTCGTACTGCAGCAGCTTAACCTTCGTCAGCTTTGCTGCCTTTTTATTCCAGAAAAAAGCAAAGTCGTCTGCCCCGGCGACATAATCCTGAGGAGCAAATTCCTTGGTGGAGTTAGCCAATTGGGTAAGTAAAAGCTTGTTGTGATAATGAACCAAGTTATCATTGCGCAAGAGGGGCAGTATTATGGAAACAAGCTCGGGCCGGCTGAGCTTACCAATAAGAAAATACAGAAGCGCCTCATGATACTTTTCCCAGTTAGGTCCCAACTTGGATTGAAACTCACGCATAAGCTTCTCAAGTTCTAGCCGTTTTGTAGTCTTGTTCTTGTCCTGTTTTTTGGAAGATTGTGACTTCTTGTCCAAAGTGTCCACAGCGGTTCCGTTTGAGTTGGGAGCCGGAGTTGTCAGTGCTGGGATGGTGGTAGATGCTGGGGGGATCAGGGGAGTTGCCGAAGTCTCCGTCGCTACGATGTCACCGTTGACAGCCATGGTACCCGGCTCTTTCTTAATGGGGGTGGGTATGTCAGTGGTGGCATCAGAAGCAGGGGCAGAAGTCAGAGCTTCTCTAGGCGCTGGTGTGTCCATCACAGGAGAGGTCATTGTTGACACAGACAGACGGATCCAACGCTAGTAGGTTCTCTCAACCTATGTGTTTGAACTGTAAGCGAGTGTAGGACCTGCTTTTTACGCGCTACGATTTATGAGAAAGTGCGACACTACGCGGGGAACGATGAGAGAATCCCTAAGTTAAAACAGAGTCAATGACACCGCAATATTCTTTCATCTCTAGTGAGTTTCCAGTATATTTTAAACTTTGTGCCGTTGACATTTGGTGGCAGGTGCACTAATCTATTAATAAGCGTCAGTGGACATCGTCTCTTGCTACTAGATGCCTCATTCGAATCACTTGGTCATCGACAATCTAAACTTGATAACCAGGTGGTGTATATGGTATGATTAATCCTTCATCTCAGTTCGTTAACAACGTGACCAGAAAAGTACAATATCTATAAGCCAATGTTATGCCATTAAATGCTATTAATCTAGAATAGATATTTACTTTGAACGTGTTTTGGTATTGGGCAAGTGTGTGAAAGTTACACTTTTGCAACCATTCGAGTTGTTTCTTGGCTCACGCTCTCCTTTTCATCACTTGTATTGGAAACTTGTGGGGTAAAATCTGCCCCGACATCGTCATGTCGCTGGACAAAGATGAATACTGCAGCGAACATCACGCCCAACGCAGCAACACCAATGCTGAAATAAAGTGCTCCCTTGTACGATTTCAAAACATCGTGCGTGTGTTTCATGGTCTGTATCTCCACTGTCAGAGACATAGCCAAGAATAAGGACACCAGATAGTTGACCACTGTCAGTAAAAGTGAACCAGCCATACCTTGGTGATGTAAGGGTAAATAGTTCAGCAAGATGATAGCGGCAGCAGGGAATGACAAGTCCATTGCCCAACAGAGAATGAATTGCATGCCAAACGTCATCTGCCAGAACGATTGATGAACCGGGGTACATACCAACATTATTCCTCCCAGCATGAATGCAAGCATCGAAAACATGATGAGATACAGCGGCTTGGTCAACTTAATAATGTAAGATACAGTAAGCAGGGCAATTGTACCAAGCACAAAGAATGGAAGATACAGAAGTCCAGCATTAATGGGGGTATATTGCCGAAGGTTAAGAATATAGTTCCAATAGTAGAACTGCCACACACCGAATGACCCCCACCCAAGACCCATACACAAAAGTACAAGTCCGATACGCCGGTTGAAGATCGTCTTTGGAAGCAATGGGGACTTGACGAACTTAAGCTCAGCAATGAAGAATGCTATAATGAAGGCCACACTTATGGGTAACAAAACAATGATGTATGCTGTTCCCCAGCCCACAACGGGACCTTGGTTCCAAACAAAGTTGAAAAGAATAAGCCCCGAGACACCAAGTGTCAGACCGATCCAGTCGAATCTAGGTTTAGTGTGACCTCCACGGCGCTGTAATTCATTCACATTCGGCACAAAGAAGTACAGTAAAATGCATATGCCGAAGGCGACAATGGCAAGTAACCAATAGCTCCATGGCCACCATGCCAATTGAGAGACAACTGCAGCCATGAGCGCACCAATAGTAGCGCCGGTGGGGCCACCGGCGCCCATAAGCCCAAAGGCCAAATTCTTTCGGCTATGGCCGTCATATACTGTACCTAAAATCCCCAAGGCACAAGGCATGACGAGAGCAAATCCGATACCTTGGAAAGCTCTACATATGATGAAGAAGATCACGCTGTCCACATACACGCTGCAGCCTGTTATAAGAGACCACACAAAGACCCAAGCCCATCCGATTAAAAGAATCAACTTGAGTCCGTAGATGTCACCGAGTCGACCGGAAATGAGGATGAAAGTTCCCACAGTGAGAGCGAATGAGCCCATGAACCACACCTTGGCGGTCTCCTCCACGGAATGGAACAGTTCCATAATAAGATTCATTGGGGTAAGCGACATGGTGATACCACCTTGACAAAGGAACTGGGCCATCACCGTCAACAATAATAACATGACTTCCCGAAGGAACAGGCCGATAATCTTTGGCGGGGGATCGATCATGGCGAATCAGAATGGTAAGGCCTCTGCGATGCCCACAGCATTTATCTTGATGCGGCTTCTCTCTCGTAGATGCCGTTTGCAGCACTGACTTATGCAAGATAGCCCCTCACCGGGCAGCCGACGGAACCTCCGCCGGGCCCCATCGAGCGCGGCTTCGACTGCGAATTGAATTTTCGAGCCGAAAGAGTAAACTCACGCTTACCGTTGATGCACGTTCTCGAAATCAACATCAGCTCTAAGAGTTCATGTAATATACTAAAAAAGATGTTTCAAAGAGAACTGAAACCGAACAATGTCCCTACATCAATTGTTAGCAACCCTTTGAGGCTGATTGAACCTATTACGTTCGTACTGTGGACTTCACAAGAAATTTTCGCTAGTCGTGACTCCGACGGCTCGCCTCGAGGGTGGTGCGCGAATGACATTCTACGGAAATCGCCGCGTAATCTAATTTTATATTGCATCAATTTATTCATTCAAGGCATTCATGAACAATTTCTTGACTTGACGAAAGAATCAACCACCTTTTCATGAATGAATTCAGTGACACGATTTATAGGGTTGCAACTCGATCCATTAAAAAATTGTCTCAGATCCGTGCGTAGTGGAATTGAGTAATGAAATTTGAGAGTAGAAAGTATTCAGCAAATTGATTGCCGCCCACCCAAACCACAAGGGTATGAACCTTGTTGACCCTTTTCGGATCGCATTAGTGCACCAGCTATCTTTATCATGAACTCAGGAAACGCCACTCGTTTGTATCAGTTCGAAAGAAAAGAGGATTGAGCCATCATAAACCATTTTTATCTCAGCTTTCGTTTCGCCGATGTATGATGTGTAACCTTTGTCTCCTCCAATCAGACAGGGCTGTTGTTGAACCAGAACCTCTAATCGTCTTCTGTCTAGAAGCTAAGAGCCAACTAAGAGAGTCGTGTTATTTGAGAAATTTTGTAGAGATTTTGCATGTATGTGGCTATCTATCACACTAGGAGCGTCCAAATATTGCGAATTAGGGAGTTACACTGGGAATACCTTCCAATAACGTATGTTTAGTTTCTGTTGCATTTTTCATTGGCATCTTTGAGCTCATCTAAACGCTCTAAAGCATATAAAAGCAATGTCTTGTATTATTCATTCGGTTTTCGGTACAACCGTGTCATTAAAAATCTTATTATGCGCTAGAATTCAAAATTTGAATTGCCTCAATTTCTCTGCCATTATCGGTATACAGTTAGACATAATTTCGGAAAAATTGCCTTTATGGCCAAGTGGTAAGGCACCTCACTAGTAATGAGGAGATCGTCAGTTCGAATCTGGCTGAAGGCATTTTTTTGATCTTTCTTTATATTTATTGGAAGCTTACAGGTGTCAGGTTCGGGATATGTATTAGGCTAAACTATGGTTCTTCACCATACAAAAGTTCTCCAGCGTATTCACCTTGGTCAGCAGAGTCTTTTTTCCCTAGCTGAGCAGGAATTTCAAAATCCGCCTTGGTCTTTCGTCGCCCTGCGTGAAGTAAAAGATCATTGTCATCCACGACCTCTGCGTGCTTTTTAGAATAGGCAACTTCAGCTTTGGCTTCTTTACCGGAAATCTTATGATTCACTCGAATGTGTTTGGCCAATGTATCATGGCGAGTGAATATGCGTGGGCCCACCGCTGGGTTTTGCCTCACACATACAAAGCACTTGAATAGTTTTTTCTTCTTGGAATGCACCGTTTCCTGGTGTCTAATAAGCTCGTATTTTCGTGAAAATCGACGTAAGCAAAGCTTTTCAGGATAGTCGGCCAGTGGCAATTGGCACTCGTGAATGACATCAGGATCGTAATTCAGCAGCTTGGTTGAAACTGTCCCAGTGGACATTTTCTTGATCACTTTAGCCGGTATATCATCGTTAATCTTTGTTCTGCGACGTCTAAATTTGTCGCGGCCTCCACCTGCCCCCAAAGTTCGTAGGTCTACAGGAGGTCCCCATTTCTCATTGTGGTATGACACCATGAATTCGTTGTAGCACTCCGTAAAGTCAAAATCAATCATTTTCATGAACTCGTAGAGTGCTGGTTTCCATGTTAGCAAGTTATAAACCTCCCAGTAGTTGAGCAGCATGACTACTTGAGTTAATAGGCGCATTGCGATAACAGCAGTGGACAAATCAGTGGTTTCACTTATAAATCTTACAAGTTTGTCAAAGTTAGCATCAACAATTCTCCAACCTTGACGCTTCAACGGGTTTTTGGAGATGAACTTGGGATATGCTGCTGCTAACTCCTTGAATTTATTAGTGACGTCGACAGTAGCACTTACTGACAAACTTTCACCACTGAGCAAATCTACCAAGTGTGAAATATGACCAACATATTCGTCGATTGTTTCCGGGCTCGCTTCACAAAGGATTCGTATTTTGGTGTTGAGGTCCAACGACATGAGATTTTTGCAACCACCTAGATCTTCGTCACGATCTTGAAGTAAGTGCCAGTAGGGTAAGGAAAACGGGTATGTGGCCAAGATCTCCTGTATAGTCAACTGAAGAAGTCAAAAGTCAACACCTTATCGTAACACTGAAGGTAGTGGCTGCCTAGTCTGTGTGGACTAGATCGCATAAAAAAGTCGTGTGTGGCCAGTCACATGGTTGAATACTATGCAGGAAATATTTGCAGCCATCGCTAAAAGATAGTCGTGATTGAATCAGCAAAGTAAGAATTATTAAAGTCCTTAAATCTGATGATACTTGCAGCCGTTTATATCATTACGTCTATATCGTTACGTCGTTACTATTTCTTAGGTTCTTGCGGGTCAGATGGTGGACCTGGGCGTTGAAGAGCTCCAGTCATGGACATCATGGGCATTGCCATCGCGTAGGGCACATGGATCGGGGGTAAACACATGTACTGCTGCATGGGTGGCGGGCCCATCATCATACCAGGACGACCCGGCATCATTGCGTATGGTTGCATTTGTGCGTATTGCGGCAGTGTCGCCATCGGAATGAACTGAGCTGGCCGCCCTGACATGTCACGAAGAGGCATGTACTGACCAGCTGGTGGAGAAAGGTGTGGCGCGGTTTGTTGTTGGGGCAGTCCGTGGGACTGGAGACCAACATTTTGCATTTTATTGGTGGGGGGTATCTGGGGGTGAGAACCCAAGTAAGCAGAAGATTGCTGTTCGTCTTGAATGGCGGGAAGTTCAACAATCTCAACAATTCTATTGCGTTGGAGAAGATTGGGGTTGCGATAATGTTGTTGAGGCAGTCGAGCAGTACCCTCGGGTTTGTCTTGAAGTTGTTGCGAAAAATTGGTTTGGAATTGCGTAGGTCCAAACTGTGACATTGGCGGCAATGCTTCTATATTTTGTGGCATTTGTGAAATCGTAGGAACCGCCGACAGTTGTTGAGGCTGTACTGAGTTTGAGATATCAGGCTCAGCTTCCAATGAGCTAGTTGAGGCTTCAGGTGGCACGGGGCGAGTCGTCTCTTCAGAATCCACTTGGGCTTTGACCAAGTCCACCGCTGTCTTGGCTTCTTTGTCTCCAAGTCCGTGGCGTCGGCCTAGGTGTCGTGCCAAAGAGTCAATATTGGTATAAAGTTTACCCTTCCCCCTAGCAGCGCAATATTGGCACGAATACACCTTTCTCTTGAAACCATGAACCAGAAGCTGATGTTGCATTAACTCCGTAGCACCGATGAACACCTTGTTACACATCATTTGACTGGTGGGATCAAGAGCATGACATTGGTGCACGACGGCAGGGGGCCGAGGGTTACCCCCGTACTTCTCCTCCGGTTCTTCATCCAGACCCAGGGATCCGTACAGTAATATTGCCGCATCAACTTCTTCAATAGCACCACCACCAAACACTTCCATTTGCCCCGGCTCGCCATGAGGATTGATGATAAACATCTTCTGGGCTGGTGGCTGCCGATTCACTTGCGATCCCCGCAATTGGCGATGGACCACAGGCTCGACAGTTCGGTCGCCCCGTTCCATAGCTGCGCGAGCTTCACGAGCGATTTGCTCAAGTTCAGCTTTAGACTTGCGACCACGCTTCTTACGCCGCGGGGGTCCGCCAGCTTCAGGAGGTGGAGCAGCAACGAAAGAACCGAATGCCAGAGGCCGTGGCTGAACTTTCCGAGGACGTCCTGGACGTCTTCCTGTGATTACCTTCTGAGGTGACTTGTATGACTCATCAGCCAGATTATCATCATCCAGCAGTGAAACTGGAGCCACGGGTTCAGGCACAAGGGTGATATCCGGGTAAGGGTCAATTTTGATGCGTTTGACTTTTCGATCGCGGGCAGTTTTGCCATCACGTTCGTGGAACAGGAAGTTGTAGAATGGATAAGGATATGGATATTGGAGTCCTTCTTGCATGTTTCTTTCAAGATAAAGTTCGGGAGGGCGTACAAGCGGGCCAAATGGAGCCAGAATAATTTCGAATCCGATGAGCGTTAAAAATTCCTCAAGTCCTGGAACAATCAGCAACAAGTGGTATATCTCCCAGCATCGCAAGTTGTACACTAAACGTACAAGGAATCGTACCATGTGGGCAGCGAACTCCATGGTGTCAGGATCAAACTTGGCGGTAATGCTGTTAATTAAAGCAAAGTTTTCGATGATGACAATGCTTAGGGTTTCATTGGGATATATCAGCTTAGAGACGCTGGAAGCTCGCCGAGGTACGATGGTCGTCAACAGAACGAGACGCTCACGGGCGTCGACGTCATTTACGTCATCGATCACTTTTTTGAGGAGCTCGGTGACTTTAGCTGAGTAGGCGTTGAGGGATGTTTCCATCCCTAAATGAGGCGACACTTCTCTGTCGGAGGAGGCCAGCATGCCTGACCGTAGTTTGAGAAGCTGGACCACCACCGGGTCTTTGGCATCGACCTGCACTCGGGCCCGTTCGACCAATGCCTGGGGCTCGAGGAGGTTCAACGATGAATCCATCGTGTAGGCAGCCAGTGCTTCGCTGACGGTGGTTTGACCGACAGCTATCGACATACTGGGCGCCAGGTCCGCTAGCGGGTCAAGGAGAATCACACGGATGCAAAGATGGGTTTGACGCAAACTGACTCGACAAAAAAACTGGCCGCACTGCACCAGCGCATAGGTGCAGCCTGCAGCGATGACGGCGGTGGGCAGCAGACTTTACCCTCGCCCAGAACCTACGATGTGGAACGGCATAGTAGAAACTAATGTTAGCGTAAATATTCTATGCTATTGAAAGTGGAATCTGACGATCATTATGGAGTCGTAGACAAGTGTTGAGGGCCACTGTCGACGTTGTTTTTGTCGATGAATGACGAGGCGTTTGGTGATGGCGAGGTGTGCAGGCTGCGACTGTCAAGCGGGCCATAGGTACAATTACCGAAAAGAAGACGCTGTTGTTGGGGTTAGAGAAGTCACTAGAATGAGAATGAAGCTGTTAGGTATGAATTGAATTAGTATATATCAGTTCGTTGCACAAGTTGCTATTGTCTGAGGTCGCCCCATTGGGGGATGCTTTAATCGATGCAAGGAGTAAGAGAAAAATTTAAGCCTGTTAAAGTATGCAGGACATTCATATAATCACATCCACGAAATGCTAGGGATGCCCACAACCCTAATTTTCGAAAGTAATATGCCTAAACCCTTGACATTATCTCTGTTGGAATAGTGACGAAGTGTATTTGTCACATTTTCAGCCCCCCGCCCTGTAGGTACCTCGGGTGTCACTAACGAGATTGGTACTGCAGCTAGTGGCAACACAATAGCAAAAATTCACCCGCAAGCGGTGTGTCGATGTGATCCAGAAGGCATACATGTGCCATCTCTCGAAGCGCCCCTGAAATGGACCAGTCACCAGTAAGGATATTGTGTGCCCCCAATGGAAATGAAACCCGTGTGACTCCTCGATATTTTTTCCCCCTATGGAATTTGGCTTGCTCGGTGCGTGAGGTGTTCGGATTACGAAGGTTAGACCACAAAATCCAGCCACTCCATGACGATGTTCATTTCATTGTAGCAGTATTCTAAAAGACCCTGAAAAGAAAATTGTTCTATTCTACCAGGTTCCATTTTGAGATCTGTCGGCTAACTGATCTTGCCGCGGAATTACCGGCGGTGTCTATGGCAAAATTATGAGCCCTGGTCAGCTTGCCGACGTGCGATGACACAGCACACGAGTATTGTTTTAAGCAAATTATCGTATTCAATATTCAAGGTATGCCTACGTTAAAAGAAATCAAATCATCAGATTGCGGCTGAATGAGTGCTCGCCTGTCACCAGGCTGACACTAGCCTTGCGGCGTTCACGACGAGGGGATGCAACGGGGGATGACCGACGGAAGCTCAACAGGTCGATGACTGTCGTCTCCAGAGATGTGTCGACAATTTCTTCAATGAGTGGGACTTGGCCATATACTAAGGCGTCGGAGACATGCGTGAGCACGCCAAGACTGCGTAAAGCGTGCTTGAATACAGTCTCATAAACATCATCACTCCACAAGTTATCAAGGTGCTCGTGGCCGGGAACCCGATCCACAACGGTTGATTCACGGGGGAGTTGGTTCTTCATCACATCTATATCCACTAATGAATCACTATCACCGTAAATAATGTGGATCGGCACCTTAATGAGCTTGAAGTTGTAGAAAGTGGGTGTGGTTTCTTGGAACATCAGCAACAGAACATCGCTGAACATTTGGAAGCGGCGTGCTTTCATAATTTGGAACCAATGCACTACGAGTTTCACGGACGTAGTCAGGTATAAATGCATGTAACTAGCCCACTTTTGATACTTCAGGATGTTTTCAGACTTCCAGTTGAATAAAAGCCGGTTAGAGAGGTCAATCATCGTCACAAACAACTTGGGATAGCAAACCTTTTCCCAGAAATACACCAGCGGCATAAGTACCCTGCGGCCAAACATGAGGAACATGGCTTGAGGAGTCAGCTTCACAAACGCATCGAGGAAACGTGACTGCAACCCATTAGGGGTTGTGGCAGGAGAAATGCCGATGAATTGGTCGATCTGCTTGTTGAGCTTGGGATGAACCGACATCGCGGCGAAGGCTTGCGAGGTACCTTGCGAGAACCCAATGTATGTCAAGTGAGGTTTTTGGGTGACGTACAAGATGTAGTCAATGGTATCAGGGATGTCGAAAAGAGCGAATTCATCCATGCAAAAGTTCCAGAAACTAATTGAATTCTGGGGTTTTGTGACGTGCTTGAGCGAGTACTTGTTACCACGGTTGTTTCCCAACCACACATCGAAACCAAGGTCGGCCAAAAGATAAGGCAAATTGCGGTACTTGTCGACCATAGTCACCCACACTTCAGAGCACATAAGGAGCCCGTGGTGTAAGTAAACCACCTTGCCATTAGGAGGGCCTCGCGGGCGTATACGGTGAGCTGTAAGCAAGTATCCATCTTTAGTCTTAAGAACATGACTTTCAACTTCGAACCCGTGCACTTGCGCCATCTCCTGGATGTTTTTAGCAGAACCGATTCTACCCCGGGTACGATAACGAGCTTGGTCCACTCCGGCAGGGCATTTGGGGTTTCTTTCAAATTTGTCAAACACCCACTTTGTTATGCTTGTACACGCATCTATCACGGACTGAGGAAGACACTGAGTTATAACCAGAAGGGCATACTCTGCCCATGCCAAAAAGAAGGAAAGGATGATAACCGGCCATTCAAGTATGGATACTCTCCCAAGAAGTGGTATGTACATGACGTGGATGACGCTGACTCGTGCTTCACGCGCTCGCATTGCTGGCATGAGCACTTTCGGTTATGTGCAGGAAACATCATTTGTCAAAGTGACCGACAGAAACAACTCGACACGAGGCCCGCATATCCAGTGTCTGGGGAAGGTCATACATGGCTAGTAGCTGAACTTTAGGATAACTAGGCCAAGCCAAGTGTTTCTCCAGTGAGATATTACGCGATGGCCAATGTTTGTAAACTAGTAACAAAGGTTATTGTTACACTGGCCGCCACGTGTAATTTTGTGAATGTCGCGGCTGTAGAGAATTAACGCAATCACATCCACAGGAATCTGTAGTGTAAAAGAGATGTGGTTGGTTATGCTATGACTAAGACGATGTCGGACGTATGTGGCATCGAAGCGATTGGCTGTAAATAATTATCAATTCCATCAATAACGCGAAATGCAAGATGATCTAGACAATACAATCGTGATGAAAAATCGGGTCAGCGCCAAGGACCAATTAAATCCCGACGATCCCCTGGGTACGTCATCTGTGTGAGTGGCGATGAGTTAAGGCGATCTTCCGAACGGCTTAGCCAAACATCCTGATTCTGCCATCGTCGCCCCGAATTTGGCATGAACCTTGATATGCGTACTGCAGGACAAAACAATAGGACGAAACCTTAACGGCAAAACAATAGGACGAAACTTTAACGGCAAAACAATAGGGGGCTGAACGAGTCTCGCCACATCGATTCAGACCAATTCTTCACCAACAACGGAACGAGAAATCAATTCCAGACTCAGCCATCAAGATAACCAAAATTCGTATATCGTTCGAGCTTCTGTGTCACTTACCTTGCCCCTTTCGCGTGTCGTCGTTATTCAGGTGACTCGGAGGAGTAAGAGGAAGAAGTATCATGCAGTGTACGCTACTGTGTATCTGCCGGCAATGGTCGTAAATGGCTACTTCTTATCTCTTCCCCTGGTGGCGTCGGGCATATATAGTGAGCAAGTTAATCCCTTTAAATGGTATCAAAATTTACTCAATGAAGCTCTTCCTGGTATTGCCTGTCCTCGCCGTTGCCCTGACTATTGTGGCGAAAGATCCTGTGGCCACCGATTCGGCGCAAGGGGCGGCATTGCAAGCCGTGTTTAAGCCCAAAGCCAACGTCGATATTCAGGGGACTATTTCATTCAAGGCTGCCAAGAATGGTACTGTCATCGTCGATGTCGACCTTGAAAACTTGCCTGAGGAGGGCGGCCCGTTCCCCTACCACATCCACCAAAGCCCCGTGCCCTCTGATGGGAACTGTACTGGGACCAAGGCTCACTTGAACCCTTACAACGGTACTGCTAAGTTCACCGACCCTGCGGACCTGGAGGTGGGTGACTTGGCCGGTCGCCACGGTAACTTGACCCTGGGCACGCAGAAGATCGAATACGCCGATGAATACATCTCGTTGAACAGTCTGGACAAGGCCTACTTTGGTGGGTTATCGGTGGTGATCCACGACCACTTGAACAACCGGCTTACGTGTGCCAACATCACCGCTAAGGATGAGGACAGCCACTCGCTGTCGCTGGCGTCGCCTCTGGCGTCGGTGTCGAGCAAGCCCTCGAACTCTGCCGAGAAAATGTCCTTCGGCGTCGTAGCAGCGGCGGCGGCAGCAGCAGCTTATATTTTGTAATTATAGAAATGTAACACAATGAGCGTTGTTGACAGCTGCTTACGCTTGGCAACAGTATTAGTATCGACTTTCTCGTTGCTTTTTTTCGTATCTCCCCCTCGCACGACGATAGTGAGACTTACAATGACACCGATTGGCTGCGCGATTAGCGGAGGTAACGCCGTACTTCTTTTTGGCAAGCGCCGTAGAAAATTGACGTTGTGCAGGACAATCGCATCGCAAGGGTAGGACGAGACGGAAATAACAACGAGCTGAAAGCCAGTAATACGCTCTATAATTACCATATCAAGGCCATATCATTATATTTTGATGCTACACTGATCAAATACCGCAGCCGTTACTTCAATAATTACTGCTGCGACCCTCTCATCGCCCTGAGTCACTCGCATCCGGTAACCGCCTCGATGCATAGCGCGGTACGAAAGTTTTATAATTTGGGGCAACAATCCACTTTGTGGGGAATCCGTCATGAGCATAGACAAAGGCCCGTGGGAGAAATCCCAGGGCGACCGGGTTTACAGTGATACCACCGACTCGCCTCTGGAGGACTACGGGGCCTCTCCACAACGCACCCTGAGGTGGCACCATATCGTCGACTCCTTCAAACCGGCCATCGAGGAGAAGGATGAACTAGCTGAAAAGCTCCAAGATGAAGAGATGGAGGAGCTCACCGACTTGCAAAAGATCAACATCAACACTGCCAAATCGCCGTTGAAGCGGAAGCTTAAAAACCGTCACTTGCAAATGATTGCCATCGCGCTGTCGATTGGGCTGGGTCTTTTCATCGGGACCGGGGGGGCTCTTGCTAGTGGTGGTCCCGCCGCTATCATCATTGGTTGGTTTGTCATTTCCATCGCCATTTATTCGGTGATGTGTGCCATGGGTGAGTTATCAGTGACGTTCCCTGTGTCGGGTTCGTTCAATTTGTACGCCAGTCGTTTCATTGACCCCAGTGTGGGGTTTGCCGTGGCTTGGAACTACGTGGCTCAGTTCTTGACACTTTTGCCATTAGAACTTGTTGCTGCTTCAATGACGATCAACTACTGGAATCAGGACATTAACCCCGACGCCTGGGTGGCCATCTTCTACGTGGTGGTAATTCTGATTAATATGTTCGGAGTTAGAGCTTATGGGGAAGTTGAGTTTTGGGTGTCGGGGTTGAAAGTGATCGCGGTTATTGGTTTCATCCTTTGTTCCATTGTCATCGCCGCTGGTGGTGGTCCCAACCATGTTCATTATGGTGACAGATATTGGCATGACCCGGGTGCCTTTTCCAACGGGTTTAAAGGTCAAGCCCTGGTGTTTATCACCGCCGCCTTCTCGTTTGGTGGTACTGAACTTGTCGGGTTGACCGCTGCCGAAGCTCAGAATCCTCGTGTGGCTCTTCCTAAAGCAATCAAACAGGTGTTCTGGCGTATTCTTTTGTTTTACATGGCGTCGCTTCTTCTTATCACGTTTATCGTGCCTTGGAATGATGAGCGTTTAGAAGCCGACGGTGTGGATGCGTCGCCATTCGTTATTGCCATCCACAACGCTGGCATTGGCGGGCTTCCCTCGGTGATGAACGCGGTGGTGTTGATTCTGGCTCTTTCGGTAGGGTCGTCGTGTGTGTATGCCACGTCGCGGACGTTGACTTCCTTGGCTGAACAAGGTTTATGTCCCAAAATCATTGGTTACGTCGATCGAGCCGGAAGACCGTTAGTGGCGATCATGATCACTAACTTGTTTGGGCTCATTGCGTTTGTTGCAGCCCTGAGAGATCAGTCCACGGTGTTTGACTGGCTTATGTCCATCTCGGCATTGTCGTCAATCTTCACCTGGATGTCGATCTGTATCGCTCACCTCCGGTTCCGGAGAGCTTTGTACGTTCAAGGACGTGACACTCTGGAGCTCGCATTCGTCGCTCCCACAGGTATCATCGGGTCTGTGGTGGGTACTGTCATTTTATTTTTGGTAGTGGTGGCCCAATTTTGGATCTCTTTGTTCCCTATTGGCGAGTCGCCTTCTGCTGAAGGTTTCTTCAAATCCGATCTCGGGTTGGTAATTTTACTTGTCTGCTATCTTGGACACAAAGTTTGGAAACGCAATTGGATTCTTTTCATCCCCGCTAAGGAGATCGATGTTGATACCGGTCGTCGTGAAACCGACATTGAGGCCATGAAGGCAGAGATTGCCGAAGAGAAACGAGTATTGGCGGAAAAGCCGTTCTACATTAGACTTTGGCACGTGTGGTGCTAAATTCACGCGTCGATTTATAAATTCATCAATAGATAAAAAGTTAAAATTTGCTATTATGTTATCACGCATTTAAGGGGCGGTTCTTCACCACACAACAAGAACTCTTACCTTCAGCATCAATTGTTGGAATATTACCGTCAGGTGGCGGGGCTACTACGCAATTAAATATCACTGACTGTGGTCGCATTCAGTCATTCTCCGCCTCGGGCACACCCCCTATTTTGAGCCTTGATTTACTGATAACGGTAACCCGTCTTTTGCACTATACTACACCGACGGACACGAAATCTTCCAATAATTCAGATTTTAATAAGTGTTATCGTGTGCAGTAAGCTCGAGGATAGTTCCTTTTGCTTGCGTTAGCCGTCTTTATTTTGCTTTCTCTTTATCTTTCCCCTGTACCCCTCTGCCGCACGTCGTCACATTGTTGCTTGGCGCGGCTCCCACCAGCAACCGCCACCGTCTGTGATCTGAATTCTAATTTACATCTCAGCAGTGCCCACATCTCGATGGTTTCATACTATTCATTCGCCCTTTTGCTCACTTCGTGCCTTGCGGTCGTACCGGGGTACCACCAGGATGCTCTTCCTGGGACTCCTGATCGTCGGCCTATTCCGGGCGATTCGCCAATTGTCCAGTGTGATGTGAAGGATAAGCAATTGTTGGATCTTAAGCGAGTGGTTATCTCCCCTAACCCTCCTGAACGCGGTCAGAACTTGACTATCACCGCTGAGGGAACCTTGGCTAAGGATATCGTTGATGGTGCCTATGTCGATGTCGATGTTCGCTACGGCTTCATTAAATTGGTATCTGACACCTTCGATTTGTGCAAGGAATCTACCAAGGTTGACTTGGAATGTCCCATCAAAAAGGGGTCGCAAACATTGACTAAAGAAGTTGCCATTCCCAATGAAGTCCCTCCTGGGAAGTATTTAGTGGTGGCGCGGGCGTACACTAAGGACGACGAATTTATTACTTGCTTGACTGCTGAAGTCGAGTTCCCTCAGTACGGAGCTTACGATGCTGAGCGTGAAGAAGCTGAAGAAATCGAGTTTGTGATTCAACAGCAACAATAAATTCAATTCTATTAAAGCCGTTGCGATGCAAGCTTTTAGATGATTTTGATTACTTTAATGTAAGATTTCCTACGAAACAAAAATGTAAGTATTGCCACAATATAGTGTTTTGATCCACAAGTTAGTCAAGATGTTTAAACTGAATTTGGGTGGCGCGATGGCTTTTCGTTTTGTAAACTACAGGGTCTCAAAAATATTCGTACACTTGTTATACAAGACATCCTTAGACAAAAATGTATTTTATTCATCCATAAACTAGAGTTTGGGTATCGTTAGTCATAAAGTCGTGAAAGGAATCATAAATCATGTAGGTGGACTCTAGTTTATCCTTATTAAAACCAATAGTAAAAAACCTGCCTTCCTGTGAAGGTTTGAAAAATTGAAATCATTCGTAATGCATATATGCGGCGATTCAAATCCGCTTATAGTTGGCACCACCACTAATTTGTTGGTCCCTGTATCCCCAATCCATCGCACCCGAACCGGGAGCATTGTTGCCAGGTGCTTGGGATCCAGGAGACATTTTAAAATTCATCAGATTGGGGAGCTGTTGATAATTTTGTTGACGTGGAAGTGCCACTGGTGCACCGACAACTGGTGCCATAAGTGGCTTGGAATCGAGGTTATACTGAGGGTGCCCTGGGGGCAGCGAGCCAGCCGCTAATTGAGGCATCTGCTGTTGGGTTGGCGATTCAGCGCTAGTGATAATTTTCGTTTGTTTACCACGACCACGAATCCCCTTATTGCTGTTCTTGTACAACTTCTTAAAGTAGTCCAACATCTCTTTTTCTGCCTCGGGTAGATTCGCAAGTTGTTCGCCATTCATTTCCGCTAACTTGTGCGTCAATTCATTGAGCGTGGCCAAGTGGAATCTGTTTTGATGCAGCTTCAAGTTCCCCAATTGTGTAAACAGCTTATCGCAACCGTCAAGTTTACACGAAAATGGCTTGAGGTTCTCATGGGTCAATTTGTGAGCAGCTAAATTGCCCTTACGGCTGAACAGTCGGTTGCAAGTATCGCAAGTAAATGGCTTTTCACCCGTGTGCAACCTCAAATGCGTGCGCAAGTTCCCTCCCTGAGTAAACTTTTTGTTGCAGTAGTCACATTTGAATGGCTTGTAGCCGATGTGCAGTCGAATGTGAACTTCCAAATGAGTCAGCTGAGTAAAGTACTTGAAGCAATACGGGCATTGTTGTTGTTTTCCCTTTTTGCGACGCTTAGTGTCATGCTCGTCTTCCATGGATTTGGGTTTATCGACCCCACCAACTAACGACACAGGACGAGGTAAGACGTCCCTATCAAGTTCACTCTTCAGGTTCAGAAGCGAGTAATTAGGGGCGCCTAAGATCAGACCGTCGGGGGCTTGTTCAATAGGCTTCGTTATACCTTTTTCTCTCGCCTGAATCACCAACATTAATTGATCGATCTTTGTCGCTCCCAAAAGCGGTCTTCCGTCCTCCAGTTTCACATATTGTTGGGCAGGCACAAGTTGCTTGGCTTGTGCAGCGGTGAGGTTCATAACGTTGGCACCATTGAGATCAGGAGATTGTTGCTCAGGCGACGACGCCGTGGCTTGACCTTGGCCTGACGGTTTCGACAAATACTGCGCTTGCTGAGGTGCATACATGCCATATTGTTGCTGGCCCTGAAGTCCCGAAAACAGATTTTGACGATACATAATATCGTTGGCGTTGTTGGCACCCGGGACGTTGGCAAAACCTTGGTATTGCGGGTAAGAGACCGGCATTTGCCCAGAAGACTGTTGAGGAATCCCGGAAGAAATCTGCTGGTTTTGTTGACCACCTCTTTGCGGTGGAGGGAGAGGGGCAGTAAAAGCCAGCGACGGAGGAGGTTGATTCGAGTATTGAGGCAGCGTGCGTGGCAGCTGCGGTTCTTCCCGACGAGGATTCAGCAGCATCAGCAGGGTAGGAGATAAACGATCCTTATCGCCATCACGCCGACCATCGGGTGAGAGGTTAGCACCTAATCCTGAAGCCAGATTAGATGAGTGTTGCGACAGCAGGCCAAAAATGTCTTCCTTGAGCCGAGTTTGACCTTGGTTTCCCACGCTAATCAGGAACCTGGTTCGTTGAGCGGGGTCGTTCAACATTTTGAGGATCAGGTCTCTCCGCTGTTCCTGCGACATTCCGGTGAAGTCTATCAGTCCCAGCGAGATCATGGATTGTAACATATCTGAAAAGGATCCTGATTGGGGCATGGCCTGAAATTGGGAGCTCCCTCCAGGTCCCAGTATCAGTCCTGGCGCCATTGGATCCCACAGTAATATATCCATCAGCAGTTTGCCGAACAAATCCTTGTTGATGATCAGGTCAATTTCTTCCGCCAGTACTTGTTCGGAGAACCCGTTGGACAGCCGTTGGCGCTTATCGCCAGCCTGGCCACCTGGTTGCAGGACCGAGCCTTGATTCAGCGGGGGCATGTTTATGAGCAGGCTGAAAATCAGGTTAGACCGCAGCGGTGCCAGTTGTTCGTAGGGAATGGGTGGCGGGAGATATATTGAGTCTCCACGGGGGCGGGAGGGCACCAGGGTCAGATCACGTCGAAGGGAGTTTTGTGTATAGGTAGGGACCACCCCATTGGATTGGTCCAGTCGTTCTTGTGCCGCAGACATGGGCACCAGTATTGACAGGTTCACGGGTCACCTCGTTAAGGGTTTTTTTCTGTGGTTGCTTTAATCGGGTTATATAAAGGCAAGGTCAAGTGGTGAGGTATGCTTGAAAAACAAAATGCGTGAGTATACAAAGGCGGAACTTTGAGCTACGACGAAGCGATAAAGATGTAATTAGAATTATAGGGGTGGTCGGAAGGTAAATTAACGGTTATCTTTCGCCAGGTATCGGTAAAACACTGGTAAACACGGTGTTGTTCGTGAGACTTTGCCGCCACTGCCGGGGGTACTTTGCTTGTCAGCCATGTATGAGGTCACGTTTGGGTCATGCACCATGCGTGAGTGGGGAAGTACAAATGCAGGGAAGTAACATGGAGCCTGAGATAGGTCAGTGCAGTGACGACACTTCCATAATGCGGAGGAAAGGAAGATATGGATCGCTTTGTCGCCAAGATGGCAGCAATGACTAGACGGAGACAAGCGGAATCAAAGGTGTTACGCTCATGCAATGTTATTAGTAAGGTTTACTGTGGTCACTCATTGCCTGGTGGCGGCCCGGTTTCGGCAGCTACGGGCACGCGCGCCAAGCGTGTCCTGTTCCACGCAGCGGGAGTGCCATCCTGTCCCACCCTTACTACGATGACTTCGAGGAAGTGGGGGGAAGTTATCGGATTGGGGCAACTGAGATGAAATCTCTAGAATTTCAAGAAAACTGTGAGCAAGGAACCTGTTTTGTCAGCTGAGTAATTTGCTATTGCCCCCCTATTTTATTAAAATGGTTGCACTAAGTAGTATAATCGATGGCAAACGTGCTCAGGATGGGCTACGGCGTAACCTCGCGATTATACCTGATATTGGCATGGCCGTGTTGGACCAAATCGCCCCTTCAAAAGCAAACACGATCTATCTCGATGGGGTTGCATGCTGCTAAAGCCGCCGTATTTAGGCAATGCTGGCGCAAGGGTCTAGACCAAAAGCAACTAAGCAAAGTGAAAGTAGTGGTCTCCAGATCTCATACAATGTGAGGGGGAAAATATCACCATCTTGGGGATTGTACCATGCTCTTACTCCTGCACAAAGCGTATCGACAAGCCTAAAAATGGATAACTAGAATTATCAGTGAGCAGATCGCGGGGATACTAATGCATGCAGTGTGAGGAATACGCTATCGCTCCTTGAACACAGGTGGGTTTGTCTTTGAATGGAATTCGCCAATATGGCTCAGGCCTAAATTGAGTATTGTTAATTTGAAATTTACGCACAGAACAACCAAACTCTATTTTCGTATGCATCCATCATAGTCTATCTCGCGCTACTAGTCGTATAATCTAGTGACACTAGTTGGGGTTGGTAAGAAATCTGCCAGGTTCGTTCACTAATGTGTCTAGAAACTGTATCTACAATGAGGCAAGCACTGTTGGTTTCATCGTCAGCACTAGCGTTTGAACCTCATTCCTCAACTTGATGCGGGTAGCTTTTGTCTAATATAACTTCACTTCAGAAAGTGCAGAAACCGATTCAAAGTGCTTTTTCACATTCAAGTGAGTCTTCTGATCCACATTCAGTGTCCAATCTAGTGCCCTGCGTGAAATTGCCGGCAATGTTCCACTCTGGCTTAAACTTTCCTCAATCATACAACATAAATTTTTCGTAAATCCGGTATAGTGTAGTGGTTATCACTCAGCACTCTCCATGCCGCGACCGGGGTTCGATTCCCCGTACCGGAGTTTCTTTTTTCAACTCCTCGAGTCTTATTTTGAAACCATCAAAGTTTTGTGTATCCAAGTTGTACAACGTGAATAACGCCTAGTATGATCATAAAGAATTTAAAGCGTTTCAGTTTTATTATTACACCTTTATCCAAACCCCTTGTCGCAGCCCTTTAACACATGAAATATGTGCGAGGCTGAATTTTTATCACAAAAGAGCTGGCGTACAGTCAACATCGTACAACATGCTTCGATCCACGTATGCATTAGTCGCCTAGTTCTGCTGTTTATTGCGATCCTTAGCATCGAGCTCGGCTAAGGTAACGGATGCGTTTTTCAACTGTATAACGTTGGCGACTTGTTTGAAGATCCAAAACGGTGTCAGGACGACCGTCATCCCGGTGCCAAAGATAGCGAAGTTAAAATAATGCAAGTACAAGCCGAAGTAAAAAAGCTCGTTGAAAGCGCAAACGATGAACAACACCGTGCGGTTGGTGTAGTATAATTGTAATAACTTCAGCTGACCGTCGACGTTCTTATGAGAAGTCAGTCCCAGCGCCAACAGCGAGTACATGTGGACGTAATGCGACGCTAAGTCAAGCGACACCAACACTTGCCACGCCACGTAGTATTGAGGATACAATACCGCCAAAAACACGATAAGCGACAGGGTAGCGCACCGGTCGGTGACCATATCGAGAACGGCGCCAAACCGGGTGCCCTGGTTGAACTTACGGGCAGCGTATCCGTCGAAGGCGTCCAAAATCGACAGGACTCCGTACAACACCAGCGTGTAGTAAGGATGCTCTTTCATGGTGAAAAATGACACGATGGCCGTAGCCACGCGCACGTACCCGATAATATTGGGGATGTAACAGAATATATCGTGAGTGGTGATCGTGGAAACCATGATGCTCACTGTTGATCCGTTACTGCCGCGGTTCGGTGCGAAGAGGTTGGTTGGTTCGATGTGAGTGCGACTAATTGCAACGTCACGGGGGCGCAAACACTGATACGGCAACGCTTAGTAATATTGTCTCAAATGATAACCCATCAAGATTGTCTGATTAGTGTACGAAAACCAGTGTATTCTGGAGAGAACCGAACGCTAGTGGTTAAATCAATAACTTGAGTTTTGCAACAAGAGACAATTTAAGTGCTGAAAATTTGAGTCGTCGGAAATGAATATGATGCAATCACATCGGAGTTTGAGTTAAAACTATGGCTCGATATATTATGATCAGGGGCCTGATTTGGGGAAAATGACTTATGTAGTGAGCGTAAACGACGTAGTCAAATCGATTTCTGGGGAAGACGCAAGGAAACTCGCTTCTTTCGCGGCTTCCTCTTTGGGGAGTTAATTCTTGGAAAAGCGTCGTCAGTAGAACGTTGAATGAGATTATTGCTGCATACGTCGGTAGAAGAAATTCTTCAATCGATCAGATGACATCTAGTCATGAATGCAAAAGTGTGTCGATGTTATGAAATGAGACCTCATCATGATCGGCTCAGGATGAACAGCTTTTTTTGTTCATCGAAGATAGATATTAAGGCAAACCTTACCTTGATGTCGAAACGTCCACGGGGCCGTGCCATAGTGCTACTTGTGACGTGAACCTTGCTTTCTCGTATTGGATTCTCTTTAAAAATCGTTGCAATAAGTTCTTTGACATTTCGTCAGTAACGAGACAGATATGGCATAATGAACGAGATCGACTTAATCCTACCACTCGTGTTGGTGATGAGAGTCTATCTTCCTTTAGCTTTATTTTTTGGTTCCCCAGCAATATTCGCAATTTTGCTGTGAATATTTGCATCTACACCTATCGTACTAGGTTGCAATTGACAAACAAAATACGGGCTCAAAAAAGCGAGGCGGGGTTGTACTGTCACCAGTTAGGTAAGCACAACAGAACCTTCTATTTACGTACCACTTACGCGCGTCGGTAGTGGTTATTATGCACCCGTTCCTTGTTCACTTTCCCCCGGATCACCAAACAAATGTCAGTGGAGCTGTTCAGATGTCGGAGATATCGTTGTTTGGGGTGTCATAAGAAATGATGTTGTCACCTCGCGCCCACCGATGACAGCTGTTAGGTTTTTTTCAACAATGAGCTCATGTTTGATCATGTCTCGGCACGCCCACATGGCCAAAGATTGGGAGCCTGGGAGGTGGGTGTGGAAGTTTAGTTACCCGATAATTATTGCCTCCGCCAGCAAGCAAAGACACCGAGGAGGTGACGTTACAAAGGATGCATACGGAACCCCTTTCCCTCCAGCATGGTGGGGCAGGTATCGATCGGGTATTCCATGCCTGGGCATATGCTGGCGACTACGGCACGAGGCTAACTCCGAAGCCCATGTTAGTGTGGGGCCGCTCTCTGCAAGGCCCATGTTGCCCCTCCACCCGTGAAAAATTCCCGCCGGGCCGTCGCCGAGGGAATTTTTCGGTGTTAGCACGACTTGGCGACGATGAAGGTCCTCTTCATTGGTGATCTTAACCAGGATCTCCTTGAGTATCAGCAATTCTCCCAGCGCCACCAATGCATCCATTATGAGATCACCACCAAGGAAAAACTTCTCCATGATTTCGCTCACGATTTGAAAGACATTGACGCGATATACGGGGCGTGGCTTGGGTTTGTACCTGTGGGGGGTTTCCGGGGTGAATTGATCGAGGCTGCTCCCAAACTGCTTAAGGTGATTCTGATATGTCTGGTGGGCTACGATGGTTACGACGGTAAAGCGTTAGCGGAGAAGGGGGTGGTGTTGACCAATGTCCCCAGTATCGGCGCCGCGGAGCCGGTGGCGGATCTTGTGACCTACAATACCATAAATGCCTTCCGACAATTTTCGACATTTTCCAACCACCTCGGCGCCAACACTAACCACACAGTTTTTTTGCGGAAATGGTTGGATCAGCTGAATCAGTTCGATAGTGTTCGGGGCCAGCCGAGAGTGAATGATGTCAATAAATACGCCTTTGGCGAGATGGTGAATAATCGCCCCGTGCTCAGTCCGCGAGGCCACGACGTCGTGATTGTCGGGTTTGGCAATATCGGCCGGACCATTGGTTCTCGTCTTGCTCATTTGGGCATGAACATACACTACGTGAAACGCACTCCGCTTACGGCAGACGAGCACCAGCAATTAGGTTATAATGCTGTCTACCACCTGCTGTTGCTGCTGGCATCGTTTGCTGACCTAGTAGTGATTGCGGCGCCATTGACCCCGGAGACAAAACACTTAATTAACCGCGATCTGATCGCGATGATGGACAAACCGTTCCGCCTCATCAACATCGGGCGCGGGCCTATTGTTGACGAGGACGCGTTGGTTGAGGGATTAAAGCAAGGCAAGGTACTTTACGCTGGTCTCGACGTGTTTGAGCACGAGCCCACGGTGACCCCCGAGTTGTTTGGCCGCAGCGACGTGGTGCTTACCCCTCACGTCGGTGCCCTGACCACGGACAATTTTAATTTTACCGCCAAGCGAGCCCTAGCCAATCTCGAGTTGGTGCTTTCCGGCGAGTCAGCACTCGACCGGGTGAATTAATATAACTCCGTCTTCCCCCGCGCCACAAAACCCGTCGCCAAGCGGAAGCGATGAAAATAGATAACACGACATGAAAATCTGCACACGGTGTCGCAACCGTGCCATTTTATTCCCCCGGGATCCTCGGTACTTAACTTCCACGTGCCTCAAACGACCATCACCAAGACCACTTACAACTAAAGCTTTCGAGTCTAAAAATGCCAGTTTATTTGCTGAATAAATAAATATATCGTCGTTTCGAGGGTCGTGCCACATAAATCATCCGTTGTTTCCCAATGTTTTCCCATCGGGAGCTCATATAACATAGTAAAAAAAAAAGTCCCTGAGCTCCACGTAGTTTCCTAATATACACCGGTTGTTAATCTGTTCACCACTTGTCCAAAATCTGGTCATGATCGACATAGTACTTGAGGTCGTTATCGTGCAATTTTTCTTCCAAAAAATCATTGACCATGTGGTACTCGTCGTCAGGGTGAGGGGAGGCCATCATCGCGTCGAACTTGAACGCGTAGGCGGCGGGAGTTTCTTCTTCAAACTTGGGGAGCTCAAAGAACTTGCGGGTAGCGAAGCCGCGCGGCTTCGGGGTGTCGGCGACGCCAATCAGCGTCAGCGTCGTCGTCCGTGTGAGACTCAGGGTGAGGTCGAAGTCCAGCGTCGGCGATATCGTCCTCAGCAATCTCAGCAGCGGCAGCGCCATGTCGTTGTGGATGTCGCTGGAGTCGTCGTCGCTTTCGTCCAAGTACAGCTTCAGCTCAAGCATAATGTACTGGGAGAAGGCGTCCTCCTCAGCCTTCGCCGGCAGCAGCGCCAGCAGGGTGCCGGGGGTGCCGTACAGGAGCTCGTTGATGTCATTGATCAATTCCAGCATCTCCAGCACCTCGCCGAAGCTGCGTTTGAGCGATGACCGGCCGCTGTTGTCGGCGGAGGCTTCAGGGGAGGTGTACTCCGACACTGGGTCCTTGAACGCCGGCGCCATGGCGTCGGTGAAGTCGCCCGCCAACACCATCTGCTTCAATTGGCGGTAGTCGTTGATGAGCGCGAGCAAATTCAGCTTCAACGCGACGTTTTCCCGGTCGATCAAGGCGATGTTCAGTTTGAGCAGGTCGATGATCTTCAGCGGGGGCATCAGCGCCAGGATCAGCGCCAATGGTGCCGGGGTAGGGACTTGCGCCTGCGCAGAGGGGGAGAGGGACAGCGACGCCGGGGTCAGCGCTGTCAGCGACGATCGTTCCTTGCGTTTGATGGGTACCAGGGCCGCGGCGGCGAGCTCCTTGCCCGTGGATTTTCGACCGGGCTTAGGCCGGGGCGGAAGCACCCATTGCTTCAGAGTTTTGACCACAATCGGGGGGTTGGTTGTCGTCGCTTCATTGGTTAGTATATGGGAAACAGAAATGGTTCATGGTGATGGTATGATATTCAAATCTTGCGAGAATTTGATGATGATCTGGTGCCATTCGCCATGGACAAAGGGGGGCCATTAACCCGCTGGGGCAAACTTACGATACATCTCCTTGAAGGCAGTTCTATCGCATGAGACAGAGAATGAAGGAGCGGTGGGAATGCAAAAGGGAAAATCCGGGGTAGAGACTGACCGAACGGGTATTAGCAGGTTGAGCAAGGAGTGGAAAGTATATATATATGCCCGAATCCAAAATTTTTTCATCTCCATGTAGGGTGGAAATAATAACCTCTCAGGCCCACGTCTCGCAGATTTAGCCCCGGGCTCAAAAGTATTGCCGCCGCCAGTGTGCAGGGAGCGTACGGGTGGTATCGGGTGTATTCAGATGGGTCGAAGGGGATATCGGACAATTGCCACACCGGCGAGGTCGGCCCGCAAGACTGCTTTTGCGGCGACCATGGCGGTGCCAAAGCCTCCTAACCAGACAGAATTAGGGAAAGATTATCGTAGCATCAAACCACCTAAGCGTATTGTTGCTACATTGTGACAGGTACCCCCAGAGTACCTGCTTGGGTGGTTTAACCCTTTTACTCCCCGGGGACACTTTCCCTCAATTCGCGGCTATCGCCACCTCCCGTGGTTAATGTCGCGGAATGACTCCTTTCTTGAATCATCTTCGGAATACCCCAGAAAATAATCACTGGGATGACCGGTGGCATCTGTAAAAGTCCGGCTCGCGCCGTAGACGACGGGCGGGTGTCACTCGGGGGGTTAGGGGTGGGATAGACTAAACGTAAACACTGCCTGTGTGTGGCTGCCGACCTAGCCAGGGGGCCTGCTGGCTTTACCTCAATGGTGGGCTCCGGGTCGTTGCTGACGTTAACTGCGAGTGCAATTGGTTGGCCGAATCGGGCCCGCACCCACACACGCGTACCTTAAATGCCTTGATCCAAACCCCGTAAATAACAACGATTAACCGGTTGGAAGAAGTGCTTACATCAATCACGTTGGCCACCGTGATCATCGCTCCCCTACACTATCTACCCCTAATCGGAACAGAGTCGCCCCAGGGGGTTGTTTGTGTAAATCCCCGAGGGTCGCCGGAACACGGATTTTGGAATATGGATCCACTGTTTTTGTGGCTTGTATGCAGGTGCGAGATGACGGGAAGGATGCCTCTACCCGTTCCGTGGGTACAATGCTGCTGCTGCCGCTGCCACTGCTGCTGCCACGTCGAGCACGTCGGCACCCACCGCGGTAATTCAGGCACCGCTCTAACAACAGAAGTTTCTTACGTGAACAACAGGGGAGTAGAGGTTTTTAGAGTTAGCGGCTCGTTTGTCGACGCAACCCTGTCATCCGAAAAAACAAAGCCGCGAGCGGGTCCGCAAATTTCGTCGGGGTTAAGTGACTATAAAAAGCGTAGCCAAGCAAATAGCATACGGGGCAGGCTATTTTTCGCTGTGGCGAAAGTGCCTTTTCAGCATCGCGGCTGGTGTCGCGTGTGCACCTACATTGCAGGCCACTGTCCTGTTCACACGCCTGCCGCCTCAGTGCTGGTGAGCGAAAACGGCGTCGGCAAAGTCAACAGGGTTGTCGTTTGCGGAAGCCGATGGTCTAACGAAACGAGTGATAACTGCTGCCAAACTACATAGAAGTGAATGGAAAGCAGTAAAACCATTTGTTGAGCGCAGTGCTCCTATTGCGGCTTCAGAAGGACCCAATAGGGGCGATGGCAATGACCCACCCTGCCCAGCTCATCTCGCACCCGCCAGGTGCACCTGGGCCGTGTAAGCAATTACGCATGCACAAATGCGGCACCACTGGAGGCTGGCCCGCAGACACCTGGTGCTAAGGTAAATCCGGGGAATGGATCGCCACCCGGGGATCCGCTTAGTGTTTTTCAAAATGGTTTAGTACTCACGTGATGACAGATTAACCCCGAAGATGTATACTACTCGAAAAAAAAAAAAAAAAAAGCCCTTCGAGGGTGGATGGTGCATGAGCGTGCGAGCCCAGCCCACTCTCATTTTGAGCTGTGGTGTATTACCATCTGGAGATCCTTGGGGGAGATTCGCTTGGATTAACCATTTATAAAGTGGGTGGCCACCGGGTGTCCCGCAGGGACCGATGAAGAGAGTACTGATCCGGGTCATCGAATGCTAGATTCTACCGGGGGTGCGCATTAGCCCCAACATTAGTCGGTAGGACATACCCCCACATTCAAAAATTAGGCGCAGTCTGCATTTACGATGTGGCAAATTTCGGTCGAAACATCCGCTCGTTCCGTAACTCCGAACCTAGTCATCGTCGGTGATGATGATGATCAACACAAGAACAATTATGAACCAAATACACACACATGGCTTTCTAACCACTATTACTGCCATTTGCATATGTGTTCTACAGCGTTGGCAATGGTAGCGTGATATTTTCCTTGGTGAAACGCTTACATCATCGCGATTCAAATGCCTCAGCTTATATGGCGTTTTCCCACGAATGTGACTCTTGCCGCGACGACAATTTATATGATTTTGAGAATGCTGAGACTCGAACCGTGTTAATACGGCGCTACCATATCCCATGTACAGGTTGAGTGGGCGAGCGCGCGAACCAATCACTGGCCACTGGTTTGAAAAAAACCCCAGCATAGAGACCTTATGACCTCGCCTGTCCTCCCCTTCACCGAGGCCAATTCCAAGCGTGTGGCCCTGTTGTTCCGCCAAGCGCTCAGAACTGCGTTCGACACGTCGCTCAAGTTCGACGCCTACCGCGACAAGACTATCGAGATCCGTCGGGCTTTCGACGCCAACAAACATATTTCCGACGCCGAGGAGTTGGACGAAGTGTTCAGAAAGGGCGAAGCCAAGCTCAAGGAATGGAAGCACCCCGACCCTTATATCCCTGCTTCTAGACCTGGCGGGACCAAGTACCAAAGAAACATCCCTGTGGCCCGGGGTCCCCTTGTTCCTGGTCCGTGGTAGCCGGTTTGTTGTCAGCCAGGTTCAGCTGATATAGACCATTGCATATAATAGACGAGAATTACGACCGTTGTTCAAAAAAGATTGGTGAACGTTTGCCTTCGAGACTGGTTGGGAGGTTCATCTACAGTAGTTAATAATTCCTGGAAAATAAATTGCTGACAAGTCCTGAGTCACAGTAGTACGACTATCTAAAGTGTTAAACACTGATAGAAATGTGTTATTGGTTTGGTTAGCTTAATGTGGAATTGGTGATATTTGAACCAACGATGTTCAAGATATGTGAATTTCCGAAATTTTTGTTGAAATTTGCAAACAAACATCAATCCCACTAATACGATAAGCTGAAGTAGGTTAGAATTTACATTCGGCAATAGCAGTAGCACAATTGTTTGAATGATCGGTGCTATCAATATCTTAATTTCACTACCTGTTCTAGAAAAAAAAATTTACGAAATGGTTCAGACCATCATGATAATGTGAGCTCCTGATAAACACATAATAGAGTGTTAAATGTAATTCGAGTTTAATTCATTCTTTGACGGGAATCCCCACTCTCAATATGTGAACAATTTCATGGTAGCGCCGCACGATCGCACTCATCGCAAGAGCGCGATGAGGTCGGTTGCAGTATAAGCACCATGCCCCGTTCGAAGCGATCAAAACTTGTGACATTGGCCCAAACCGACAAGAAGGGGAAGGAAAACAAGGAGCGGATTTTCGACGATGTCCGCAGTGCCCTTGACACTTACCGCTACGTGTGGGTCCTCCAGCTCGATGACGTTCGGACCCCCGTCCTTCAAGAAATTCGTCAGGCCTGGACTGGTTCCAAGTTGATTATGGGCAAGCGCAGAGTGTTACAGAAAGCCCTTGGTGACACCGTCGAAGAGGAGTACAAGGACAACTTGCTGCAACTCGCCAAAGAGTGTGACAAGGGTTTGCCCGGTCTTTTGTTCACCAACGAAGACGCCGACACCGTCAAGGAATACTTCGACACTTACGTCAAGGCCGACTACCTGCGGGCCAAGTCGCAAGCTCCCCTCGACTTCACCATCCCCAGTGGCATCGTCTACTCCCGTGGTGGCCAAATCCCCGCTGAAGATGACGTGCCCATGGCCCACTCGTTGGAAGAGACTCTCCGTAATAAGTTCAAGATCCCCACCAAGATGAAGCAAGGTAAGATCACCATCGCTGAGCCTTACCACGTGTGTCTGAAGGGCGATGTCTTGGACGTTCGTCAAGCGCTTATCTTGAAGCAATTCGGGATCGCCGCCGACGAGTTCAAGGTGGGGATGGTCGCTTGGTACGACGGTGAATCGAACGAAGTCACCAAGATTGAATAAGCTATGATGACGGTTTTGTATAGGACGCTAGATTTTTATTCCATATGGTATAGCATGCATAATTAAGGACACGAGAAACCGTATGCTCAGTTCACCGAGTGATGTATGGTATTCTTCACTGAAGCGCTTCAGCAACCTCTAAGTTTTCGTTTCAAATGATCAATACTCTTGTTTACCATACTTTAGCGTATGTTTTTTCTTGCCCGTAGTCGTCCCACGTTAGGGAGTGCGGCGAACGCGACTACGTGTACCGCTACGTGTAACGTCAATCACCCTGAGAAAATGGAAGCAATAAACGTGATTGAGTTCCCGATCACCCTCCCCAACCAGGAAAGGGTGGACAAATTGACGAAGATGCTCACCATTTGTGGGGCGATTGTCAGTCTTGGTGCCGGCATCATCACCAACAATCTCCTCGTATTGTGCATCGCCTTTGCCGTCCTGTTCTTGATCACAGTGATTGCAGTGGCGCCGTCGTGGCCCATGTACAAGGGCAAAAACCTCAAGTGGCTCGAAGTGAAGTACTGATTGCGTTTTACGTTTCCATATTTAGTTTATTATACATTACTAGTATTGCCAACCGTACGTGGCTGAAAGCCGGTTCAAAAGGTGTTGCTTCGCCGTCAACGTCTCCTTGGCACTATTTGCTCCCCGTGTGTTACCTCGGGCCTCAATCACACGACTAGGGATTGGTTCAAGAAGAGTGTCGTCATCGGGATGACAGAAGTAGACAATCGAGTACCGGTCCTGACCGGTTCTCTGCACAGATTCGGGGAACTTAACACGATGGATAGTCAGTCGTAAGTACCCTGCCGTCCAGTACGATAGTTGGTCGCCAACGTTTACAATAATTGGTGGAGCTTCATCGTCGTTATCGGCATCAATAAATGGCACCGCTTGCCATTTCTTAGACACGGGACTGTAGATTTCCAACCCTTCTTGGTTCTTTTGTTGAAACAAAAGTGTAATTGACCCATAGTCTGTATGAGCTCCAGCACGAATCTGTTCGCTAGGATTTAACAGTTGTTGGCCAGGGTAATGAAGGAACCGAAACACCAGACCCAGAGGTTTGTCCTTGGCGTACTTTGAGTCAAAATAGGCGGCTCCACCGGCAGATTCATCAATTTCTAGTCCCACAGCGAAGGCCCGATGAATAGTCATAGCTAGATCCTGAAGCTTGGTGACTGCAGACTCCAATTTGTGCTTCCCCTCAATATCGGGAATGTTCAATGGGTCCATGTTAAGCGTTTCCTTTGGGTCTGGCGTCGCGTTCAGCGCTAATGATTCCACCCCGTATTGATAACCAAAGTTGGACTTATCCATCGCCAACTTGTCCTTTTGCTCTCTTTCTTGAGCAAAGAATTGCTTGGACACATCAAACAAAGCTGCTACCTCTTCAGCGTTAAAGCCGTGGCCTTTGACAAAGAGAAACCCTTGCGAAGAGGCTGCTTGCACGAGCTGAGACGCCGTCGCTGCGTCCTCTAGCGATACGTCAATGACTTCAAGTGGATTGGAACTCATTGAGAAAAATGAGGTGAGACAGCGATTGGCCGTACGTTGATAACCTCCTGCAATGGGTGCAGCCGTGGGATGCCCGGTGGATGCACCGACGGCTTCCCCGTGGGGGCGATGGATACGTCAAATCGTGATGACTTGTGAATCGAACAGTTTGAATATAATTCAACAATTCAATTTCATGTAGGAATCGGGTTTATTATTGACATGTTACTTGTTTCTGGTGTGGTAGGTCTTTCCTACAACTTCTTCAAGCTACGTCTAGTCACGCGCTTATCACGAGGACAGTGAAGTCACAATCGGCTTTTGTCCACACCAACTGTACACACCAAGCCACACAAGTTGTCAAAAATCCTTTATCACAAGCGTAAAATGGCTTTAAGCAACGAGATAAGTGACACTACTTAAAGTTGCAATCGTCTTCACGTTGTGCCATAGTAAGAATAAATCATATGATTCGCAAAATTACGATAGATACGAAACCATTTCAGTCTCATGCCAATATCACATTCCTGTGAAAGCAGGACGTTGCCTTTATTTCTCGACCTGCGTTTATTGTCTTGCCTTTCGTTATGTTTGCTCAATGAATCAAACAAGATTTTCAGTGCGAGAGACAAAATCATACTCACTTTAACATGAGCCGTGTCGAGCTGATAGTGCTGAAGTCGGCCCAGACCCCGCTGGTCATTGACGAGTATTTGCAATGGGCCAAGTACAAAATTGAACCGATAGTCGAGCAGTACAAGCTGGTGACGGTCGAGCAAGTGGTGGATGAGTTCAAGCAGTTGAAGGTGACCACAAACACGGTTGGCATTAGTATTGCCACGATTGTGTTGGTGATGATAATTGGTAAGGTGCTCGGTCTGGCAGCCCCGGCGGCGGCCAAGGAGAAGCCCAAGAAGAAGAAAAAGCGGGAGCTGAAGGCCAAAATGGCTAATCGCCAAATTCAGGCGGTTTTGGATTTTGTCGAGCTGGTGTATGTGCCCCAAATCGACGAGTACATCTTGAACTACAAGGAATTGAGCGACGAAGATGTCAGCTACAAATACAACTACTTTGAGGAGATGTTGCTTAAAGAGTTGATGAAATTAGATGAGATCGACGTCATCGGTAACGACGTGTTGCGCGAGAATCGCCGTAAAGTTATCAAATTCATCCAAGACCATCAAAGACGTCTTGACAAGTTTAAACGTGAGGTAGGATTCCAATAATAATTTAGATTCGATGAAACGACGCGCGTGTAGCTAGCGTGTAGCTAGAGAACGTCAAGTCGCACCAACACCGACACCCATCGCCATGTATAGGACTCCCATCACGGGTCATAAATCACAAAAATTATGGCTGAAACCGCATAAAAAGCTCAACAGATTCGTTGGCCTTTATTCAGCTCTTCGCAAGCTCTATCGGTTGTATAAGACGCTACCCCGGGACGAAAAAGCGAAGGTGCTTCGCTATCGCCATCTCATCTTATTACGGTACTTCCGACCCACAAAGCAATTGCAGTGGAATGGTAAGATCGACAGCACGACCAAATATGAACCTACCGATGAAACTATGCGTGTGGTCGTGGAGAACATCACGTATCCTGAACCGCCTGCTCCAGGTCAGGATTCTACAGCCAAACAAGAGCAAGCCCCGACAGCAGAATTGGTAAAGCAATATATCGACATCATGGAAGACATTCCTGAAGAAGACGAGGAGTGGGTGGATCCTTTGAATGAAGATTGGGATCTTATCCGTGTGGCTCTTTCGGAGTCCGCGTCGGTGCGTTTGTACATGAAAAGATGGGATCGAAAACGTCTACATTCTCTTGTGGGGGGCTACGAGATCATCTACCGAGACGAAAGCGTTTTATCAATTGATCGTCTCAATGCTACAACACTCTTATCATTGGTGCACTTAAGCATTATGCGAAAGGAGTGGAAAACAGCATACGTAGCATTTGCATTATTATCACGAATGTCACAGGTGGATTGGCGAAGACTATGGCCAATGGGGATGGAGATCCTACAACAACTTAAGATGCTGCTGGTTGAAGCTCAATATGCAAATTGGTTGGAACGTTTCATCGCCGGCTTGCGATTCGCCCAAAACAATTGCTTGACGGCGGATTCTTTGACGTGGGAGGGTTCATCAAAAAAATTGGTAGCAAGTTTCATCGTTGCACGCTTGTGGCGTCTTGTTCTCCATGGGAAATACTCTCAATGTCTTGATAAGCTCGAGTCATTGATGGTAACCGAACCGTATTTACTGAGTGGTGTTTGCTATTGTATCAGAGCGACAGCACTCATTGGTAAATGTGCATCTACTCTTGACCCAGACGCAGCTGAGAGTATGATTGAGTTGATCGAACGCGACATTAAGGAAGCAAGAAGATATGACTATTATATTCCACCGGAGTTTTTTGCAGAACAACTTCGAAACTTGTCAATCGTCAATGTCGAGTTGGTCAATCGAGTACAAGCTGCAGTTAGTCTGCCTGACCTTGATTCCGAAGCTGAAATTATTGGTGACACTACTGCGGACGGCCAGATTCTCGAAGAACGCCGAAATCAACAGGACTTTGACATTGAGGATTGGAGCATCATTGCCGACGATGACGAAACCCCAGTGGTCGAACCTACAAATGATGATATCGTAGGCGACGATGGTGGTAATGAAGGTTGGGGTGACATCCCTGACGATGAAGACGATGAAAACGAAATTGTAGCGGGCTCTACCAATTTCGACGATGAATGGGGTAATATTGAAGATGATAATGAGAGTGCAGACGAACATGGCGGTGAACGTGACCAAGAAGCTCAGCACGGTACTCAAAATGATGAATGGGGTGACATTGAAGACGACGAAGAGGCTGAGGATATCGCTCCTAATGACGATGATGGTTGGGGAGACATTCCTGATGATGATAGTGATGGTGATTGAAGAAGATCGCATCGAAGTTTCAGCTACCTCATATTAAAATTTACCAATTAGCGTTCATTATTCATTCTTAATACAATAGCTAATACTACCTAAAGTTTCAAGCAAATTCGTTCTTCCAGGCTGCTTCGTGACGAGGAGTCTAGAAGATCTTGCGCCATATCCTCGTAACTCATGTAGCTACCAGCACCTGGAGGTCGCACATCAAAAGGAGGAGCCATGGGGTTATCGATAGAGGGGCCCGACATTGGATTGAGGCCCATCATCCGGTGAGGGCCTCGGGAAAACATCATAAACTGGATTTGTTTGCGCAAAGAGTTGATCACCATACGCTGAAGGTTGAGGTCTTCCCGCATCATGAATGAATCATTCATGATATTTGACATCATCAGCTCCTGCTCGCTTTGACGTTGCTTACTTATGAATGGCAATATTTTCTCGTTGACTTCGTATTTGAGCCGGTCAAGTTCGAAGTTCACACAAAGTAATTGCTGGTCAGTTGCAGATGACTTCTCCAGCAGAATAGTTTCAAGGTTTTCGGCGTAACCCAAGTTGGTGATTTTCCCCTGTATTATCAGGTCTAGTATTTTGTTGATTTGTTTTTGGAGGAATTGATTTTCAGTAGCGAGGCCACTCACTTGGTCGGAGAGTTTTTGATAAACCGGCATGAATTGGAAAAGAGGACAATTTTCCAAATGGATTTCGAGCAGGGTCTCGTTACCCCCCATCCATTTGCACCCGAGATCGCGCGCCAGGCAAGTAATGTGGCCGACGTGTGAACAGTTCTCTCTGTGCTTCTCCAAATTCTTCTGAGCAATACAGTCGTTCAAACATAAGTCACAAGTTTTGTAGTTGAAAAGGCACTCGGTTTCGAGGTGTGTGTTTTCAGTAATTTTGCAGACTTGCTTCTTACAGAATTTGCAGGTGTATAGTTTGTGAGCACATTCTGAAGATTTGCCAAGATACTGCCGCTCCACAAGCCGTGGACATTTCACAGGATTGCCTTCGTCGTCGACTTCATCGTGCCTTATCCCGTGGCACACCACACCCGTGTGGTTGCAGTCAAAGTCGAGATGGTGTTCGAGCTCCCAACGGCTTCCATTCCATTCACAGCCTCTGGTTTGGTTAAGACAATACACCTTGAGGTCATCAACCAAGTTTGTTATGAGTAATGGCGTAGGAAATAATTGATTGATGTTGGTGGCGTCTAATGGTGTGCGATCGAGGGGACAACTTCCCCGGGTAACATTGCCGTCCTTGGCCATTTTGAAGCATTCTTGGATGCACTCTTTACAGAAGGTGTGTCCACAAATGGTGGTGAGCGGTTCGATAAACGGTTGCTGGCATATAGGGCAATTCAAGTGGTCGGTGGGCAGTTTGTATTTGAGGTTGCGGTACTCGATTTTCGCGTCCAAGTTGTAGCCCGACTCCGGGGCGAGTTCGACGGTGTCGTCGTATGCTGGGATGGGCGAGTCCGGCGCCTCAGGAGTGGTTGGCGGCGAGCTCATGGCGTATGGCAACGATACGGTAGCGGCTAACGAAGAGTGGGGGTGGGGGCGTGCAACCGGTGCTTATCTACAGGACTAAAAATTGCCGGATCATGTGACGCAATCCGAATGACATTAAAGAACAATATTTACACGTTAGGAGGGAGGAGTAAAGCGGCGACGACGTTGGGCCGCTCTGTGGCGAGGAGGTCGTAGAGCGCCGCTGCTCGCGAACTGTCGGCAACCTCGATTTGCATCCCCAACAGCAGGAGGTAGCGGCGGTTGGCAGGACTCAACATCCGGCTTTTAGCGCCCACCCCGACGACGATAAGCTCGGGTTTGGGGTGGATCTTCTCTAGCACTGAAAGCACCAGTGTCTCGTCAAACTCAACTACTACACCGTCGATCTTGTAGCCGCCATCTTTGAGGTTCACCTCGAAAGTCTCTGTCATCAAGAACAACGCCCCGATGACGTCGCCCTCTTTATTAGGACTTTTAATCAAGATGTTATTGGCAAGGTGGAACCCAAATGGGCGCACGCTTTCGATATAATTGATGGGCTTTTCCGAAAACATGAGGATATCGTTTTTCTTAAACAAGTCGGCGGGGTTCAGTGACAGCTCCCCTTTGGTGGGTGGGGTGAAGAGCTGTTTGTTGTTCATCTGCTTCTTGCCACCGAACAAATTGGCTCGTGTGGCGGTGCCGCCTAGCCGACGGACGATGGAACGATTCATGGGGTTAGCGTGGAGGGGGTGTGTAGGGAGACGATCAAAAGGAGCAAAGATCAAGTGCGACTAGGTTGACGCCAATTTAATTGTGGCGACAGGGGGAAAGAAATAAATGGCTTATGCTTATATTAGTACGTCGTTAATCATCTATCAATAATGTTACAGTCGTTAAAATCATCAGCGGGGGTCGTCTCGCACCTGGGTGTACCACACGCGCGATGGCTCCAAGCTGCGGAGGCCGTACACGGTGTGCAGAGGCACTTTGAACGTGCACCCCGGGGTCACCAAAAACGTGACGTCGGCCACGGTGACCTCGACGCGTCCGTCGAGCACGACGAAGTACAGGTAGGCTTCCCCCAGGTCGCGGGGAGGTTTAATCCCCGAAATCTTCATCATCCCACAGGCACTCTTGTTATCGTGTTCCCAGTAACTGTGGAGACACACGTCATCGTTGATCTGACGTTTGCGTCCCTCCAGAGCACAATATGCAATCGGTTGGGGCTCGCCGGGGATATATATTGGGGCCAGCAACAACTTAATCTCGCCGGTACCGTGGGTGGGGGGTGCGGCATCGGGGAGAAGCGTCGTCTCAAGTCCCATTCCCAGCATCGACCGGAGCGAATCTTGCTGATTATTAGCCAGTCTAGGTTTACTTGTCAATGTTGGTGCTGTCTGGGAGGAAGTGCGCTTGCGGGGAGGAGGTGCTTGGGTCGGAGGAGGCTCGTATATGAGGATTTCGTCATCGTCGTCGTCGTCATCTAGTCGAACAAACAACCCTCCCTGTGGAGGGTTGGCTCTTCCACGGAATTTGAGGTTCTCAATGTGGACAGCGCTGCCTAGTCGTTTGGCGCCGATATTGCTGGCGGGGGCGTCGTTCCTTTCTATAGGGAGGGGAGACCGTAGCGGACTATTTTCGTCGCCACGTATCGGCAACGACGCCAGGCTGATGATGGGGGAAAGCTTGGAGTACTCGTCGTGGTCGTTATCGTTGTCGAAGTTGATTTTGCGAGCGATGGTGGTGAAATGCGCTGGATCGTAGTTGTTCAGCTTGGTTGACTCATGTCCCAGAGACACTGCCGCTGGCTTTGGTATAGGTTTCTGTATGGGTAGGCTCGGGGGAGTCGCTTGAGGGCCCGGGGGCGGCGCGGTGGACTCGGCATCGCCAGCGGGGGACAGCGGCGGCTGGGGGAGACGGACACGTTTGCGGGGGCGTCCGCTCTTCAGAGACAGCGTGATCAGCGCCTCTGCCTGGGCGAAGAACTCGTCCAAGTCCTCCATGTGATGGCTGTCCCGCTGCACGTTGCCTGGGAGAACGGCGCCCCTCCTAGTCCTTCCGCGTACTCCAAGAACCAGGCGAGACATGTCACGGGTAGCGTCTCGGCGGGCTGTTAACAGTATCAGCAGGATGTCGGGGTGGTTGGTGGCCTGGGATGGGAGATGGGCTTCGAAGACGAAACGTGACGTTTGTTTTTTTTTATATATTTTTAAATGCGCGTCACGCTAAACAGTCATGTCAAGCCGTCACGGACTCCCGAAGCGGAACGGTAACCCGGCAATCTCGGGAAGTTCGTTATTGCTGCCATATTTTAGGGAGGGATCAACTATGGTTTTTAGTGGAGATTTTTAAATGGTTAGCCGAGGGTGACAATGGCGTAGGGGGCGGAAGCGGTGGGGTTATCGGCGAATGCACACGCACTCCCCTTCCACGAGTCGGCTTGGGTGGCAACGTGCCTCGTATATGTGCACTAAAACGCGAAGAGATCATCGATAGAGATTACCGACACACACTATGGGTGGCGGAACGAGTTTGTCAACCACATTATGGATAATTTTTGGGGGAATATACTGATTGAGAAAGCGGGGTGGTGGTGGTGGGTGACGTACGCTGTATGTCCACGCCATGCTCGATGTTTCCATGCCGAATTCGGTTGCAGAATCTATAGACCCTTACAGAAACATAGAGTCCGAAATACCTACATCACAAAGACGAGAGGGGGTTATTTTTGCCCTACACATTGACATCCAAAATTACATAATTACCTAGAGCATCTCAAACGCGTCACTGGCCGCTGGGTCGCCGCCGCGGAGGGTATAGGTCACCACCAGACCGTCGGAGTAAATGAGGTAGGCCAAGAAGGTTGGACAAAGCGAGTCAACGGTGCGGTTGCGTACAGTGAGACCAGCAAGCGTACGGCATCCGCTGGAGGCGAGAGCCAGCATGAAGTGGGTGGTGGGGACGACGGTCTCGGGGCGAAGACCGTACACTCCACGATACTGGCACATTCTCACCACCTGGACGAGCCCATGCTGAGTAGCAACAAGACAGCACAGGAGCTCAGGGATAGAGACGTAGAGCAGGAGCCGGTCGGTGAACAGATGACTCTCAAACCCTCTTATGGACGCGGGGTTCAAAAGCTGGGGGATGTAATGGTTGCAGTAAAGATGAGACTGATTGAAAAGACCAGTCAGCGCCTTAGCGGTGGTAACGAGAAAGCTATAACTCGCATAGGGCAGTGGCGGCTCCAATATGTGCTGAGCCATGAGTTTGTGAAGGCATCGGTACTGCCCGTCCGTGTGAGGGAAGTTGACACGGCGCCCCCGACAATAGCGCGGGCTGCGGTAGCTTTGGAAGATCAGCGCCGGTCCCAACAGGTCAGTTTCCCAAGCGTTGAATTCGCTGTCGATGAGTTTCAGCTCTTCAACTATTTTCGCTTCGGTGATAGGGTCAGGCGATTCACCATATACTTCAGTGATGGAGTTCACTTTGACGAAGTGCCGTGATTCCACCAGCATTACTCCCCAAACATGGTCATCAAGATGGACTCGGGCAATGAGTTGAGGATGGTCAAAGATTACACGGGATAGCGCGCCCCTGGGTGGTTCGCCCACTGGCTCCCCCAAGACCGACAGAGCATCTTGTTGCATAGTTCCATCGACATAATACACGGGGGTCGGATCCCATTGTGGTTGAGGACCCTCGGCCACGATGAAGTTAAACTCAAATTGTACCACTTCCTTAGATATCAGACCACAAGCCACTTTGACGCGGTGGAAACCATCACTAGTAATCTCTGGAGCACCGCAAAATGCCACTGAGGGAATGTTGTGACCCAATTGATATGAACGACAATGGCTAAATTGTTGGTCAGCACGAGAATAATACAAGAGCTTTAAGCTGCGTGAGTTATCACTGACAACCATTAAATCGTGCTTTTTTCCAAATTTGTCGCTGTATGACACCACGTCAACCCCCCAACACGAACTGTCGGTTTTGCAGGTATAGTCAGCTTTGATGCTTTTGTGTTTCGCTCGCATGCTATCAACAATTGTAGACACGTTATACATGTACACGTTGGCATCATCCATGCACCCTACCACCACTGGCGATCCGTTGAAATCAGGAAATGCTCGAATGTAATTGAATGTATGAGGATAGGTTTGCCATGTAGACACCAACGAGTCCATGGTAGTCGTAAACCGCGGTCTCGTTTCGAGTTGATGGCCTTCACGATGAGGCATGTGGTTTATAGCGCTGAACTCGTGGATGTGAAGGGCTGAGTTCACCGCTACCACTAGATAGTCGGTGTCATCGACGGTGATGGTGCACGCAAGATTATTCTTATACTTGCACAACGCGGGCACTTCCAATTGGTTAGCCGAGACCAAATTGACTATCAAGTGGCCTGTAGGTGGTGGTTTGATCGGTACCAGGGATAGCTGTTGCCAGAACTCATCAGAGTAATTCAATTGTGGGTTAGGGGTGAGGTTGATGCGATCGTCAATATCGTCGTCGTCGTGGTCCTCTTCGTCCAGCGAAGAGAGCCACATTCTCATCACCATGGCAAACGCACGGTGCGGTTGGGAGGCTGGTTCGGCAGCATCGTCGACGTCTTCAGTCGAGGAACTGCGTGGCGGTTCGGGAGTTGTAGTGGTCTGAGCGACGTAGTGGACGTTATGGTCACTGGATATCACATGCTTTATCAAGGGGGGTATTTGATGAAATGGAGAAAACATTGAGTCAATATCAGTAGCGGTCAGAAACTGGTATAGATCATCGATTTCAGGCTCGCCCCACTGGTAGTCGGTTTCATCGAGCGAGTCTTCGTCGCTGACGTCATTGCCGTTGGTCTGGATGTGTAGTATCGACGACGCTGGCCGGTGGTGGTGGCGGACGATGCCACGGGCCCGTAGGAGCCCCACGAACCGTCGTTCGAGCTCGACCTCCATGGCGGTGTGCGGGATTGACGACGACGACGATGCGGACGGCGAGGCAGTGGCGGGCACGGTGAGGTGTAGCGGAAGGAACGGATGTCGGAAAATAGTGTCGGTGTTGCCTGGTAAGGGACGGCGATGGCGGAGATCACTGAGGTTTGCGATTAGGGCTCATGTGGGACGAGCGCGATGTTAGTTATTTTATGGAACAGCCAGGCAGTGGAAAGTGGGGAAGTAGATGTAGATGAACGTTATGTTCTGAAATGCAATTGGTCAACAATAGTCAAAGTAGTACGATTGTTTTGATTGGGATCATCAATTGGTTTCGTTTACATCCACAATTGATAAGATAATTTACTTGAAAGAATTTACCCTTATTTGATGACAATGATATTCACATCTCTTTCGAAATTGATTCGTGATTTTTCTAGTATAGTTATTCAACTGTGGCGTAAAGTACAAGTAGTTGGCGGTAGCGCGATCGCATCATGGTCCACGCCGACTACGCTAACATCACCGCTGCCCTGAGGGCAGAGGCGCTTGAACTGGTGGTCGAGCTGTATAAGGCGCTTGCTGAAGACACCGAATTTTACGTCGCCAACTTGGCTAATGCGCTGTCGCTTCTCTGGCACGCCTACCACTCATTAGGCGTCAAAGTGAACTGGGCCGGTTTCTACATCACTCGTGACGCTGATACGCTTTATTTGGGTCCGTTTCAAGGGAAAGTTGCTTGTCAAGTGATTAAGTTTGGCGTGGGGGTGTGTGGCACCGCTGCTCTGACTCAAACCACGCAATTGGTGCCTAATGTCCATGAGTTCCCTGGCCACATCGCTTGTGATAGCGAGACCAATTCGGAAATTGTTGTTCCCGTGGTGGTTGACGGTAAAACGGTGGCAGTGTTAGACATTGACTGTGAAACCCTAGAGGGTTTTACTGAAGAGGACCAGAAGTGGTTGGAACAGCTTGCCGCCGCCATCGCCACCAGTTGCAAGTTTTAGATATTAACATTGTAAGAAAAAGGGATAAATCGTGTAGCATGACTAGTGGTATACTAAATACACAGAGGTGACCACGGCAAGACTTTACCACAACTAAAACGCAGCCACGTCGACGCCAAACTTTTAGTGACGTCTAAGGTTCAGGGTGTAGAATGGGGATAATTATAACGTAGTGTTGTGTCCTCGTCATCTAGGGGACCATGGCGCGCCGCAGCTCTTCGCGGTGCAAGTTGTGGTACAACATCTCCTTGGCTTTACCCACAGCGGTGTGCAGCCCCGAGATGGTGAACGTGCGCTCGTTTTTGCCCTCTTCCTCGTCGCTGATGCCGATGACCGCCCCCAGCACCTTGCGGACCCCCTGGATGCGCAGCCCGTTCTTGCCGATGAGGGCGCCGACAAAGTCGTTGGGGAACAGCAACGTGAGCTTGGTCGCCGTCGGCCCCAGCGGCAGCAGCGCCGACGCCAGCGATGGTGTCAGCGACAGCGGTTTCAGCAGCATCAGCGGCGGTTGCAGTGGCAGCAGCGCGTCGTCGTTGCGGCCGGCCAGGCCCCGCGGTTCGTAGTAATTAGTGCCGACCATCAGCGAGAAGTCTTCGATGAGGCAGCGGGCGATGACGCGGATGGCGCTGTGGAGGGCGTCGGTGGTCCCCTGGAGCTCGACGAGCCGCTCGTTGGAGTTGGGCAAAAACAGCTTCGACGCGATCATCAGCACGTCGTACTTCTGCTGGATCTGCTGGATGCGGGCGCCCTTGGCGCCGATCAACGTCCCCATCTGCTTGTGGGGGACAAGCAACCGCAACGTGGTGGTTTCGCCGTCAATGTTGGGGGTCGCCGACAACTGTTTGAGCGGGAAGAACGCGTACTCGGGCTGGGTGGCGCCCTGGGCGCCCAAGTTGACCAATGTCTGCGCGAACAACGAGAGCGCTTTGGCGGCGTCGTCAAGTGTGCCCAGCACCGTCAAGATGCGCTCGTGGGAGCCCGGCTGCAACTTGGAGATGCCGGCGCGGGTGTTGGTCTGGTTGCGGATGGAGTCGATGACCAGGCCGTGCTGGCCGATAAGGCAGCCTGCCTCTTTGGCACTCACCAACACGCGGAACACGATGAGCGCCAGCGACAGGGCGGTGTCGTCGACCAGCGGGAGCAGGGTCAGCGGCGTGGCCACGGCGGCGGGCGACCCGGACTCGGGGGACGGGTACAGCGGTGCCTCCAGGGCGACGGGCGCGGGGTCGCCAGCGGCGTCGCCGGTGAACTTGGTGTCGAACAACGATTCAGTCATTAAGGGAAAGGAGTGGGTGTGGGAGTCGTTGTGGCGCGGGTAGTGGGTGGGGCACTAAGGGAGCGTGGATGGCGGTGGCTTGCGGGAGGGCGGCGGGCAAAGGGAGTGGTGGACTAGTGGCGGGTGGTGATGGGGGAGAAAAAAGACGCAGCAATCAAGGGGGCGAGGGGCAGCGCCACCACGGCCGAAGAGCAGTTAGCGATCGGCGCCAGCGCCAGGCGACGCCGGGATGTCGTCGCCGGGGGACATTGGGGCCGTGATTGCTAGCAATTGTGTGGTTAAGATGAGGGTCGAGCCAGACGTTCGCGCCCCGTGCGCCGCGGCGATGGTGTTCGCGGTGGCCCCCGCCATGGCGTGCGATGGTGATGCCCGGAGCTAGCTAGCGACACGTCGCCGCCAGGGGTGCTGGCGATACGAAATCACGGCTACCAGTGGCGGTGGGGGAGCCCTCGTACGGTGATTGGCTCCACTAGTGGTAGCAATCAGTCTAGGCAATTAAGAAAAAGTAGTAGTCTTTTGGAAATAGTGGGGAGTCGAGCTAGTGAACTGGCACCCAGCTAGTGACACCTCCGTGCCAATATTGTGAATTATTTCAACAATTGCGGTTGCGAACGAAAAATAATGAGGGAACATTGTCGTCGGCGATTGACAGTTTACGAGGTCGGTGTAAAAATAAATAGCGATAAGATGGACATTTGGCTTGCTCATCACTAGTGCAAACACGGCTGTCGGAAAGTGACAGAGAGAGAGAACGCCGTACTGGCTTTAGTGCCCCTAACTATGCTTGAAGGGGCTGAATAAATTACGATGGGGAGGGGCCAGTGGACATGACGAAAGGCGATGACGTGTACACACTGGTAACTAAAATTGGAAATCTTGGCGATAGCTAAAAGTTTAAAGTTGTCTTGGTTGAAGGTTATCAGCCGCTGGGGGGGCAAAAAGAAGTGATTCCGCCCGGGCTCGATCCGGGGACCTCATCCGTGTTAAGGATGCGCCATAACCAACTAGACTACGGAACCGTTCTTGGTTTACGATACCTATATGTGAGTGGAATGAGGCAGGGAGAATTGCCATATCCCGCTAAACTCCCGACTTTTATACTTTGAGCTTATCCGGCGTGTTCCAGTATATTCTACGACGTCACATTTGTTGGTTAATCGTTGTATTCGTATTCATTATTTAGACCATGACGCCTACTAAGCGACCGTCATCCTGCTGTTGCACGATATATTCGCAAGTACGGCTGAAAATGCGCTTCAGAATATGGAAAAGGACGGCCTCCGTGTCAGCATTAGCTGAGTTCAACTTGTCCGCCTCTAACTCAGTGATGTTAGTGCGAATAAGCAGCAACAAACCGTTGATGTACGGCACATCCACCGGCGCCCCATACAACGCAAAAATGATACTGCGGTTCAAAATCTCAATGAACAACTTGAGCAGCAAGTAAGGGTCCATGCACGAGTCAGCCACCCGCAAACTCTTTTGCAAACATTCCAACACCCGCTTACCGTCTTGGAAAAGCTCACCCTCAAAACCGTAATCATCTGTCCACCACCACAAATGGGCACTGGTGTAGATTGCTCGACACTGATCCTGTTTGCGCAAAAGACGCAGCCCGTAATGGGTAACTTTGGCGGCTAGCTCGACGTAGGCGTCCTTGTCGTAGCTACGCTTAATGCCGACTGAATTTACCAACGCAATGACCAGCATATACAGCGCCAGCGACCCACCCAAGGCATCATGAGGAGATGCACTGGCGTAGTAGTTGTCCGTCAGCCCCATTGAGAGTTGTTCTTCGTACAATACCAACGCCTGATTGATGTACTCAAAGCTAGCGTCACTGAAGCCAACATTATCGGCCACGGTGGCGGCATGCAAATACAATTGAAGGATCTCGTACAGTCGCTCAGGGTGAGCCATGTACAACTCATTTAAAACCACCAGCACTTGCTTAAACTGATTTTTGAGCGTGGCGATATGGGTGGGGCTTCTTCTCTTTTGAGGTACCCGTTTAAGAGCAAACCCAAACACCTGTAAGTGATACAATATAGTTTCAACTAATGTCGGGTAGGTGAACACAATGTTCTGTTTCAGTTTGTTGAGCCACATACGACGGGTATATTGCAAAGCACTTACGGTGTCGATGGGAGTTCCCGGCGGTTTGATCAAGTGGAGAATCTTGCACAATTGCTCCTGAGTGTCCAAGAACGATTGAGGAATATCCTGGTCATTGATCTTGACGGTGGTGGTTAAGCCAAGATCAACCGACGTAGTTTGCTCTGGCTGTTCGCAGATGAGAACGCTGAGATATTGAAACACACCATCTATCTCCTCAGTACTTTGAAAGGGTGCCTCAACGGTCAATAATCGAGAAATGATGGCGTGGGCCACGCGACGTTGTCCAGGAATATCCAATTGATCAAATAAGGTACGCTGGTATTGAGAGTTCTTGAGATCAGCGGGGCTTTGCATAAATGCAAGTGGTGCCACCAAAATATCCACCAGCTGACCGGCTTCCAAGTGCTTGCCAGAGAACTCATAGACTTTGGCCATGTTTTCACGGTGTTGTTCATGGTCAACATCGAAGGCAAGCAGAATTTGGATGATGGCTGCAAGGAATTGCAGATGCTCGGAAGCGGGCATTTCTGGATCCAGCTCAAAAAGCTGAAGGTAGAAGTCCCAGAAGACTGCGAATAGTTGTGACAGAAGATCATCAGTAAGAGAGAGTTGCGCAAGAGATGCTGAAAGATCGCCTTTCGGAGAAGCCGCAGCATCTTGGTCTTTTTGACTATCCGTCACCTGACTTTGTTGATCAGTTTTGTCTTTATCCAGTTCTGAATCATCCACATTAGGCTTGGTATCTTCGTTAGGCTTAGGAGCTTCATCCTTAGCACTAGATTCTTCAACCTTCGCTTCATTCTCCAGCGCATTAGGTTTGTCATTGGCTTCATCTGTGTCAGTGGCCTTTGCTTCAGCTCCGTCATGAGTCTTATGATCTTTATCGGCATTAGAGGTGGTCTTATCCTCCGCTTTCACCTCAGTATGGTCGTCGGATTTGTCTTCCTTCTCCTCTGATTTTTTGTCGTCTTTCTCCTCAGACTTAACCTCTTCAGTACTTTCCCCTGGAGTCTCATTCTCTTGAGTCTCCTTGTCTTGGGTCTCTTTCTGTTTCTTTTCGTCTTTTTGAGACTCTTTCTTTGCATCCTCTGAAGTCTCTTCTTCTTTAGTCTCATTCTCTTGAGCGGTGAGTTCTTCTTCCTCTTCGCGTTGTTTCTTTTCGGCCTTATCCTGTTGGTATTTGACAAAGCGAGCCACCAATCCATTGACTAACTCACTCTTATTTAGGTTGGGGTGGACTTGTAACATCACCGCCAAAAACCCATCCAACGTAGCAAAGTGGAACTCCTCAGGGAATATTTGAATCAACACATCTATGAGGTAAGTTTGAGCAAGCACATCACGACAGGCGACAATCTGTTGAGTGATGATGGGGAACACTCTATCGCGATAGTACCCAATCGCCAGGTACAGATCACCTTGGTACTCGTCAATCACTTGTGATATACGCACCAATTGCGACCCCACAAGAATCTTAAGCTCATTACGTTCACGGATACGCTGTTCACGTTCGCTGGAGTGCCCCTGATGTTGTAAGCGAACCCAGAGCTTGTTCATCTCAATGAAGTTGCTGACGAGAAAGTCAATGGTGGCACGGAACTCTTCGTCAGTGGAAATGGGTAACAAGTTCTTAGTCCTCTGACTCAAGTAGTAGCGCAAAAAAAGACCACGAATAGGGTGTTGTACGCCTTTACACATCTCAATCAAGTCCTTCATCAAGTCAGTGACGGGGGCTTTCGGCTGTTGCATGTAAGTCGTCCCCACCACCATCATCAAGTAAAGGCGGGGAATGATGTTGGCTGCGTACTGGACCAATTCGTACAACGAGTCTAAAAACGGACGCTGGTGGTTACCCAGTGGCTGCGACGCCAAATAGGAGCTGACAATCTCCAATTGATCGAACGCCGCCATGTAGATTTCGTAGTACTGCTTGGGGGTCACCAGCAGCGTCCGGAGCTCATTGAGGAAGTTGGACACGTGTTTGAGCGCCTGCATCAAGTTGCCATCGGCTAGACACTGCTGCATCAACAGCAGCTGCTGGTGGATGCCATTGAGGGCGCTAGCCACTTTATCGGCCATGTGCGACAGTGGACGGTGGTGGTGGTGATTTGGGTGCGGTGCGCCTGTGAGGTGGCAACAGTGGTAGTCTGAGTTGAGGGAGAACAGAGCTGAGAAGAGGTCAAGCATACGAGTAGAGTTAATGTTTCAACTGGCTGTGGTTAGGTAGATCATATTTAGAGTAGCGTCTGTTTGGCAGAGTAGTTTGTCGTTTTGGTAGTGTGCGTGAGAGTAAGTCCATAATTGTAGTATATATATGGAGAGCTATGTCCCCAAAGCGGTAACGTAAGGGGAGACGAAGCAAAGCCTTCTATTTACAGAATGATGACGCTGGAGGTTGGTGGATCAACGGTTGCGAGCTTAGTGGGGTAAACGAAGGAGACACGACACCCGTCCATGTGATTTTTCTCGATGGGTAAATTAAGACTTGCGCCGGCGACTGGTCGGTTGCAGGGGGAACTACGACTATGTAAAGACTATCTGGGCTGAAAAAAGGCTAATTCATGTCGTTGTCTATAAATGTGAACAGCGCACAATGAAACCTACACTGAAAGCTAACTATAGAGGAAACTCATCAGGCTCAAAAACTCAAAAACACTTGAAACACGTTGATGCCATGTGTCTGACGTCGGTGTCGTGAGTGTCATAAACGTCCAGGGGAACGTGTCAACTTCACATGACAATCTGACGCCCTCTCGATCGATAAACGTCAGTGGGTCGCCGAAAATATAAGGTTAGCCCGTCGCCTAAGAATATCGTATGATGCCAACCAGACAGACAATGACAAACACCGACTTTAAATTTACGCCGTGGCAAGGGTAAACAAACAATAACACCGCTAACTAAAAGATGAGCCTATCACACCACGCTTGTGACTTTGGAGAATGTTAATCAGTGGTGACGATCGTCGCCAGCGTCGGGTGCGTCTAGGGAGTACAGATCACCACAGTACAATTACCCGAGTAGCCGGGCCCGCATTTCAGAATAACCCCTAGTGGCCCATTGATGCACATCGCACCCACGCAGAATGGCGGTGCATTCCTTACCTTAGCCGCGGCAAGGCGGACGTGGTGACCAGGCATGAATTCGAGGAACATATACAAACACTGAGGGGCCGGGGTAAGGTTTTTGTGTGATGTTTGCCACTACAGTGTTGGCTGGGAGTTTTACGTGGCGTAATGATGTAATTAGCCTTTAACCGCATTCGGTTGCCAGGTGACAGCCGGACCTATTGAAACGATGCGCGCCGTCCCCGGGCTCGCAACGCGAAGGAATGCCGCTGGCTGCCTTTGCGAAGGGCCACACTAGGGGGGGAAGAAGTGTGACCTCGAGAGGCGCAAATATGGAGACAAAGCAAAAAAACGCCTTTCTCCGGTTGGAAGCCAGTTGATAGAGAACGGAGACAGAACCCCGGGAAACGGGCGCGAATAACTTCCTATTCGGCTGAGGGTTGGACGCTGCAGGTATCAGGGGCGATGGTGTTTATGTGGTAGAGGGAATACGCGGGCACCCCACAGGCACCTATCCCCGGGGTCGAATGGCCCAACGGCCAACGGCGATACCAACGGTTACCTCAAAGACACCGTTTTATCGGCGGGTAGGCCCCTGTACGGGGGGCGTAAGATCACTGCTAATCGTGTCTGCTTAGAGGGTGTGGGTGTCGGCGTTGGCGACGCCAGGCTAACTCCGGTGGCTGGGGAAGGACATCTTCTATTTTTTTTTTTGCTCGTCGTCGACAGCTTCCACCAACGTGCCAACCAGCAGACATCATCGTATGATCCGCACCGAGCACAGCGTGGAAGCAGCAGGAATTACGTTGAGGCCTGCGGATGTCGTTACCAGACTACTAAGACGACATACGTCGATTCTATACATCCAGATACTTCTAATATGGGTATAGTCCGTGTAGTCTGTATGGTCTGTAAGGTGTGTAGTCCGGGTAGTCTGTGTGCCTCCATGCCTTGTTGGGGATAGTGTCGGGTGGATCAAGCCACCCACCCACCGCCTCGGCACGGTGTGTACCGGATACCCACCAAGTTAACAAACCAGCGCGACCCCGTTGAGGTCCAGGTGAACGAGCCCACGGCAATTGCCGAGGCCGTCATTCAGTACCAGAGCCAACGTTTCCCTACTAAACGTTTTCTCACGGCAGCTCCGCTTAGTTAAGCAGACCCACGTTAGGGGGTTTAATTGGGGATCAAACGCCCACGTCCGACGACACTGCCTCGCTTACTGTCGGGCGACGACGGGTCGCTAGCGCAAGTGGCGTCACGCCCGTGGCCCTCCCTATGCCCCCCTCCCCCTCGGCACCCGTCCCAGCGTGATCACACCTCCACCACCTCCCCCAGGATCCCTGTGGTCGAAGGGCACCGGCATTAGACCGTACGCATGCCCACAAACCGAAACGAATCAGCCCGAGACGAGTAATAGTACTAGGCCTTAACAACTACCAACGGCGAAGAAACAAATAATACTTTCCAGCCTTAGTCGTAGAATGCCAATTGTTAAATATTTATCATACCGTTGTTTTGTTGTTCCGTTATTATCTCAGTTGTTATGTCCTCCGCAGTGGGTGGAGCCTCCCCGGACCCGATTTTTTAGCCCGTGATGCTGGGGGGGTTTATTATTTGCCAACCTAATTTAGCCATCCGCCCACCGCAGAGAATATTTTTTCCCCTCCCAGTGGCAGGGCAGCGACCCTCGCCGGGCGCACGCTTTAGCTCGCTCACCTCGCACACCATTTGTTGACCACCTGACCAGCGCCCACCGCCCCACCGGGATGAACTATCCACACAGCCATATGTACTACCACGCGCCGCCGCCGCCGTCGCTGGCGCCGCCGGCCCACCACCAGGGGATGACGCCGCCGCCGCGAGGCCTCCCCGGCCACCCCGGCGCCCCGCCGGCACCGGCGCCCCCGTCGGCGCTCGTGCCCCCCATGGCGCCCCAGTTTGCCCCCAGAGGCTCCGTGGGAGCGTCGCCGGCACCGCCCCTGATGCCAGGAGTGCCGTCAATCGCCCCGGGACCGCCAGCGCCGATGGCGCCGGCCCAGTTGGCGCCGCCGCCGGGCCAACCGCTAACCCACCCTGGCCAACCTCAATCAGGAGCGGTGGCGCCTCAGGCGCAAGGCCAGCACTCCACGCGCCGGGGGCCGTGGCTGCCGCTAGAGGATAAAAAGCTTTTGGACTTGATCGCGATGTTCGGCGCCACCAACTGGGTCCGGATCCTGAACTCGTTGCTGACCCGTACTCCCAAGCAGTGCCGCGAGCGCTACCACCAGAATTTGAAGCCGCTGCTTAACCGGCTGCCAATTACCGCTGAAGAAGGGGAGTTGATCGAGGTTTTGGTGGCTAAATACGGGAAGAAGTGGGCGGAGATCCTGCGCCATTTGAACGGGCGCCTGGACAACGCCATCAAGAACTGGTGGAACGGCGGCGCCAACCGCCGCCGCCGCGCCCTGCAGAAGAAAGACGACGACGACGGCGACGCCGCCTCGATTAAATCAGAGTCTACGGGTACCTATATCAAGCGTGAGCTGTCAGGCAGTCTCGGCGGCCTCGACGGCGGCGCTGTCAACGGTGCCGAGGCGCTGGCGACGCTGACGGCGTCTACGGCTGTCGGCGCCACTGCCCCCACTAAGCTCCCGACGCCGTCGCAGTACCCCCAGGTGCCCCAGCTCCCGCAGATACTGTTCAACACGCTGATGTTCGGCAAAACCCTGGAGCAGGCGCTGGCGCTGCCCCATAAGCCGGCGCTGGCGCCGCCGCGGCTGGCGCTGTTTGACGTCGGCCGCGCCGAGACCAACGCCATCACGTTGCCGCCGATCCTGGCGACGAACAAGCGGCGCCTCCTTGAGGACCTGGTGGGCCGCCGCCACTCGTCGGTGCTGGCGCACTTGTACCACCACGGCGCCGGTCCCGTGCACCTGCAACTGCACCTGAATCTCCCCGTGCTCGCGGGCGGCCTGGCGCTGCCCCCGTACCACGGGCTGCCGCTCCTTTTGCTGACCCAGGCGCTGCGCAACAACCTGGTGCTGCACTTTGAGTTGCTCAACCCGCTGACGCTGGCGCTGCTGCGGCGCCTGCTGTACGCGCCCGACTTGTTCCCCAACCCGCTCAAAGACGTGCAAATCGCCGCCGCCAACCTCGCCAGCCTCAGCGGCAGTCTGCACAAGGGGCATCACGGGCTGGTCCTGCTGGTGGCGCTGGTGCCGCCGATGGCGACGCCGCTGGCACACAAGCGCAACTTGCTGCAGACGCTGAGCTACAACTCGCCGCTGATGACGCCCAACACGCGGTTCCTGGTGTCGAGCGCGGCGCTGGGACCGCCCCCCACCAGCGCCATGGACGTCGACACCGTTGACGGCGCCCACGAGAGCGCTAACGAGAGCGCTAACGAGAGTAACGCTGACGGTAACGCCGACGGCGATAATATCGACTCCCGCAAACGCCGCAGCCACGACGACGGCGAGGATAAGATGAGTATGCGCAACTTGTTGCTGTAGCCCTCTCGGTCTGGAATCGGGGGGCTACGCCAGGAAGCCGGAGCTGAAACTACAATAATGATTGGCATAATAGCATGGAAGCCGCCCGGGGATGGCTCTAGCCGATTTTGTATAGTACACCTTTGGTCTTTACATAGGTCATTGATTAAACATATCTCTAGCGCTGCTATAACTCCGCTTCCCCACACGTTTCAGTATCGTATGAGGCCGCAGCGGAGATTATCCACCGGCAGCGTACTTGGAATCTTGCAGAATCAGTGCCAGCCACTAACGCTATCCCAAAAAGTCAAGGGCTACATCCCTCCGGGTCGATCTGACTGCTTCCAGACACTGGCACCGCCTCGGCTAATGGCTGCATTGCCACAACCATCTTGCAGAACAATCAGATGTGTCTTGACCCTTCCAGCCAGCAAATTATGGCATATATTGCTGCCTATCTCCCCACTACCAATTGAGTGACGCCACTAACCCCGGGTGATCCTCGGCGCATGGCGTGCTGCCCGCCACTGTTTTTGGCGTCTCGCGACTGCTGGTTATCACCGCTCGCTCGGAAACAGGCGTAAAGCCCACAATGGAGCAACAGGTGTCAGGGTACCATGACCAGCGATCACAAAAGTAAAAATTATCCGAATGGGTTTCACCCCCAGGGACCCACACTGGTAAGCTCCACATTGTTGGTGTACGGGACAATTGATCCCCACTAACGGCTGGTGGCATCCACGATTGCGGTGAGGGGGAAGTAAGGGGTTTGGCTAAAGGCAATTGCCCTGGCAGCTACAAACTCAAACGGGTCTCGATTAGGCCTACCCTGATATTACTCTATTTAGTCGTGCATTTCTCGTGGTGGTCACTCGGAGCAACCCCATACATGCCGGGGGGCGGAATTGGTCAGGTATTTTGCCGTACCCCATACCATTTGGAGCGAGGGTGCGCCTGGTGTCTTGCGAATGATCGGTTAGCACTTCTGGAGCCAGGGCTCATATTTCTTGGAGAGTTCATATTCGGTTAGAGGCACTGGGGCCCAAACGCCATCGTGACCGACAAAATAGCTAACTCGATGATGATATTAGACGGGTTCAGATTTGCTTTAGCAGGCAAAGGTAATCATTATCTCACACTTAAAGCTCGTCCTGGTACTCTTTTAAATCCTCGGGCTCGAAGATGACGCGCACCATGAGCGAGCACAGCGGGCACACCGCGATGTCCTCGCCGTCGAGCAAGTCGTCGATCAGCACGGCGAACCGGTCGCCGCAGGGGCACGGGTACTGGAACAACTGGGTGACGGGGTCGAAGGTGAAGTCCTCGATCTCGATCTCGTCGTAGATGGCTTCCAGCATGGCGGGGTGACGCTCGCGTGGGAAGTACTGAGAGTGTGTATGGAGAGGGGAGCGATGGCCTCCAGCGAGCCCCGAAAATTAAATAGACGGCCAGCGTGACGAGCCACCAGACAAAAGAAAGGTAGCCGAAGTAGGTGGAGTAAGTGGGTTATTTGGGCTTAATAAATTAACATGAGGTTAGATGTTAATGATAGAAAGAGAAGGGAGAGGCGTGATAGTTGGTTATAGTACAGTTGATGGTGGCAGTCTAGACTCTCCCCTAGTATTCTAGAAACCCACGCGGCGTCGCGGCGTCGATGCTATCGTTTAGGTAAATGTTCGCACTCTCATATCAGGTCACGTGGATTAGGGTTACTCGCGCGAGCGCACAGTGCGAACACCGACTTGTTCAAAAATTTTCACCGCAGACAGACTCCCTCACCGACACACCATGGGTATTTCCAGAGATTCGCGTCACAAGAGATCGGCCACCGGTGCCAAGAGAGCCCAATACCGTAAGAAGCGGAAGTTCGAATTGGGCCGTCAATCCGCCTCGACCAAGTTGGGCGCCAAGAGAGTCCACGCCGTCAGAACCAGAGGTGGTAACCAAAAGTTCAGAGCTTTGCGTGTTGAAGCCGGTAACTTCTCGTGGGCCTCGGAAGGTGTCGCCAGAAAGGCGAGAATCTCCTCGGTCGTCTACCACCCTTCGAACAACGAATTGGTCAGAACCAACACCTTGACCAAGTCGGCCATCGTCCAAATTGACGCCACCCCCTTCAAGCAATGGTTCGACAACCACTACGGTGTCGTCTTGGGTAAGGCCAAGGAAGGTGAAGAGCCCACCAAGAGATCGAAGAAGGTCGAAAGAAAGCTCGCCTCGAGATCGGGCGCCGCCAAGATCGAAGCTGGTGTTGAATCGCAATTCACCGCCGGTAAGTTGTACGCTTGCATTTCGTCGAGACCCGGTCAATCTGGTAGATGTGACGGGTACATTTTGGAAGGTGAAGAACTCGCCTTCTACGTCAGAAGAATGACTGCTAAGAAGTAAACCCGGGGGTGTAATATAGTGATAATAAAATTCGAAACGATACATCTTTTGTAAGCTCGAGTTAGCGTCTGGTTCGGTCACCGGTACCCTCCTTTTGATAGTGTTGATTATGATTTTCCTTCGCCATCGCAGGGCAATTTTTTTTTTTTTCATCATTAGGCTCACCTCACAAACCGTAACCGGAAAATCTTCGCGATATCATCGTGTGAGCGAAATTTCACTTACCGCACCTTAGCTGTTAAACGAAAACTATTATCACTTGATGTATCTTACGTAATAATTGTGAGTGCTAGGTATTCTGATTATTTTACTAGAAAAAAGAGTACTAGTCGTGATCAGTCGTCGCTTTCTTGACTGTTCAAATAGAGTATGCCTCCCAATCACTTTAAGTAATCGGATAGAGTAGTTCTCGAATATTATCAGGCTATAAACTCAAACAGGTATCTACAAGCACTACAACTAGACCCCGAACCGACAAGTAGTTTGGGGAGGGAGACCTATCAACCTCCCTTGAGGGTCTAAACTCGACCAAACAGTCGATCCAGTGCCATCAGATTTTTGCGAAGCAAACGCTTATCAGTCGACCGGGGCTAATCTGTCGTTGCGGAAAAATTGCCTTGCCTACCGCCCACAAGGGATGTGTAAAAAGGTGCACTATCTTCCCGCCTACGGGATGGTCGTGGAGTGTTACAGCGTAGAAGAGCACGAGTCAAGTCCAGCGAGGTCGCGCCCCAAGCCAATAATACTTTGAAGTTTATGGTAGCTGAAGGCGACCAAATAGAGCATTAACCAGCGATAAGCTTGTTGAAGCCCCTTCTACTGGGGCTATTAGTCGCCAACTCCGCCAATTGTAGCTTAAACCTCGTTTTTGTCACCTAGATCACGTGATGTATACCCCATAGAATTTTGGTCGCACTCAATTTTGTAAACACAGAGGTGGACTTCACTCAGACCAAGGCAGGTGTCCTCCAATGGTGATGGCACAAGCTAAGCCTCAAGAGAATGCATTGTGACTCGGTCCCCCAGTGAGCTCACGCCCTGGGTCTAGACCTTCACGGTGTCGATGATATTTTCGCACCGACGCGTCGTCAACTGGTTGCCGTCAATGACATTCCTCTCTACAACGGCATTGTTGCCTTGGCACCTCAACAATGGGACAAACCACTTGTTTTTCTTGGCATCATTCAGCTTTAGTGAAGCCCAGTTGAGTTTGAACACTGCATTTGAGTGGACTGGCGATTAGGGAATACGGGAACGCCATTTCATGTTTTGCCACCACGCCGTTGCCTGTGAACCTAAAATCCCATTTGAATCCATTCATTGCCTTCAATGCCACCATGGTCACAATCTGGAAATGCGCGATTAGGGAATGCCAGACGACGTACTTAATTTGGAAGTGGAACCGTTGTCGAGACGACTCCGCGAACAATGAGCACTGCAGAGAACCGTCCCCACCTTTACCCATTAAGTCATCATCGTCAATCCACCAAGGATTAGAAGGATGAAGTGAGTAAATCAAGTTCGCCACCGACCGTATTCGTGCGCCATGGATCTTGATCGAATCTACTGCTATCGCCGTTGCCACCCCTTTACGACTAAGGATCGCGCGACTAGGGAATGCTGGGCAATGCTCTCAATCTGGGCGGGCCTATTGACGAGACGACAATGCGAACAATGGTGACTGCGGAATGCTGAGCCTGCCTTTGCCCCTTGAGTCTTTGTCGTCTACCTGAACTTTTTCCCCCGAGAGTCTTGCCGAAGAGCATAAATAGCGGGCCTTTTCCTCTATCCTCTCCTCACAATTTCAAGCTTGGTCATGGCTACTTCTCTACTAGAGTATGGTGGCTTGGTTGCCTCTGACATGGCTGTTGCTGACACGATTCCGACAGTGCTTTCATTTTGTTGCGTCCATCTGAAGTCGGCGTGCACCCTGCCGGGGATCCTCGTGGTCTCTCTGAAAGCAGGTGTGTGACCCCAGTCCTCATGGCGCACTTTGCAATGTTGTACTCGGCAATCAGTTCAGGACAGCCATGGAGGAGACAGCTGGGTCCATTTTACGCTAATAGAAGAGCAGTCATGGCTACGATTACTACCCAACAAGTGTTAACCACGGGTCTAGCCTATTGTAATGAGGCTCTCGACAATCGGGCTTGTTCGAGCTAGCTCAGTAGTACGGTAAATTAATAGCTTGTTATGGCAATATCGTGTTGCACTCTGCTATCTCTCTGGCTCCTAAGCTTTGTAGATAGTGACAATTGTTGAATATTACGTCAAGAAATTCTTTTGTTGGACAGCACTTTCACCTAATCTAATTCTCCATGACTCCATGACTGGCTCGATGACTAATTGCAGTGGTGTACATCTCTGGTGAATTTGAGATATAGTCGATGCAGCACGATCGGCGTTATCATGCGAGGGGGGCCTCGCTTACAAATGTCTAGCATAACGTATACTCATAACGGTGCGACTATGACATCTAACTATTAGTTTACAGGTTGTGGGCGGGGATGTAACCGTCCAAGTTGTGGATGACCATCCCGGCCACCGCGGCCGACATCAACGTGGCCACCCCGCCGGTGACCAACGCCAGCAAGATAGCCAGCGAGATGTCCTTGCCTCTGCCCTTGGAGATGGTATTCAACACCCCCAAGGTGATACCGACGGAACCAAAGTTGGCGAACCCACAGAGAGCGTAGGTGGCAAGCAAAGTGCTCCGTTGCGAGAGCTGGTTGTAAGGCGCTTGGTGCATCAACATGTCGTAGGCGACGAACTCGTTCTGGATGAACTTGGTGGCAATGAGCTTGGTCACCTTCAAGATCTCACCCCGGGGAGTGCCCAAGAGGAAACCAACAGGGTACAACAAGTACGACAACATGAGCTCAAGGGTCAAGTTCTCGATGTTCCAGAAACCACCGAACCAGGTGAGCAAGGCGTTGATGAGGGCGATAATCCCGATGATACACAAACACTGGATCATCATCGTCAAGGCGATTTGCAACCCCAAAGTGGCACCTTCGGAGAACGCTTGCAACACGTTTTGCGGCTTATGTTCGTCGTCGACTTCCGATTTAGGGATGATCACCTTACCCTTGGAGATCGACTCTTCCGTCTCGGGGAACCGCAACTTCGAGCACGCCAACGACGCCGGGATCGACATCACACACAGCGATACCAACGCCTGCGGCGAAAGCCCTAACCCGATATAACCGACGAGCACGGCTCCAGAAATGGTGGAGAACCCCGAGGTCATAATCTGGTGCAACTCAGCCTTGGTCAAGTAGGGCATCAAGTCCTTAATTAAAATGGCCGACTCACCAATACCGATAAAGGGAGAGGCGGCGGCAGTGATGGCTTCGGCACCAGACACCTTAAGCGTCCAGAAGAAGAAATAGGCGAACTTTTGGATCCCCCACTGGATGACGCCCCAGTAGTAGAAGATGTGGACGAAGGCGACGAAAAACGCCACCGCAGGCAACACCGAGAAGAAAAACATCGGCAACTGGGAGACGTCGTCGTTGGTCAAGAACGCCACCCCGTTCTTGGCGAAGCCTAACAACTTACGCGCCAAAAACGAGATGAAGTTGAACACGTCGTACCCACACTTGGTCCGCAACACGAACAAGGCGATGATGTACTGCATGAGCACCCCGCCGATGACGGTGTGCCAGTTGACCCGCTTCGGGTGTCTCAGCGTCGCCCAGAGGACGAAGATGGCGACGACGAGCCCGAAGAACGACACCGCCCGGTCCTCACGCAACGAGTACGACGTCTCGGGGGTGACGAACACCCCGATGAGGATCACGGCCACGGTGATAAACGCCCCGGCACACAATCTCATCCAGTGCTTGGGGAGGATACGGTGGACCCACAGAATGGTGTAGGCCCAGATCGGCTTGGCTCGGGCAAGCGCCCAGTAGAGGATCTTCCAGTGCCACGTGATCAAGCGGGCCATGATCAACATCCACAAGATGGTGGGGATAAGCCACATGTGGCGGTGGCTGTCCTGGATCACGATCAGCAACCACCACGAGGTGAAAAAGCACCCCCAGAAGATGTGCCAGGCGAGCCGTCACGTCAGCGGCTTCATTCTCAGCTTGATGCGGGCGAGCGGGCCCATCCGGGGGGTCTCTTCGTGGGTCACCCGGTGGCCCAGCTCGATGTCGATGATCAGGCGATCATCCTTCTTTTCGTTGTTGATGTCGGACGCCAACCCCTCCATCGAGTCGGAGCCGGCGTACATCGGCTCCTTGTCGTGGATCTTGGGGTCGGCCGTTACGAACACCTTCTCAGCACTTCGGTCGTCGTCAGACAGCAGCATGGAATGGGATTAGTGGACGGCTTGCAAGTAGTTTTTAGGGGGATGGCTGATCAAGTACCAGGGCATTCACTCTTGGGGCCAGATGTCCAATAAAACCTCAAAAGCACGCCGGGGCCGGCCTCTATATGTATCCCAGAAATTTTCTTCCCCAGAAATACGGGGCCTCATCTCTGAACGCCGCCTGGTCGGCACGGCTTCCTAAACCTGCAGTTCCGCGGCGAAGAAGCTGCGGGTGCTAACAGCCTAATACGCACGGCATCGACGAGGTGTCACGAGGGGAAACTCACCGCGGGGAGCAATACGGGAGCAACGATCGTCCCCGGCGGCAAATGTGGGGTAGAGGCGATGCCTATAGTGGCAGAGGCGAGCAGCCAAAGCGACACGTCCCCCGATCGGCGCCCCCCCACTTTTGCCCCGACTCAGCAAAATTCCGCGTTATCGATTTTTATTTTGCCGCAGGCTGTCACATTGGCATTGCTCGGTACCAAGATTATCCGACGTGCGACCGACGCCGATTGCGCCAACTACGGGGCCCGACGACGGCAACACACGTCGGACAGCGACAAACTGGAGATGTCGATAAAGTAGGCGGAGATCCTGGGGTAAACTTCACCGCATACATTAGCCAGGTTTACGTCGCCCTTCATGTTTTGTCCTTCGGAAATCATTTTCCGGTGAGGGGCACCGGACGCCCGTGGGGGAAGCCGGTGAAAGAGGAGAAGCCGCCACCTAGGCGTCAATAGCGACCTAAACCAACCTCGGCTTCGTATCATCCCGGCATTGTCGATATCACCGTGCCCCTTATTGACGTGTTTGTCCTACTGATAGCGGCGTTAGCCCGTCGATGGCTATCACAAGCCGGCCGCTCGCATCGGAATCTGAACTCCGCTTGCATACCCGTTTCGATGTTGCCTCAGCGAAAGCGACGCAGCCTAAAAGGTGGTAGTGAAAAATTGACATCGGGGTATGCCGCAGCCTTAGCCGGGGATGGCCTGCCGGAACACCGCGTCGGGAGCCAGACACCACCGTATCGAGCATTGCTGTTTTTTGACTAACCTTCGCCAGCATCGTCGGGGTGTGACATCTGCGATAGCTGCTTATCTGCCCCGATGGCACAGAACGAAGGTTATAGTGGTTATATTAGAGCCTTTTGAGTAATCGATTATGCCATGGCGTATCTAGATTAGTTACGTCCCCAAGGGAGATAACAGCATCGCTAGCCGTGCTTTACCCCGGGCGGGCGCCACCGTGTGTGTGCTCTGCCTTATCAAGGTTCAGGTGCGGATCTCAGCGCTCGCGCCGCCGTGCCATTATGCGGAAACGGAAAATTAGCTCGGCCGAGAAGGTGCGGTTTTTGGCGGCACGCAACCATTGTCTTTGATCGGGATTATCCACCGGCGGTAACAGCGTGTTTCTCTGGTTAGGCCGAGTCTTCTTCCATGGGTGTCAAACGCTGCCGTGGTGATGGTGCTTTTTATGCGCCAAGCTTTCTCTGGTTGTGTTTTGGGCTCGCGCTGGCCTGCCCCAATATCATAGAGCATAGTCCGTACCTCGAGGGGGCATCGCTCACTTCTGTGTAACGTTATACGGTGATCCCAAATCGGCACTACGTTCGCCGTGATGTATAATTTCCTAAGCCCCCCGTTTATCATCACCGCTAACCACCGAATGGCTGTAGTCAGTGACAACATGCGACTAGGCCGTTCGCGACGCTCCCCCTGATCGCACGTCGTCGTCACGGGGTCACCACGGTACTAGGCTAACTCGCCACGCTCAGGGACGATGTCGGGGCACAATCCGCCACCGCCGAAAAGCCTGGGGCTCGGCCTGGTGCTCAAGCTGCTCACCAAGTCGCTCAATCGCCCCGCCCTGCCCCGCGTCAGCGTCACGCTGATCAACCCGGCCATTGTCGGCGGCGAAGACTTGCAAAAGCTACTAAAACAATTGCACACTAATGGCCCGGTAACCGTGAGAGCGCAGGCCGCTGTCAAGATTGCCGAGCTCTTGGACCAGTACCTGATCGCCCTGGTCCCTGAAATCTGGTATCGGGCCCGCGACTTGATTGACCCCAGCCAGCCACGACTGGTACGTCGGCCGGCGATCCACTTGCTCAGAGGGTGCATAGCGCAGGGTCTGTCGCTTGTGGCTAATCGCTTGGTGTACTTTCGTGATATTTTGAAAGCCTGTCAAGCCAATGATCCCGACTACGATTTGTTCCTTAAGGCGCTTTCTGTGCTCACCAACGATGGCCATGACCTCCTGGACCTTGGTAGCTATATGCCCAAAGAACTAGCGATATTCCTTACACGACGGTTAACGGCTCATGATCCTAATTGGCAGGCGACTGTCGACTTCATTAACAAGTGCTTGCATCATCATCAGTTTGAAAACTATACCGCCGATGCTGTGGTCAACAAAATGATCGAGTTGGCGTGCACGTCTGAAGCAGCTCGAGCACCGGTGTTCGCTGGAGTGCTGGACTATTTGCAATTATACCAAGTGGCTCTGACACCAGTGGTGCGCTTCTTGTGCGCTCTCTATGCAATTGAGCTGGAGAGTTATGAAGCATGGCCGGCAATTTACTCATTGGCGAGTGTAGAGGGCACACGTAAGGCGATCATCGAAGGTTTATGTGGGGTAATCACTGCTCCAAAGATCGCCCAGTGTCGACTGATGGCGCTTGCGGAGTCTCGTACGCCGTCAAAATTGAATGCAAATGTTCTCACCCTTTATGGCGCTCTCGGAGCTATTGCTTTGGCCACTTACACCATTGTTGCTGGAAAATCAGACCCAGTGGCCGTTGCTTTGGCATTCAAAAATGTCGTCGATACACATAACTTGACCTTAGTGAACACACAGGTGCTCCGATGTCTTGATCGGTTATTTGCTATGGAAAACTGGGTAGAACACTACACCAATCACTGCAAACTTTTTACCGACGTGTTGCCATTCTACACTTGGTTGACAAAGCCTACAATGTTTGATGTGATCACCCTGGTTAATACCACTACCGACGCCGACAATCTGTATGTTCAGCTGATCCTACTGTCCATACAGCTTTTATGGTCCGTCCATCAACTAGAGTGCGATGAGGAAGCAGTTGTGAAGGTGTTCACTCACTTTTCTCGGCAACTAAATGAAGCCTGCCTGGCTTTTGTCATCAAGTACTACAGCCTGGCCAAGTTATGCTGTGCATTGAACCCCTCTTGGCGTGACAATTGTGTACGGTGTCTTAATCTCTTCTACTTCCACTCAACGCTGCCGCTGGTTCGCTTGGAATGCTTGAAGATGGTCTATGAGGCACACCAGGCGCTGCTGGCTGTGTTTGGTGAGGATCATGTCGACTACGAAATCATGTGCTCTCTCTTTCCTCGGCTGAAACATGAAAAGGATCCGGTAGTATTGGATTTTCTCATTGACACCATGTTCACCTACATTGCCTTCTCGTGTCCCGACTCAGTGTACTTCACGATGTGTGACACGTTTCTACGTGATATAAAGCTGTTCCGTCAGCTTTTGGTGGGAGAGGCGCTGGCGAAAGCGGTGGCGCTGTTCCGTCTGATTGGTCTGATCCTGCGAGCTCTGCTGTACCGACAATCATCCGATAGATTTTCCACAGAGTTTTTGTCGAAAATGGCGATGGTGTTTGTTCGTATTTTTTGTGTCGGGTACGTCAAGTTTCCCGCCAAGGCTGTACGAACTTATGAGGTTTTGATTGATTTCTTGGAGTTTCTGTTGGCCACAGGATACACCGATGTTGCGTTGTTGATACTGAAGTTGCTCGTTCGCCTTCGCGTGACAGCTGAAAGATACGTTTACATTACCCAGCCAGCAGACATCACGGGGCTTTCGCTGACATTCGGACGTAATCTTAATGGAGAGAATTACGTGGCGAGAAGTCTGCACAAGTGGACATTCCCTGATACCATTTCCTACATACCAAAAGAGAATTTGGATACCCCCAGCACTCGACTTCAGGTGAACCCCGTTGCAAAAGACGTGAGCTCGTTAAATATTGAACCATGGATTCGGATAGTGTTGCAGATCGTGGAAAAGTTCTACTCATTTGAGTTGTACCTGTTTGTGTGGAGCCACTTTTGCTCTCAACTTGCCAACTTGGACCTCTTCGCAGCTCACTTTGATTTGGTGGTTCAACTTAAACTGATAATTTGTACTCAACTAACCCTGGGGCTATCGAGTGCGGTGAAGACACCTACTGATGAGATCACTCCGGCTGAGATCCAAGTTGCACTCATTCGAACTATGCTGGCACTCTTGGGATATCACAATCAATTTAGCAAACGTGATGAAGATGAATTGATCAAAGCACTTATCTTGGGACTTGACTGGTGGGAGCGTACAGCTGTGCCCTGTATCAATATGTTGACCGCTTGTTGCTACGAGATTCCCTTATCTGTTCAACGTTTTGTACCGGTGATCTTGACCAAGCTCCAGGTGAGAGTAACTCTGGCGGGTGCCTCAACGCATACTCTAGAATTATTGATGGCCTTGTGTGAGAATCTGGATTTGCAAGCTAACTTTACTGCTGATGACTACAAGCGTGTATTTGGTATTGCGTTCAAATACGTGCAGTATGCTCAGGATATGACTAACAAAAACTTGACGAAGGCAAAATCTCAGGGTAGCGATATTCCGTGGCAGTATGTGCTCACGATGCTGTATCGCGTCATTTGTGAATGGTTTCTCAAAATGCTGCTCAAAGATAGAGCCAGCTTCACGGAGTATCTCATGAAAAACATTGTTCTGACGAATTCCCAGCCTGAGGACATTGACGACAACACTGCTGGTCTTCTCGACTTTGTGGGTCAATTCTCGAACTCAAACGTGCCCCTTTCCATCTATCATCCACAAATTGATGCTGATGCCAAGCGCTGGATGGTCGGACTTTCGGTGATTGCAATGAGTACCGATGCCAGCCTGGGCAAATCGCAGTGGTTGGTCGTGAGACCACTGGGGGTCTTGGCACTACATGTGTCACTTCATGGGGATGGAAAAGACATGGATGTGCTGCTGGCATTTTATATGCTTCAGCTCTATCTGAGTGTCTACAAAGACCATACCAAGGCCTTAAAGCCGAAACCCATTCCCGACACACCAGTGGCACAGAGAGCGTTGGCCTTACTTGATCGAATTCCCACCGTGGAATTCCACAAAATCGGCATCGTGTATGTCGGTCCAGGCCAATCACTTGAAACTGAAGTTTTGTCCAACAAAAGCGGACTGCGACGCTTTCATGAGTTCTTGCAACAGATGGGTCAGTTGTATCGACTCAAGCAGCTGCCCCCGCAAATCTACGTTGGTGGTCTTGATACAGAAAATGATATGGACGGCGAGTACACCCGCTATTGGCGTGATCGTACGCTTCAAGTGGTTTGGCATGTTCCTACAATGATGGACAGCACCACCCAAAGCCAATTACCGATATCTATTCAACTCCAACAACGCAAAAAACATATCGGAAACGATTATGTCAACATCTATTACGATGAGCTGGGAAAGTCGTTTGACTTTGACTTGATCAAATCACAATTCAACTTTATGGCGATTGTCATCACCCCGCATACATGGCGCACAGAGTATTCATCTGCAGTTGATGCATCCGAGGATGAAGAGTTTTTTCGTGTTAAAGTGTACCGACGCGAAGGCGTGCCTCTGTTGTTCGCTGCCCTGCATTTTAAAATGATCAGCTCGCTGCACCTACCTAAATTCGTCCGCATGTTGGCAATTATGGCCGATCATTTTGCCCATGTATGGCACAATCCCAACCACCCGTTCCAAATCTGGCTGCAAAGAGCACGAGCATTAAAAGACTTGCGAGACAAGGTGGTCACAACTTCGACAAAACCTGATGACACCACTGATTTTAGCATGTACGTAGAATCTACGTCGTAATTTAATTCATAATTTCATTAAAATATCGTTCTATAAATTCTATAATATGCTAAAGTGACCCAAAAGAATCATGCAATTAGTTAACGGGCTTCTTGTACTCGTCAACCAGCGACGAGCCATCGACAATCTCCACATCCACAACTTCCTCAGGCTCGTCATCTTCTTGAGGAATTAACAAGTTGAGCAACACCCCGATGAACCCGGTGGCGGCGAAACCAGTTTCCATAACCAAGATGATGGCGTTCAAGAACCCTTTGAGAGCGTTGTTGTCACCGTGGTAGGTGAAGACTTTCGAGAACCAGCCGGGAACGAGAGCAGACCCCATACCAGGCAACAACGAGGCTGTAAGGACAAACCGATCACGTCTGCTCAACCCTGAGGTACTGATAATTTTGATCCCCAGCACTGCTACCAGGGTAAACAAGAATGACGTCATACCACCGAATACTGGTGACGGGATAGAGGCGATGGCACCGGAGAACTTCGAAAAGATCCCCATGATGATCATCCAGAAACTTCCCCAGTAGCCCACCTTACGGTTGGCGCATTTGGTGATAGAGATCACCCCATTGTTTTGAGCAAGCACAGACATCGGGGTGATCGTCATCAAACCAGCAAGCAAGCCGTTCAAACCATCGGCGAGCAAACCACCCTGAATACGCTTTTCGTAGTCGGGACCTTCAACAGGTAATCTGGACACATCGCAAGTGGCAGTGATGTCACCAATTGCTTCCATCATGATCACAAGATACACTGCTAGGAAGGGTAAGATCACTGGGCCGTACACCTTGAGGGGGAATGTGTGCACCCACATGAACGTGGCAACACGAGCCGAGTTGACGTTGTCGGCAGAGAAGTAACCCACGGCGGCAGCCACAATACAACCAACCAACAACCCAATGATAACAGCGCAAGACTTCATGATTGGCGACCCCCAACGCTCAGCAATGATGATAGTGGCGTACACCAAGAACCCCAAACCGAGGAATTCAGCGGATCCCCAAGGTTTACTCAAGCTTTCCTTACCCATGGTGCATACGGCAGCATCGACACATGAAGAGCCACCCATCCAGTCTTGGAACCCAGACTGAATCAACAGTGTACCAATAAGAAGCACGACCGGACCGGTAACAATGGGAGGGAATACCTTCTTGAGCACCTTGGCCGGCACAGCAATGGCAAGGAAGATTTCAAGGAGGGCGCACACACACGACGATGCCAACATGTAACCATATCCTGTGGGGCAAGGGAGTTTGGTACCATCTTCAGCAGTAGGACAGATACCTTGCTCATACAATTGAGCGAACCCCTTAGTTACGGTAGTGATGGTACAGAAACTGGTACCGACTACTGAAAGGAGCCCCGTACCAATGTAAAGCTTGCGTCCTTTGGGCAAAGGAATAGTGATCCGAGCCATTTGCACGGAGGAAAGGATACCACTGACGATAAGAGATACCGACACTAAGTAGCTCATGAGTTCACCTTCCATGTTGGCCGCCAGAGCCATAATCATTGGCGGCGTCATCACCCCGGCAAGCATAGCCAAAGCGTGTTGGAACCCAAGCAACATACCTAACAAAATGGGCATTTCCGAGTCCAAACCGAAGAATGGGGTCGGATTCCGGGGAAGCTTCATGAATGGAATTTTGGGAACGAACAATTGAGCATAGTCGTAGTCACCAAGCCATACCTCTCTTGAGGTAGCTTTTTTGAAAAAACCTTTGAGAGGCATAGGGGACAATATGTCCGAGATCTACAATGTGCGGGAAATGTTCATTTTATATTTGCATCGCATCCCGATGAGTTTGTCACATTTTTCACTTGGCTCGCATATGCACGCGAAGCCAGCAACCGTTGGCCAGATTTTGAGATAGATTAGAGGTCAGCCACGCTGAAAAGAAACTTCACTCAAAACGGAAAAAACTCATATTTGAAGGTAGGAGCTGAAGCTTGACCATGTCTCACTAAACCCAGTACAGGACTATTGTGCATATTTGGAACTAGAATCATGTCATTGGACGGAATGCCGTTTAATTTATTGGCGCGCGAGACGCTGACTCGGATCCGAAGACTGCGAAGAGTCACTGATGCATTAACAATGATCTGGGGTTAAAGAGTCTTATCAGTGTTGAGTTCGTGATTGAACGGCTAAAGCAATACTTTTCGAAGCTGGATGTGGCTTTATTTACTCAATCAAATTTGGCATACTATCAATTCGAACTTATGACCAAACTGCGCTTTAGACATTGGAGAGTAATATTTCTAACAAGTTGCGAAAATTACAAGAAGCCGGAGGAATAATACTTTGATCAAAATTTCACACTTTTGTCACGATTAGATGGATACGCATCAGAATTAAGCTCAAAATTGTCATTTACAATAACATAACTTCAAGGGCCAAACCGATAATAATAAAAGAGGTTAAACGATTCAAGATCATGATGAATACAAGCGTCAAAAGTCTACATATCAACAAATTTGGGAGTCTAAAAAGCTCCATAGAGCTTGAAGTCACATGAAGCTTTGGCTCAAGTTCGACTCTATTGTTTAATGAGAAAGACAGAAAGGTACGAGTAATTATAAGCAAAAAGAAAGGTTTGCCTTCAGCCAGATTCGAACTGACGATCTCCTCATTACTAGTGAGGTGCCTTACCACTTGGCCATAAAGGCATTTTTGGTTAATTATCTTAAATGTAATATGGATCATGATGGACATGGCCCGATATCCCGAATTTAGATTTTTAGTCACGTCAGCATATGATTACGTGTTGAAAACAGAAAGGATATGTTCATTTGGCGTAGCAAAAGCCATTGAGCCAATTTATGAGTTGTTTTTCGCTTTAGAAGGGCAATATTTGGCTCAATCTTTCGTTCTTTTCAACCCGAATGAGTGCATCATTTGAACATATGATATCGCCTGAAATTATAGTGTACATCAATAGCGCACTTTAGAAAGGAAAAACGAGGCTCTTTTACGTATGGTTTGGGCAGCTGGCCGTGTGTTTGTCAAAAAACTGCTTACCTCACAAATCTCTACCTGAAATCCAAACCAATGCCGGCTTCTTCGCCGTCAACAATAAGCTCCTTACACACACAACAGATACCACAAAACGTAAGGTTGTTAATGGAGTACCACGTAAATTTTCGAAGAATTTAGAAAGGAAAGTACGTTTATACACCTTCAAGTGCTGACGATGGATCATGTTCGCCCCTCATCGCTGATATACGCTAAAGATTCATGTATGAAACACTCGGGGTTTCTCATCAAGCTTACAATGATATCGCCGACTCACATTACGAAGAATTAGAGAAACTGGCGCATAAGTAATACACTTTAGTCTTCTTTCAAAAAATCCAGTCCGAAATAACACTAGATTTTCTTATCAGATTGGATCACATAATTCCCGCTTGTCTCCAGATTAAAATAAGACACGATACGACAGATCTTGTACAATTTTAAGTCAGATTTCTTCAAGGATCTTCCAAAATTGATACAGTTCATATGTCCTCGAGACAGATCACACTCCCAAATGTTGTAACATTATCTATCAAGTAGCAGAGACACAATTCTTATGAAAGTTAACAATCGTTTAAACAGGGTTTCCACCATTACCAGTTCCTTTTTCTTAATCGTAAAAGTCATCATCATCAGACTCGTTCACCGGGCGTCTAGAAGCGAATCTAAGAGACTTGCCTCTCCCATTGTCTTCCTCACCCGAATCGTCCTGGTTCACCAAAAGACGTCGATCCTTAGGAGACACTATACTGGTGTCAACCAAGACCTTCTCAAGATCTTCTAAGGTGGTAGCATTGCCACCCAATTGGGTCAAGGTAATAAACTGCTTAACGATATTACCTTGGTGGTAAATGATTAATGTGGGACAGTTCTTTTCTGGATAGTTTTCGACCGCTGATCTAGCAGGAATGTCGCAGATTTTGATTTCGGGGTATTTGATCGCCAACTCAGACAATAATTGAGCTAACAATCTTGATTGTAATGCAGCCTGTGATGACATGTGAACTAAGACCCAGGTCCCATCGTCACCTTTCTTCAGAGCTTCAGTAACCTCGTCATTGAATTCAGGTTTGGTGATCGGGAAAACGTGACCAAACTTGGCTTTTTCAGACAATTCTCGAATCTCAGCCATTCGCTTTTGCTTGTATTGTTCCAAGAAGTCCTCATCTTCCTCATCTTCGAGAGCTTCGAGCTCAGCCAACTCCAAATCATCGAGACGGGTATCATGAGCTTTTTTGATAGCCTCATCCAAAGCCTCCTCAAGTTGGGCCAGTGGGGATGGCGGCTTCTCTGGAATTATACCATGGGATCGAAGAATATCGTTCCACTCAGTATCCTCGTTGGGATCGACCTCAACCTGGAATTTAGCGTTTTCCATCTTAAGAGGCTACTCAATTGCCGAGTGCAAAATGAAGTGCGCACCATCTTCACGATTTCGAAACAAAACCATTCAAACTTCAAAAAATTGTGTCAGCTGTATATGTTCTACCAAGACGAATGATAAAGATGTATCTTGATTCTCTTTTTTTAGATAGATATAAGGCATAAATTACTAGTCGTTAATTTGTGTGCACACTGTGCCCGCCGTGCACATTTCGCACTACATGAAAAATTTGACCTCGAAGCGGATACCATCACCATGGATAGTTTCTCGACGTTGCTTCGGGCGTCGAAGCTTGCCCAAGTGGCCACCCCTATATCGAAGCTGATCCGTGGTGGGAGTCAACAAATCCCAACTCATCAAGTCATTTACACCCCCAAGGCTGCGGCCGTGAGATCTGAGTTCGGTATCAAGACGACGCTCCCTAAACAGATCGGCTACTCCCACATATCCTTCAACAACATCGACAACAAGACTGGCATGCCCGATGTTGAAAAGAACACCTCCAAGATGTACCTGCGAGTGAGATTACAGGAAAACAATATCATCCCCAAAGTTGACAACAAGCTGGAAAATCCTCTTTTCCGTCGCCCCGAAAAGCAAAGCACCAAGAAAAACGAGTACGAATCGCTTCTTTTGGGTTTCAACTTGCACCCCCGTGCTTCGGTCTCTCAAGTTAAACAGATTTTGAAGGCTAATCCCAAGTTACACGGTCAATTCCAAAAATGGTTGGCCGAGCACCATCCTCAAGTCTACTTGACTAAGAACAATGCTGATATTGCACGGCTTGTTTCCCAATTTCTCCAGGAGAACCCCGACATTGTGAAGTCCAAGTTGGAACTTCAGCAATTGCGTAAGGACCAAAATGGTCGCACGTCGCTTTCTGCCAACGCCAAGCAAATTCAAGGCACTGCTGGTTTGAGTTACGCTCAACCGGGAAGATTGACCAACACTCCCAACGGTATCAAGTACCACACAGTTGTTCCCGGTAGATTGGTTGAAAACAACACCATTGCCATCGCTGGTTTTACCGGTGGTGTCCTCGAGCGGCAAGTGCAAAAGCCAGCTCTGTACGCTAGCAATGTTCCCGGTCACCACTCGCGTCAATTCACTATGCCTTTTAAGGTGACTCTGGCGTCGATGTGGGATAACGGTTCCGTGTCTCTCAACGTTGAGTACGTGAAGGTGGGTGATTGGGTTTCCTCGCACCTGGCTCGTAGCAATGGTCAAAAGCGATTTGAACCCCTGAACCCCATGTTCGACTCAGTTGCTGGCAGACACACTTCTAAGGAAGACCCTCTTGCCCGGTTGTTAAACGTTGTTAACAACTGATCTTGTACATACATAAGAATTACTCAGTAAACATCACTTATTTGAACTTACAAAACAACAAAAAGAATTCGAGACTTTAGCCACTGTCAGCCATTTAAAAAGTTCGTCAACATTTTAGTATTCAAAAGGTTTAAAGTTAGCATTCCAGCTAGTTTAACATACAAACATACACCATACTTTGTACGATCGTGGGCTCATTATTGAAGATACGCAAAAAAGAAGCTCCGGTACAGGGAATCGAACCCTGATTTGCTCGGTGAAAGCGAACCGTGATAGCCATTACACCATACCGGACTGGTGGTAATTGATGCAAAAGTCACGTGAAAGGACACCCGGTTTCAAACGAAATCAATGGTTCAACCAAATCGGCGTAATTTATAAATTAACAACCATATACAACTTCTCCGTCTAATTTATCAGTAAACCAACATGCCAAATGTATTCAATATTGCCTGTGTCATCAAATCGACGCGGTTGAAACAAGGGTCGTGCGGTACCAAATTGCAAGTAGGCAAACCCTAACTCGAACGCCTTCCTTTGAATTCGCGCGCGTTCCTACACACGGTCATACCACAAGTCCACGGAGCAAAAAACGAGCCTCATCCCAATAAAGATTTGACCATCATGGCGCCTACACGAAAATGTCAGTGTGGTTCCGAGTCTTTCGGGCGCGATCACTCTAATGCTACTGGTGATCTTGTCTGTTTGACCTGTGGTGTGGTGATGGACTCGAATTATATTGTCCTGGAAGTTCAGTTCGGTGAGCTGAGTTCGGGAGCTGCAATGGTCCAAGGGTCCATAGTTGGGTCTGATCAAGCTCGAGCTCCCATAGGGGGTCGCCAAAATGCAATGGAATCAAGAGAACAGACCAAGGCAAATGCTAAGCGGAAGATCAGAAAAATCGCCCTTGCTCTCAATATCCCGGGTTATATCTGTGATGCTGCAGTTCAGACCTTCAATTTGGCCCTCGCCCAGAACTTTGTTCAAGGTCGGAGGCTGCTGAATGTGATCGCTGCGTGTCTCTATTTCTCCTGTCGTATGGAGCGTACCCATCATATGCTCATTGATTTTTCGAGCGCTCTTCAAATCAGTGTATATTCACTTGGTGCAACCTTTCTCAAATTGGTCAAGCAACTTCGAAAGTCTCTTCCGTTGGCGGATCCCTCACTTTTCATTCAACATTTTGCGGAGAGGCTTAAATTCGGTAATAAAACGATCCAGGTTGTCAGGGATGCTGTGAAATTAGCTGATAGAATGTCCGGGGACTGGATCCAATACGGCCGACGCCCAGCGGGTATTGCTGGGGCTTGCTTAATGCTCGCTGCGAGAATGAACGGTTTTCGACGGACTTATGCTGAAGTAGTTGCCGTTTCCCATGTTGCAGAAGAAACTATACAAAAGAGACTCAATGAGTTCGGCGAAACAAATGCTGGGCTGCTTTCGATCAAACAGTTCCGAGAACTGCAGGACTCTGATTTTGCCGTTACCGCTGACCCACCTTCTTTCCAGAAGAATAGACAGAAGGAACGAGACTTGAAGAGAAGAGTTCAATGGCACGAGAAAACTTTAAGCAGAATCCAGAAATACATTGATACTCCTTACGAGGACGAAAAGCAGACTCCATCGAAGGCGGGACCTTCAGAGTTATTCGTGGCTGAGGCAGATGCCGAGGCAGACGCTGAGCCAGAAGCTGAGCCAGCGAGAAGACGGAGCTCTCGCTTAAGAAGTATCAGGGACAATGATAGTTCTACCAAAAACGATGCTAAGCAAAAGGCGAGTCATGTTGAGTCTGAGAACGTTGCGAATGAGGAGGTCGCTAAACAACCTGAAGACAGTGGGGAAGTTGAAAACGCCGAGAATAACGGTAGAGCTGCTCAAGAGCAAAACACTAATGAGCCCGATCAAGGTGTAATCAATGACGAAGCTGTACGTGCTGAGAATAATGATGACTCGGTTGAAGAAGTAGCACCAGAAATTACTGATATGATTTCAGAAGTTATGGAAGAGGAGGGCAAGCAACATACACTTGCAAAGAAAAGAGCATTGAAACACCAACGAGAAGAATTGGAGAAAGAAGATGTCTTGCGATCGATCTTCCAAAGTTGTCAATTACTGAAGGAAGATCTTAAAAAGGAACTTGCACGGATTGTGAAGCGAAAGACGGATGCCGATGTCAATGCTATTTACACTACTCCTGCTGAGGAAGAGCATTTAAAGGAGCTTGAGGAAAGAATTCAAACAAATTGGCCTCGTAATTTGTCCAAGTTGGAAACCTCTCTGGCTTTTTTGGAGCGTGTACCTGATGATCCAATTGGTAGTGATGATGACGATGACGAGATAGAGGGCGTGGTGTTGTCGCATGATGAATTTCTTGTCAAGCAAAACATCTGGATGGGTATCAACGCAGATTATGTTCAAGCTCAAGAGGCGAAACGTTTGAAGGCCGAGGCGGATGAACTCACCGGCAACACACTGGGCCAAAAGCGCAAGCGTAGAAAGAAGAAGGATAGCGATGATGCAGATGATGCCGAAATCAATAAATTCTTGAATTCAGAAGGGGGTCTACAAGGTGCTGCAGAACAGGCTGGAGCAATGCTTCAGAAGAAGTCTTTTTCGAAGAAGATCAACTACAATACCTTATCTAGTTTGTTTCAATAGTGCTTTATAGCAATACTATGAGCTTTACCCGGTTATTTTTTGTATCATTTGTTCTGATAGTTATTGCTACACTACAATGTGAGAATATCAAACTGCAACATTGTAGCACCAAGTCTCTCAACGAATCCAGTTTCAATACAGATAAACTCACTTTTCAAGCATTACGTAAACGCACTCAAGTGGCTCTTGCTACATTAGACACCGTTTGAAAACGTCTTGTTCTGTGAGGATACCAACTGAATTTTATAAGCGAACCTAAATTTGTGGGCCGCAACTATCAAGATTTTCAAGTAATGATCTTCTTGTTTGTCACACGTGTTTATGTTAGGCACCAACCATATCTTTTTTTGCTATTGAGGAATATATCGATTGATAATGCATTGGGTGGAGATTCAACATTTGGGCCGCAATCAATTGAGGCGTCAGTACACCAATTGAGCCTCTGAGTAGTTGTCCTTACCTCGTTTAATCTGAATCTTGCTCAATGTAACTCGAAGACTTGCAGAACACCTTTAAGGCTTCCAATTGGATGACCAATAATCCTCGTGCGGCGGTCTTTACCTCGGATACTTGCAGCCTCAACCCAACTGGAACTCTTACTAACACAAACGCAGCCAACAAAACTTATTACCATGTGCAGACTTCAATATGATATCAAGCATGGTTTAATAAACGTTGGTCGCGATATCGTAAGTATTTAACTTTGTATGACTCTCGTTAAACCATATCCATCAGATGAGCCAACTAGTGTTCAGCAATACAATATGTGTTTCATCCGCGCTAGCTGTTTCATATGTCTATTTTACTGTGGTTCACTTGAACGGAAGTTCGCTCTACTCAAAATGGCAACACCAATACCAAAAATCGAACGCATGGTTTCAAAAACATTGCAAGTCGACTTTCTACTTGTATGCAGGTGCATGGCGAGCGATGCAAGAAAACGACAACATGTGCTCTGAGAGTAGCTAGCTTGTAGCTGTTATTACCATTGTAATCTGTGAGCGTGTCTATTTGGTTTGATCAGTTATTATGGATATAACACGCTTACTGACACAACTGTCATGCTTGCAAAAGTTCGTCCTGCATTCCAACTCCGAGACTGCATATAATATGCACGCTTCCAACCAGGCTTTTCGTAACGTATATTACACTTCACGAAGCGTTAAGTACAATTATCGTAACCTATAAGGTACGTTGCAATAGCCATCAATGGCTTTTAGAATTTCTTTCCGAAAAACTAAAAATAATTTCAAGAAAAATCAGAAAAATCGGTACAGACTTGCTTTTTGTTCTACAATTTTTATTGACACTTGAAGTACAGCTGGTGCATTTCTGGTTGAGTTCACGTTGAATATGAAGCAGTTGGAGCGATTAAGCTCTATTAATGTTAGCTGCAGGAGTAGATGTTAGCTGCAGGAGTAGATGTTATCTGCAGTACACATGAAAATCAACCTACTTTAAGTTGGACATCGACAATGAGTCATCTACCATCGTAACTATAATACGGCTTACTGCGGGCTTTACAAATATCAACGAGTATAATGGGACACTGAAGTAAATATCAAGCTTCGAAGTGCGGTCCTGAATAAATTCTGCATATAGGATGTCAGCCTCAAGTCAAGATACCGTCATTTTTGGGACAAACCAGGTGAGTTCTAATGTCTTTTCTTTGATCCCACAATTCAAAATATACTTGATAACACNTCGTTGAATTACGTGACAGGTCAAACCACAAGTACAACCACTGAAGTGGAATCAAGGGGAGTGTTGAACAGTGAATCCTACTACAGTGTCTGTTGTGTTTACTCTGTTGAACAATGAAGCCTATTTCAGTATATGTTTACTTATTCAAGACAATGGGACATTGTAGAATGTCTCTGAATAAGTGAAATACAGGTACGCACGACAAACGCGCTACACTGAAATAGGAGCCATTGTTAACATTATCATAAATAGGACTAGTTAGCCTACTAATAAAACAACTTGATCAAAGTCTGTTCTACATATGAATATTCCACTTGTGTTTACACCACAAGAGCGTGGAGCTCTTGTGGATCGAGTTCAACAACACTAAAAAAAATTCTATAAAATCAGGAAAAAACGATAAAATAAATCTGACTATTTCATAAATTTCTTTGGCCCCAAAAGTATAAGTGAGGCGTTTTTGGGCAAGTTCCTGTACGATATGAAGTGGTTTGGGCAGTGGTAAGATTTTCAGTGTTCAAAAGGCAATAAATCGGTCGTTTTGCTTCTTAAGTGATACGAGCACTATGTATAATGCTGATGGCCGTCTGGGTAAGATCTTGTAACATCTGGAGCTGTTTAAACATCCATTTGTATTACCTGCAAGATGTGTTGTTGTACGCAGTACACAAGAAACCCATATTGATATCAACCACAGATAGCTGGTAAGTTCGAAGTTCATCACCGTTTTGAAGGTAACGCGCCTAAGTGTTGGCTACATAAGTCTAATAATGTTCTATGGGATCTTGAGCCAGTTGTGAAGACTTCAGGTAAGTTTGCAAGTACATTCTGCATGTAGTGTGAGAATCGACAGGTGAAGCTGGGAACGTTCATGAGACGAGTTGAATGATGCTGATGCCTTGTCATCATTCACACAAGTCTAATATGTCTTCAATAGTACTCGGACTCTTCAAATTGAGATGAAAAATAATTCAAATAAAAACTTCTTGTTTTTTTTTTTTGAAATAATTAGCCGACGTTTTTGACGAGATGCGCGGTGCATTATATGCAGGATGCAAATAAGTTGAATGAACAACTTGAAAACTTTTATAAAAGTGTTTGTAAGAAGTGGAGTTGTTGTTACTACAATCATAAGGATTTGATTCTTCAGGACTGACGAGCCTCATGTTGCCTGGCAACTACAAACGAAGCGATTTCTACGGTCTGGTGCAGAGCATTGCATGCAGGTCGTCTAGCGAGACTCATCATTAATTGATTGAGCTGTCACAAGCTAAGCACCACACTCCATCCTTTGCTCAATAACCGCTGGTGTAATGCATAAGCTGTTTGAGTGATCACATGTAATTGGTGTGCTGGTCCTTGTGAGGGGTCACTCGCATAGAAGGCGAGTTGAACGATAGGGACAACGTGTGCTTTCGTCCATGACTTTAACTAGCTCCCCCCCTTTAAGACGCTTGGTTATAGCCGATAGCATTGTATTGATAAGACTACAATGACTGACCCAGTTACTGACAAGAAGCGTCCAACTGGGGCAGGCTCGGGACCTGACACCCTAAAGATTTTAATTTGCTCTTTCCTGACTGCCCATCAACTTGACTTTCGGAGCATTATTTCAAAATATGAAAATACACGCACGGAGTTGAGAGTTAACACGCGGGCGAAAAGCTACGAAATGGGTAACTCTGAAATCAAATCTAATTGGTCTTGTCAACAACGTTGGCTTTAGTTGGTGGCCACCAATAAGTGCACCAGACACATATACAAAACTTACGTACATGAGAGTGAAAGTGCAACAAAACTATTTTCACTAACTGATCTTGACACTCCTGCTAGAACCCTCCAGCAGCAACCTCAATACCGTTGTTACCCTCGGCCCTGATATAACATGGTAGCGCCGCACAACCAGCCAGAGAGCCTCATCTGCAGAGCTTAAATCATCTCGTTTAGGCATGAATCTCGACTTGGTGCCGCAAATACCAATATTCTGAGTACCAGTTTTGCTTGCACTAAGCTGATTAACCATTTAGCACAAGCCGTGAAAAGGGCTGAGGTTTGAGCATCTCCTATCAAGAAGGTCTACATTTTTGGCTTCAATTTTTTTAATTATTGGCGACTATATAATTATGTTGGTTGCTGACCTATACAAGTGCCTATAAAAATACTACAATCCATCCCCCTTACCAGTCCAAACATGGCCATAGACTGTTGATGGAGTGCCATCGGTTCTCGCGCGAGGTCCAAACATACGCCAGCATACGCTTGCCGGCCGACCAGGGCTAAGCTGTCGTTGCGGATACAATCAGACGGGGTGTCTTGCCTGCCGCGCATAGGGGATGTGTAAACCAGTGCACTATCTCCCCCGCCTACGGGATGGTCATGGAGTGTTACAGGTTGCAGCGTGACAGAACACGAGTCAAGTCCAGCGAACAGTCGGCTCAGCCGCCAATCCTTCGAAGTTATTGGTGGCTGGAGGCAACCAACTAAGCTAAAATTACAATACATCTACAAGTCATAGCGTCGGTGGCCGCTCTTACCTCATAAAGGCAGGCTGGTAGCGTCAATAAAAGCGTCAGAGTTGCACTCCAAATGCAACACTACAAAGTACGTGAATAGTTTTGTTTTGTCATCTTCCCTGCGGGAAAACCTAACTTTTATTTTTACGTACATCTATGTAGTTTATTATGCCCACCAAATGCCGGATAGAATAGAGGGGATCTCCTCCGATCGAGTCCTTGAGCTCAGAGCTAACTTGACATTCGTGCCATAGCATGGCTATATCCGACCGGAAGAAGTTACTTCAAAGGGGTGTTTTTCCAACACGTCACCTTGAAGGGGCGGATACCATGGGTGTAAGCCACTACCACGCAAGCGATGACATATCTGGCTCGGAAAAAGTCCACGTGGTTTGGATTGTCGATCGGCAAGTCGGTGTTCACTGGGCACCACTGGGAGTGAGGTACGGCCGTCAGAATTTGACCAAACCGTCATCCAAATGGACCGTCTTTAGATCTCCTTCCGCGTATGCGTAATGTAATCTCCAAGTGGGAGGAGGCCACGATATGGTGGCCATCCACCACTGAGTCCTCACCATCCTCCTACAAATTTCGTTTTACAGGCGGACAAAACACGGCAACCTTGGCGCCATGCTGCCTTGCGGTTAGAGTCCTCACGAGCTGCCCAGATTCTCCGACAGCATACTCGGGGCTTTACTATAGTTTGGCTTGCTCGTATTTACTGTGGTCCTCGGTAAGGGTGGTATGAGGAGGGGTCTCAGCCCGGTAGCGTCAGCAACAACAATTCTACTCGGTGTCAACGGGTTTGCTTCCCGGTGTGGGAGGGACCAACGCAGGTGCTCTAACCTATATGGGCAGGTGAGCAGTGATCAGGCAGCGTCATTGTATTGTAATAAGTCAATGAAACTTGTCAACTACAGCAAACGACAGTCAGCTTGGGGTAGTGCGTTTGCAGGTTGTCTCAGTTGGTGGCCAGAGTGGATCTCAGCTTATGAGAGAGGCCGCCGGTTAGAAGGTGGAGACGACCACTGGGTGCCACTGCGTGCCACTGGGTGAAACAAGATATACACCTACACTGTGCCGCATTGTTGACCGGACATCCAAGTTGAAATATGCGACTTACCGTACGAATAACATACGCTGGCGGGAATGAAGCCTGCCGGCGCAGTAAACGCAGTGCGCAGCTACAAGGAAGAGTGTTTAGTTATAGCAGCAACGTCATGCGAGTGTTGTAAGTGGTTGTTTATGTACTATACAGTATGTGTAGAGCTAGCAGTCTCCTGGGTTGCGAGTGGGTGTTTAAGCACAATGTAGTAGTCGTATACATTGTGTAAGAGGCTGCTGGTCCAGCATCAAGCACGAGCTCCTGGGGGCAAAGGACCTCCCGCACCACCGGTCAACCGCGGTCAGTGCCACAGCTACCCGATGGCTTCTGGCAACGTATGTTGCTACCAGAGGCGAGAGTCCCATTGCACATACGCGTTAGGGGTTAAACAATAGCAACTGAGCTGACTGGGGTACTTCGGTTATACAAACGCAATAAATACACCTAGTAACAACAACCACTGCAAAGTTTTCCTGCCACCTGTCGGGAAGTCAGCTAGAAGAGGTGAAAAAAAGAACTGCCACCACCCCCACTTGGTGGGCCCGTAGCGGCAGAGAGCGAGGCACCGAGGCTGAGTATATTGGCCGCCGACACACCCGCTCAGTATCCTTCCAAACCACCAAAGTCTTCGAAGCTTATTGGTGGCAGGATGGTGCAAGGACACGCTTGTACAAAGCCCTCCCGACGTCTTCGAAGCTTGTCGGGAGAACTAAGTGGTGCACTGAGAGTTAGGAACTGACTGCAGCGTGACAATCGCTTGAACACGCAACAACCCTAGTACAGCAACAAAACCATGGGTGTTGCCACCCTCGACCTTTCCTGTTAGTAAGTGATACTAAGTAAGATAACAACGGCACAGCTTCGTCAAGCTGGGCGCTATTCATGAGGACTTACCTGTTGATAGTTGTGGGTGTACGACAACCGTCGAGGAACACGCTCGACCTTTCCTGTTAGTAAGTGATACTAAGTAAGATAACAACGGCACAGCTTCGTCAAGCTGGGCGCTATTCATGAGGACTTACCTGTTGATAGTTGTGGGTGTACGACAACCGTCGAGGAACACGCTCGACCTTTCCTGTTAGTAAGTGATACTAAGTAAGATAACAACGGCACAGCTTCGTCAAGCTGGGCGCTATTCATGAGGACTTACCTGTTGATAGTTGTGGGTGTACGACAACCGTCGAGGAACACGCTCGACCTTTCCTGTTAGTAAGTGATACTAAGTAAGATAACAACGGCACAGCTTCGTCAAGCTGGGCGCTATTCATGAGGACTTACCTGTTGATAGTTGTGGGTGTACGACAACCGTCGAGGAACACGCTCGACCTTTCCTGTTAGTAAGTGATACTAAGTAAGATAACAACGGCACAGCTTCGTCAAGCTGGGCGCTATTCATGAGGACTTACCTGTTGATAGTTGTGGGTGTACGACAACCGTCGAGGAACACGCTCGACCTTTCCTGTTAGTAAGTGATACTAAGTAAGATAACAACGGCACAGCTTCGTCAAGCTGGGCGCTATTCATGAGGACTTACCTGTTGATAGTTGTGGGTGTACGACAACCGTCGTGGAACACCCTAGCGGAGAGCGTCAGCAATACTGACAGAAGGTATCTGCTCTCCCGCTAGGGTAAGGTGTCCTGTCTGTTCCGTGCCGTCGGAGACGCGAAGGAGGCCTCCCAAAGGAAAGCCATTTCCAGCGCGGCAGTGACCGTACCCCTTGTTACACACCAGGCGGATGGTATCCCGAAGGACCAACCCCTGGGGCGTATGACATCGCGGTAAAGAAACAGCCAAAACACCATACTCTATCACAAGGTGGGGCCATCGACGAATACACCATTTTGAGGCCGATCCCACGAAATGTGGACCCAAAGGTTTCACCACGACGTTTCGAGCACATCAATGGCGCAGAGCAGAGGGTCCACACAGTGGTCTTCGGTTCAAGAAGGCGTAGCCCACTGCCCGATGCCACTGCCATCCTGTGCCGACTCAACGCCTGCGCAACCCCTGTAGGTATCACCCGCCACTCGAGTATCGCAAAGCGCAGAGCTACGGGGGATAACAGGTGATTGTCGGTTCAAGATGGAGTAGTTTCAGGTAGTGGGGTCGAGCGGCCCTGAAGAAGCATCAGGGCAAATCCTTAGTGTTGTCAAAACCACCGATCAGTGTGAAGTACCGTGTTTCACGGATGCTAGTTCAGAACAAGCCCGATTTTCGCTTCCACAGGGTCTTCTCCATCAATCAGTTTGCTGGTTCCAACAGATTTGACGCTCCATAGCTTCTCACCTGTGGCATGTGACACTACGCTTGGTTTCCCAGTCGCGACTTTCGTCTCTTCACATGTAATACCGCTGAGACTATTTCACGGGCTACCGAATTGCGGAATATTCAGTTTGTTTTCATGAGGCCGCGTGCATTTGTGTTTACATTTCTCCCCGTAAAATGTACGCAAGATCCGATTAAATCCAAAAACGCCGATCAGATCTACCTCTTTCACCCACACGACCTTTTGGGGCTTGCACGCCACATAAACACACGACCTCTGTGGCGCCATTGTGGTTTACACGCTCGTTGTGGCCCTTGTGAAATGGCAATCGCAAAGAGTACACCGCGCTACTACCACGAGCGGAGTCTCTGTGCAACAGTGGCGCTACGGTCAACTGGACGTCCACTTTCCAACGAGCTTCGAACACGTGAGATTGTATTTTTACTTTGTGAGTTGTGACGGTTCTGGGGTCCAGTCTCTTCTACGTGGTGGCTAGACCTCCACCCCGAAGATGATTATAATAGATGATCATCCTGATGGCTCTCTATCCCTGATTGCTACGTCCCATCAATTCTCCCTACCCAGGATTGAACGCCCCACGTCTCATTTCCCCGCCCCTTTGTTTGATTCCTCCCTATCGCGCTATTTCGTTCGCGTCGGTCTCGTCAAGCGCGTTTTTTCGATCGCGTTCCATCGTCTAATTTTTTCTTTTTCCCTCGTCAAAACCTTTTTTTTTTCCCAATCTAATTATAGAAGCTTACTGATTGTTTATCACGCCCACTGGCCATCCCCAGCGGTGGCTGTGGCCAAAGAAGACATACTGAGACTCACTCTAGAAACACTGTTCTTAACGGGGTTGGTGAATGCAGGACATATTGGTTACGACAGAAATATCTCCTCCAACACCAATTTCACTTGCACGATTTGCAAATATACTATCCCTACGTGCTCGAAAGTGTAATGGGAGGGGGTCGCATTTATACGGAAGACTCATGCGTATGATTACCTGAGGGAGGATTTAGTTCCACGCTTCAAGCATACGACTTCCACCCAAAAAGCTCATAAACCACACCACCCAATGAGATTTACGCACCGTCCACACTTCTTCCGGATTCTTTCTCAACGCTTCTACTAGAACGCTTCCACACAAAGCGCAAATAGTAACAACGGTTTCTGAAGTGTTGAGTTTCAGTCGATCATTGAAACAAGTTCATCTAAAAGCTCATCTCCATGGCAACTGACATTGAACCAGTCATCATATAACATCCGCTACCTCAACTGCGACCACTTGAACACTATTTCAATGACGAATACTTAATATAAGCTGCTAAGTAGTACCAAACGGCCGTAGTGGGATTGTCAGTCAGTTATGTGAAGTCGTACGATTATCATTGATGTAATAGTTCATTCCACGACCTTGAGCCTCGCGGTATCGGTGATTAATGAAGTGTTGGCAATTAAGGGCAATCATGGTAAGCAAGTCACTCAAGCTCTCTTTAATGCTGGAGTTGAAAGCTAACATCATGAACTGATGTTGTTTAAGGAGTCATAGTTGCACTCCAATAAATGACGGTTAATCGTAATTGGTGGATCTTATAGTTCTTTGAAACCACCGTCGCATGTTTATCCTCCAGCTACGTACATTTTAAAAAGTTTTATTTCATAAATAATCTAATGCAAATTATATTGGCCAATCAATACTTCAATGTAATCGCTTTCGATCCTTCATCGGTGGTCAACAAAAACCGGTAAGACTTTGACACAAATGAGAGCGGGCGAATGTTAGCATTTTCAAAGGCTCCGGCCACTAATTGCCGTACCGCCTGACATTCTTCATCAACCAACGAACGAAAGTTGTCAATGTATTCGGCGGTCACTTGCTCAAACTCTAGCATATCTGTGGGGTCAAGATTCTCATGGCTCTCGACAATTTCACGGTACCATTTCAAGAGCTTGCCCATGTTGGCTTTGTACTTTACCATCTCCGCAATCTTGTCGAGTGAAACTACATCGCAAATTAAATTTTTGATCGCTGGTGGCTCAGCTCCTACAGTAAGACCAGGGCTTGTGCAGGTTTTGGTGGTACTCAAGCCGGAAAGTTTTCCAACAAGATTGGTAACGTATTCGTTCAACTTGACAGTTAATCTCAAAAACTTGTTGTAGCTCTCAGACATGAGATCTTCCAGCTCAAAAAGGAACTTCAAGACACACTCACGATCATAATCAGTGGGGAGGGTTTGCAAAAACTCGTCTACCGAAAGCAAAATGGTAGGCTCTTTCATGTTCTCATCATCAGGTTCGGAACTTTTCTCAACCGATGTTTTTTGATGAAATTTAAGATCAAAAAACGGGATCAGGTCAGCCTTTGGAGGGGAGTCACCAGTTAGATCAATCACTACGGGAGATTTTTCGTGAACCTCAACATTCGGCTGGGAGCTGTCGCTAATATAGATTATCAGGTGAGATTCACTAAAAGCTTCAACGTCCAGGCGATCGTCATTGGCAGCCCTTGTCTGGAGATGTAAAACTTCGTCAATAAGTTCGTTGGCAGATTTGACAATCAGTTGAACCAGAGCGCCAGCTAGTTGGGGATTGGCTAGCTTATCAACAGCAGTAGGGTCGGCTTCCATGACAGAGTCATCAATGGAGGAAGCGCATACGTGAGGGTCGATGGTGGGATCAGTATATTGAACAGGTTCAGGGGTCTCTTGGAAGTGTTTAAATGAGTCTGCCATGATTCAGTCAGTCAAACAACGCCAGCTTTATACTTAAAGTTTTTATTCTGCAATACCCTGCTATGAGAATTGCCGATGCACACAGAATATGCTGGTAGCTTAACACTGGAAACAATCGACATTACTTGAACATGGCCAAATAGACCCGAACTTAAGTAGCCAATTTTTTTTTTTTTTTTTTTTTTTATCTATAAGGGCTGAATATCTGGGTAGTATGAATAGAACTCGACTGATAGATTAATGGTCAACAACCTAAACCACGAGTATTATTTTGTATAGCCGTAGTTCAAAATTGGCTTAAACAGATAGCTTGCGGCCCAAACCACGAGCACCCGTAATTACTCATCACCAGCTACCATTGAGTGTTTCCTGACTTCCCGTTACAGAAGGCGCAAATGGTTTAGTGGTAAAATCCAACGTTGCCATCGTTGGGCCCCCGGTTCGATTCCGGGTTTGCGCATCTTTTTCTGATTGTGTCTTGTCTTTGTGTGAACTGCAATTCACAACATAGCTTTTTACATTTGAGACTTCTTTAGAAGTACGTTTGGGTACATCGATCTATGATTGTTGCGAAAGCACAAAAAGTATTGCGAAAGCCTCATGTATGTTACCCACATCAGCTCACCACCGTCTATACCGTACGCTAAGCCTGGTTATGTATTAGAATCCGTTAAGGATGCCGATGGGTAAATATCTGTCATTAGTCGTCAGCTCTACTCGCTGATGTTGCGCAACAACTGGGCCAAGCACCGCGAAGTGGCGACGTCGTCCTGCAACACCAGCAGAAAGGTGCCGTCGCGCAACGGCTCGGGCAAGATGGTGGCCAACGCCTTGCGCGCCTCCAAGTTGTCCAGCAAGCGCATGTAGCACCGCACCACGTGCTTCAACAACCGGGCCAGCGAGTTGTTGTTGGCCTGGGCCGGTGCTGGGCCCGGCGCCGCCAGGGGCGGAGGCTGTTTTTGCTGCTGCGCCGCCGCTAACTGATCGATCATCTTCAGAAGCACCTGGGCCACAGTGTGAAACCGCTCGTAGGTGTGGCAGATGTAGGTGAGCCCCTGGTCGTCCAATAAAATCTTTTGAAGGATGAAAATCGCCACCGTCTTCGAAAGCTCCAGCGAGATCTCCATGATGTTAAGACACAACGGCACGATCTCGGTGGTGAGCAAGAAATTGACCACTTCGGGAGTATCGTTTTTCACCAAGGCGCCGATGACCCCGAGCGACGTGAGTCTGAGGTACTCAAACAGCCGCTGGCGGGCGTTGGTCGACAAAAACGGGTACAAGTACAACGGCAAATTGGCAGCAAGAAACTTGGTACGCGTGTGAGGGTTCAGTGCCACGCACTGGAGTAACGCCAACGCGTTGCACACCCGGTTGCTGACACTGGCAGTAAGCACCGGCGGGTTAAGGTAGGGGTACACCGAGATGATCTCCTCCAAAAGCACCAGCATCACCCCAAACGAGTTCCAGAGCACTAAAGCAAGGTCGTCGTACTGCTCACGTTTCTTCCCGAGCTCCAAAAGCGCCCGCTCCCGCAGCTGGGTGCCGTTGACGAGCTCGCTGATCCACTGGTAGATCAGGTCGTCGGAGAGCGATTTTGGCGGTGTCGGCTGGTGTGAGTCGGTGGGCAGCGCCGCCGCCGTAGCGGTGGCAGCGGCAGCACTGGCATTGGCAACGTTGTTGGCCACAGACGGCTGAACCGATGCCATGGGGTTCGAGGATGAGTGGCAGCGTTTTTCACCGGTCGCGACGGTACCTGAGGTCGTGGCTGCACCGATGAATTTCATAGCGACCCCCTACCACTCGCACTCAATGAAAAACGGTGCTGCAAAATGATCCCGAGCAACGAATGACAATGGCAATAAACCGTAGTGATAAACGATCAAGATACCCTTTGACGCCTTAGAATTGATTGACACCATCATCTCATTCACCACACTTGTCAATCCCTAGTACTCTCTTGCCACCGGCTTAGCACAGCCCCGGGGGTGTCTGTCTTGTGATAAATTCCCTGGTTGGAGAGTAAGCGGAGTCCCCTTGCGTGGCGGAGGCGCGCCAGCAACGTTAACGCCAACCCGCCACTGGCACAGAAAAACTACCTCAAGCAACACCCGCCCAGCGTATGTATCTTTGAAAGGGGGACAATGGTATCCTCAATCAATCAATCCCAATGCCTACTAACGTCTAGATGTCGCTCCAAATGTCCATTGTGTTTGCCACGCTTCTCACGCAGATGGCGTTCCTCCTCTTGCTCGTCACCCCCCTCCCCTTTGCCATCCGGACCAAGATCGTCGACTTCACGTTCTTCCTCCAGAAGAACAAGCACTACCGAACGTTCGTGGCGTTTTTCGTGGTTCTCATGAGTCTCCAGGTCGCCGACTGTGTCCAGAAGTTGCAACGGTTCCAGAAGACCAACAACCCGTACTTCGCCCAGGATGCCAACAAGCCGTTGCTGTACGACCAATTGGCGCTGAAGTTCTACGCCCAGCGCAACTTGTACATCTCCGGCGCCGTGTTGTACTTGACCATCGCCATCTACACCGTCGTCACCATCGTCCGCAAGTTGGTGGTGAAGGAAAAGGCTATCCGCATGGTCGAGCTGGGGGAAATTGAGTCGCCCACTGCTGCCGATGACTCGGCGAAGTTGATGGCGCAAATCGAAAAGAGAAACAAGGAGATCGAGGCGTTGCTGGCGCAAGTCAACAACTTGCAACGTGAGTACGACGGGTTGTCGACCTCGCAACCGGTGGCCAAGGACGACTAGGTCAATTATATAGTGAAATACATGCCTTTGTGTTGAAAATGTTGGTGTTAAAGTTTATTCGTTGAGGAAATCAGATTGCAACAGGTCCCCACGTTCGAAAAAGTGTCAATGCAATTTTTTTTTTAAAAAATTACATTATCGACTATCTGTAAAGTGTGAAAAGTATCGTATAATCTACTCCTGGGTCGTAAAAAAGGCATCACTCAATCAGAAAATCACCATGCAGCAAAAGTCAAAATTAGATCTACCCATAACTTTGGAATAGTGTGCTCCGAATAAAACCAAAACAATATTATATTGTTCTTTACCTTGTTGGTAACATAACACATTATCAAAATTATATAAATCAATTAAATATGCCTTTACGCATTGTTCAGTTGTACCCAGTAACATACCAAGAAGCCAGAGTAAAATTTCGCAGTTCTGTCAGTTTGTCCGAGTGGTTAAGGAGTTTGACTCGAATTCCTTCGAGGCATCAAATGCTCTCTGAGCGCACAGGTTCGAGTCCTGTAGCTGACGCATTCTTTTTGCACTTTTAATCTCTTTTCGCCCAATTCTTCAAATTCTCGTTATAGGGCATTCACGTCAAATTCTCGTTATAGAGCTTTCACAATGATCTTCCACGTTAGCGTGATTAATAGTTGACGTCAAAATATGTGTTATCAACAAATGAATGCCATAGCTGGCGTTTACACAATTTCCCTTTCGCATAACTATATCGGCTAGACGTTAAAATCACAAATGCTTTTCACTACTTACTTATCGTTACTATTGTCGTTACAAATTTCACTCAACATCAAGCTATCGACTAAAACTTGATAAGAATCACTTTTTGTACGCCGTCATCGTTGAACTCAACCTGGATGCCGTGGCGCAATTCCGTGATCGCCGTGATGTTGGAGCCGACGAATGACCCTACCACAAGTCCGTCCAACTTCCGGTAGTATTCCGCTTCGGTGGCATCAAGGCGCAGCTCATAGTCGGCAGAAGCTTGGTTAAACTTTACTCTGTCCTCTTCGTCGAGGGAGATAAAATTGTGGAAGAGGATTTTGTTCTTGTAGATGAACTTGTGTCTCGCGGCCTTCAACATCTCCCGATTCTCCAAGCTACGGAGGAGCTTACCTTCAGTGGTAGGTTCCTTGGCAAGGATGGACTCGAGCTCAGCAACAATGGCTTCCGATTCTTGCATCCATTCGTGGTGGTACTTTACCGCCCGTTCGTCAATTTTCTCCAACTTCTCCACGGTGACCGTAGGATCCTTTTCTACTAACGACGAGCAGTACTCCACTGAGTTCTTATGGATCTCGTTCATCGCCTTAGCATCTTCCATCGACAACTTGTCGTAATTGGTAAAGAAATCGTTCAAAATATGGCGGTCATTGTCGGTAGGGAGAGCCACAAGCGCTTCGGCCAACGATTCCTTGAACGTGGGCGAGTCGACCAAGGGCTTACGGATAATAGGGCCTGGGGGACGGAACAGAGATGTCGCCATGGTGTTGGTGATGAGGCAAAATTGTTAGCCCATATATATACTACGTGTATGACGCTATCCCCACATTTCCCCGCGCTTGGTTTACTGCTCAAACTTCCCCATACTTGAACTTACGACCAGCTTGCAGAGACAGCGGTTATCCAAACCAAGAGCGAGAGGCATGACCATCAGGAGGCTCCAACAGAAGCCGAGTCGAAATAACTTGGTATTGACAAGAGTAAAAGCTAAAATGGTGCCGCTTAGATGGCCTCGAAGCCAATTGTCGCCTATATACTACTATCCTGGTCTCAATAATGCTAATCTGAACTAAGTATCACGTCATAGTTGGTTGCAAACGTCTTGCTGCTGTGACCGGTGTCGGCTCGATTCCTTTCAAAACCCTAAATCAAAATTTAAATTTTCCGTTATCTGACTCACGGGAGCGAGATTCCGCTAGCCGCTATCAGCGCGACAGTTTGTCAGCAGATATCATCAACCCAAGTCTTGCAAAGGAAAAACAGACAAAATATAAGTTTTTCCACTAGCCATTCTAACCAATCTAATTTATTAGTAGTCGTTTATCATCTTTCACCTCCGTTTATGCTATAAATCATGATTTATCTATCCACGTGACATCCCCTAAGGCCGCTACCCCCCCGCGTTATCTACGATGGTGCGGCTCCGTCGGAGCGCTCTCCTGGATCTGAAGTTGCCATGGACGTGGAGCACAAGCTAGCGCTCCCCCAGGTGACGGTCCGAGCCACCCTCGTCGGCCTTGCCATCGGCCTGTTGGTGCTCGTGCTGAATTTCCAATTCGGCCTCCAGACAGGGTGGGTGCTGATGATGCTGCTCCCCTCAGCGCTATTAGGCTACGCCGTGTTCCACGCGTGCCCGCTACGACACAAGTTTACCGATGTCGAGAATGTCTTCGTCCAAAGTGTGGCTGTGGCCGCAGGTACGGGACCATTGGCGTTCGGTTTAGTGGGGATCGTACCGGCAATTGAGAAATTCCTTGCCGGCGACGAGACCGGCTACGGCCACCCGATGACGTTTTCCTTAGCGCAATTGATGGTGTGGCTGCTTGGTCTTGGCTTCTTCGGCGTGTTCTTCGCCGTTCCCTTGCGCAAACAGGTGATTGTCCGAGAGAAGCTTCCGTTCCCGCTGGGGCTGGCCACAGCGACGTTGGTGCTGGTATTACACCAAACTGCCACCGTAGACGGAGAAGCACCGTCACAACTGAACCAAGAATACCGCGAAGATATCACTAATATGGTGTCGACGTTCGTGGTGTCGCTGGCAGTGACGTTGGCGCTGTACTTCTGGCCCATCCTCAGAGCGATCCCTATATTTGGCAGTTACATATCGAAACACTATTTGTGGAACTTCCAACTATCAGCGGCTTATATTGGTCAAGGGATGATTATGGGGCTTCAAACTACCTCCTATATGTTGTTTGGGTGTATACTAGGATGGGCGGTACTCGGTCCTTTGGCCCACTACCAAGGGTGGGCTCCCGGTCCCACTGACGATTGGAAACACGGTGCTCAGGGCTGGATTCTCTGGGTGCTGTTGGCGGCGATGGTGGCCGATCTGGTGGTGTCGCTTATTATTATCAGTGGTAAACTGATACAAAACTTACGGCAACGTTCAAGTACTCAAGAAACTGAGCCGCTATTAGCGTTAGCTGAGGTGGACGATGTTCCAAAACGGTACCTTATCAGCCCCAAGTTCACGGCGTGGGGGATAGTGGCGTCATCACTTCTCTGTGTTATACTGGTGAAATGGGTCTACGGTTCCGTAATGCCAGTATATGCTATATTCGTGGCGTTAGCGCTTACATTCGTGTTTGCCATCCTTGGGGTAAGAGCGTTGGGTGAAACCGATTTGAACCCCGTCAGTGGTATCGGTAAACTCAGTCAGCTTGTGTTTGCCGTCGTGGTACCTCCCTCACACCCGGCCCGGCTTCTAATCAATTTAGTGGCTGGTGGTATTGCTGAAGCCGGGGCTCAACAAGCCGGCGACTTAATGCAAGACCTTAAGACGGGTCTGCTTCTTGGTGCCTCCCCTAAGGCTCAATTTGTGGCTCAGTGTATCGGTACCTTATACCTGGTGCTCTTGAGTTCAGTGATGTACAAAGTGTACAACCACGTCTACACCATTCCCAGTGACAGCTTCCGCATTCCTACAGCTGTGATTTGGGTTGATTGTCTGCGGTTAGTCACGGGCGAGGGACTTCCACCAAAAGCCTGGGAGGCCTCGGTGATTACTTTCGTGGTGTTTGCAGCCATTGCCGTGGCCAAAAACCTTGGAACATCACCTAAACTTCGCTACTTACCCAGTGGGGTCGCCGTGGGTATCGGTATCTATAATACCCCCAACTTCACCCTTGCCCGCTTTTTGGGCGGGGTCATCTCATACTGGTGGATGAAGCGGTCGACACGACAGGTGGCGATGATCATCTTCCTGAGTGGGCTTGTGCTTGGCGAAGGAGTGTTCTCCGCCGTGGTGTTGGGCCTTCGCAGCATGGGCATTTGAGGCTGTTGTAATCAGGGCATTATTGTGTCGAGTGTCTACGGGTCTATGTCAAAGGGTTTACAAGGACAAGACGACAAAAGGAAGAGGACATGAGAAGCCCGACTAGAATAACAGTCTATAGAAAGCTATAGAAATTTTCACTTTTTGCCAAATGGTATCGTCGCAAAGATGTCGTTGCAGTAATGGGGGGGATGGGTGAAAAAAGGGGAGTGATGGGATGAGTGTTCGAT